CCTATGGACTAAAACGAAGACCTCATGGACTAAAACGACTAACCGACCTTCTTTAGTTCTAACCGCCGAGGTCAAATACTCATCTCGCAAAATAGCGCTTAAAACAGCACGGGATGGCGAAAAAAAACACGACACACGACTAAGTTAACATTTTCTTCAAACTTTTATTGAAAAATTTGCTTTAATTCTGCATTTTGGAACAAATTATAATCACCGTATTGTTCATATGTATTTCTTCTATAAATAACAAAAAATCATTGCTCAGATTTCAATCAACAACGGCCCCCACTAACAGAGGGTGGTCTGCCTGTGGTTTAGAACATGCAAAATATTTTCCGCAAAGAAACCTGAAAGAAAGGTAAGTGAATGGCTATCACAACAAAATACTGCAGAGGAAATTCCATAACATTCCCAAATCGCCGTAACAAATTACGGGAGCAGGCATTGCCCTTAGCGGTTAGCATCAGTCGTTTTAGTCCATGAGGTCTTCGTTTTAGTCCAAGGGGTCTTCGTTTTAGTCCATGGGGTCTTCGTTTTAGTCCAAAGGGTCTTCGTTTTAGTCCAAGGGATCTTCGTTTTAGTCCATGGGGTCTTCGTTTTAGTCCAAGGGGTCTTCGTTTTAGTCCATAGGGTCTTCGTTTTAGTCCAAGGGGTCTTCGTTTTAGTCCATGGGGTCTTCGTTTTAGTCCATAGGGTCTTCGTTTTAGTCCAAGGGGTCTTAGGTCTTAGGTCTTCGTTTTTGGGTCTTCGTTTTAGTAACACCCGACGGTAGAGTGAAGAGAAGAGAAGGTTGGCAAACCTCTCTTGACCGGCTTCGCTCTCGGCGGCGATAAATTCCGTGACATTTGCGACATAGAGACAATTCCGCCAGAAACAGATGTCCTGATAAATAACGCACATTTTCCATCACTCACATCGCCAAAATTCCCATTTCGAAGGTCCTAAATCGCCAACGAAGTGGGCAATACACGGCTGAGGTTAGGCGAGTCGAGAGCAGACCCGCAACGGACTCCAACCGTCAAGTCGACAATTTCAAACCGAGGCGGGCTGGCAGTGTCAACTTGTTTAACCGTCAAAGGACAATTGGAGAATTTAGCCTACTGGGCACAATAACTGAGTTTTCACTTCTCACATTGCACTCCTGGGTCGCGGAAGTCAAGCATCGCGTGTGATAGTGACGTGTAATATCAAAACATGTCGCGTGTTAATAGCTGTTAATGTTTTGAATCGACAGTTTTGCCGGCTAGTCTTGTTCAATTCAAATAAAAGAGTCTAATCATACGCTTTACCTGATAAAACTGTAAGAGCTACGAATACGTTTATTCTTTATGATGCTTTCCAAGCTAAAGCGCTTAAATGAAAATTCGGTGGACGATTGTTTTGTGCCTAAAAGATCCTGTCCCCAAACTTGCTGCTTACTGCCACTTGTTGAAAAAGGGAAGAAAAATAGCTAACAACTGTTTACAGCCGTAGTAATTCTTATTGCAAAATTTTTTTCTAAATCATACATAAAAAACCATTGTCAAACGCTTTTTAAAAAGAAGAGTAGAGATCAACCAAATGCAATAACGCGACATGTTTTGATATTACATGTCACTATCACACGCGATGCTTGACTTCCGCGACCCCGGAGTGCAATGAGAGAAGTGAAAAATCAGTTACTGTGCCCAGTAGGCTAAATGCTACAATTGTCCTTTGACGGTTGAACAATTTGACACTGCCAGCCCGCCTCGGTTTACTTTCGGTTTGAAATTGTCGGCTTGACGGTTGGAGCCCGCACAGGCAGCCCAAGCGCACTATTTGTGGGTTCGGGCTTCAGAGGTCATTTGGTCGGAATATACTAGAATTATTAGTGTATTATCTGATGCCAAATAAATGCAAAAAGTCTTAAAGATATGAAGTCTTCTTGTTTGTCTATCTGTACTAGTAGCCTTTAAGATAACGAAAAGCTCCCTTACCTTTAGTTCATAGCCACTCTGTGTCCTACGGTCGGTTTAAACGCCGTTTAGTCGACTTTCTTTCCATCGAATACTGAACACTATAAAAGAGTGACGTTTTGCCGATCTGACGCGGTCGCCAAGCTCCAAGATTCAAATCTCGTAGGATAACAGTCAGAATTGCGCATCATGGCGAAGCGAAGCTGGCCAGAATCGATGCGAAATGCAGCGCTCCTCGAGCTCATGCAGCCGAATTTAGAACCTGGCGCTCGTCGAACGGGTAGGTATACACTCTTCGGTCTGGCTGGTGGCAATTTTAGGGACATCGGTCGTTTTGTTTGGAATTTATTGACCTTCGAGCGGCGAGGGTCGGTTGGAAGGTCTCCAGCCTTCCCTTCTTTTCTAGTGTTCAGTATTCGATGGAAAGAAAGTCGACTAAACGGCGTTTAAACCGACCGTAGGACACAGAGTGGCTATAAACTAAAGGTAAGGGAGCTTTTTGAATCAATATTTCGCGTGATCATGATTGTTTTTTTCTTAGCGTTGTAGATTCGAATACATGTGATAAAATTCGAACAATAAGGGCCCGAATCACATGTAATAATGCAAGAAATATCGATTTTCGTTATCTTAAAGGCTACTAGTACAGATGGACAAACAAGAAGACTTCATATCTTTAAGACTTTTTGCATTTATTTGGCATCAGATAATACACTAATAATTGTAGTATATTCCGACCAAATGACCTCTGAAGCCCGAACCCACAAATAGTGCGCTTAGGCTGCCTGTGATTAAACATGATTATTATTCATTCAAAATATTTCCCCAATTAGCACTCGCATAATTCACCATAACCAGCTACTGATGACCAAATTTGGTAGAATTTAGCGTTTAACGAGCCGATGACGTCGAAAGTGCAGCCTTCGTGCAGGTTAATGCACCGTTAACCGAGAAGACCTGGGGATGAGGTTAAGTTGTTTTGTTTCTGAAAACAAAAATAGCGGACATTCCACTCGTTTCAAGAGTAAGAACCAGGCGAAATAATAGCTAAAAACATGGCAAGAACAGCAAGAAGACAACTCGAAGAGCGACATCTGCTATTTGGAGTACATTTGCGGAGCTGAACAACCCTAAACGTGAACTATCGAAGATAAACTTAACATCGATGGAGGTAAGCATGTTTTAGCTATGTTTTTAAACTAGGAATTATTTTGAATAAATAATAAAACAATTATTGAATTCGGCTTTCGTATCATATGAAGAATTATGGAGATCTCGAAGGATGTTATCCGTCGAGGCCGTAGCTCCTCGATCTCCATAATTCTTCATAAGATACCCAGCCTCATTCATTAATTGTTAAGTAAACAATGCTAACTAGGTAAGAACGTTCTCTCCGCGTCGGTGACACAAACCTCCCATAAATCATCCTTTTCATACAGAACTGATTTAGTCTGCTACCGAACAAAAAGAATGAAAACTTTTGAAAACAAAAACAAAAACACAAATGACCTACATGTACACTTTATTACGTCGGTAAGTCGATTAAACGTCACACCAACTGTTTGTAAGAAATAAAACAAATGCCAAGTAGCTAAATAGAATAAGTGAACCGATACATGTATGTACAGTAACAGATATAAAAAGAAATATATCGAAATAAATAGTATTAATAAATAAAACGTCCTAGTCGTGTCGCATTCATATTTAAGATAATTTACTAAATTTGTTTTAAGACAGTTCAGTGACTTAGAATTTACAATGTCTGAAAGCAAAGTATTCCATTCACATATGGATCTAGGAAAAAAAGAGAACTTGAAAAGGTCCCTGCTAATTTGGGGTATTCTATACTTAAACGCATGGCTCCTACGTGTTCTGGTCTCGCTATTCGGCACAAGAAATTTCTGTGTTTTTATATCTACAAGACTATGACTAAGTTTGTACGTTAGTGTTAACTTGTTTTTTCTTCTTCTCATTTCTAAAGTATCCCATTCCAGCTCTCTAAGCATGTCTGTAACGCTAACTGTTCGGTTGAAATTCTGGAGGCAAAAACGGCCGCCTTTCTTTGAACTCTTTCTAGTGTGATAAGCAACATCATCAAACAAGAATGTCTATTTTTTTAAATTTATAGACATCGACCTTTTGTTGACTTTAAATACTTACAGACCAACTAATGGATGAAACAAGTGGATAATTCAAACTAAAAATCTGTAACTGATGAACTGATGGAGGGTTGGGAAGACGCAGATCCATTCGCATCTGGTATTACCCTGTTGAAAGAAAGTTGTTAGTGGTGTGGGGATGTTGTTGCCCAAACAGAATATGAAAGGAGGATGTACTATTTACAGGAGGCTAACCAACTATCAGAGGTTTCTTAGTTATTACTTCTACGAGCTACTACAGCTTAATTACTCAGCTATAAAAAACAACAACTACCCGTCAGTGAAAACCAAAATGCGTTAAGTCATGAACCCCTTCAGGGAGACGTTTAACGACAAAAATTTAGCACAGAGTGATTTAGTCATAAGGACTGAAAACAATACAGTTCAAAGCGAGTTTGCAGCGATTAATGTCGCCCCATGTAAGGGAATCTGGATTTCAGAATCCAGGGAATTTTTGATTTTGGAATCCGGAATCATGGGCCTCGCAATCTTGCAATCTTGAATACTCTAATGAGATTGGAATCCGGAGTTCAAGTCCAACTGATAAAAAAGGTAGTGCAGAAACCAGTCCCTGAAATCCAGAATCCACGGAGTGGACTGTCTTGGATTCCCTAACATGGGGCGAGTTAATGGCATGAACGGTGGATGATCCCAGATTCACAGCAAATTATGACCTTACACACTGCTTTTTGCAGTTCATCCAGATTAATACTATTTCCAATTTTCCTTTCTCCAAATACAACTTCTTCCTAAAATGTGCTTGCGTTCAGAGGGATCGTTCAAATTCGCAATCGCTTTCCGATATCTCTTTCAAAGTAACATAAAAAGTTCACCATCTGGAAGTCATTGAAACCAAAGTAAACTACCCGGTGCAGGCTAATGTTTGGCTAGCTTTGCTACTTTAGTAAGAAGATCCTTGTTTACGATTAAAAAGTATTTACCGCAGGTCAGTAAACTACCCGGTGCAGGCTAATGTTTGGCTAGCTTTACTATTTTAGTAAGAAGATCCTTGTTTACGATTAAAAAGCATTTACCGCAGGTCAGGCCTACATTCACCGTCAAAATTGTGCAAACATTCTACATTTTCTCAAATGCTTACTGCCTAATTTCGAACCCAGACCTCTCTATAAAGACCTGCAAAATTAAAAACCCCTTTAAATCGAGCCAATCTCTATTATGGTCCACTATGAACCTTTAAGTACAATAACTGTGTGTGTGCTGACACGTACCAATAAAAACCTTAAATATGTTTGACTGAGTGACAACCATTTACAATTTTTGAAAGTTAGTCGTTAGGGAAATGGTTATCCTGGCGCACTCTTCGAATTACCAGAAATGCATTAAAAAAACTAATAAAATCCCAGATTATGCAAGGGAATACAGAAATGAATATCTTTTTATAAGAGGGATTGATAATTTAAAATTAGCATTAAATCTTAAGATATATATTGAAGAGGTTATAATGGGATTAAACATTCAAAGTAATAATTGGGGTAAGATTATTATTTATGAAATGATTCTGAGTTTGGTAAATCATATAATTGAATATTTTAATAATCCTACAGAATACAGGCTTAAGATTGTTGATTGGTATTTTGTTGACTTAATCCTAAATAGAGATAAAATAATTGTTCGGGGGTTTTTTTATAAGCTTGGTTTATTTCTTAATGATGAAATACTTATTGAGGGAATTTTAGAATTGGAATCAAGGATAAATGAAATGAATGATATTTAGTCTTTTAACAATGTTTGTTACAAGACTTAAGTTTAATTAGGGGAATTTTTTTTTAAATAACATAATCAATTAATAAAAATGGAATTTAAAAACGATATTCCTACAAAAGAAGATTTGGATTTTATAGTTGATGATGGTTATAGACATGATGAGGATCCAACATATAACCCTAAAGACCACTCCTCCTCATCAGATGATGATAAATACGTTGTTTCAGGTAAAGAGTTTAAAAAATTAACAAGAAAAGCTAAAAAACTCGGTGCTGAATCTCTTGATTATTCATCACGAAAAAATAACAAATATGTAGCAACACTTTCAAGTGGAAAGAAAATTCATTTCGGGTCATCACAGTATCCAGACTATCTTATCCATAAAGATCAAGAGCTAAAAGAGAAGTATCTCGCTCGAGCTAAAAAGATTAAAAATAAACAGGGAGAGTTAACTTATACTAATCCTGAATCGGCTAATTACTGGAGCGTGAATCTACTCTGGCCAGAAAAATAAATTATGGCTTAAAAATTAAATTATTATAATAAAAAATGCAATTATCCAGTTACGATTATCTTACACCAGAGAATATTGTTTTTAATGAAGCCAAAGAGTACAAAGTGAAAGATAGCAAGATTAGGTATAAGCGTATCCCAATTGAAGTCAAATATTTAAATGGAAAGAAAGGACCACTTGTAATTGAAACACCACTTCTTTTCAGCTTTGGTGTGAGTGAGAAGAAAAATCAAGAAACAAACAAGTTAGTTGGTTATAGTATTCCAGTATGTCTTTGGGCTAAAGATAGCGAGCCAAGTACTAAAGAGCGTTCATTTTTTGATGCTGTTAACAATGTAACAAATCTTTCTCAGCAATATCTAGCAAATGAGTACGGTGCAGATCTAGCATCAACTCTGTCTTCACCATTTTATTACAAACAGGAAGAATATACAGATAAAAAAGGAAAGAAGAAAACAAGAATAGATCTCTCATCCGCGCCAGTTCTTTACGCAAAACTTATTTACTCTGAGAAATCAAAGAAGATTCTTTCACTATTTAAGACAAAGGGAAAGAAGGATTTAAATCCTTTTAAATATATTGATCAGTACTGCAATGTTAAAATGGCACTTATAATAGAAGGAATTTTCATAAGTAAAACTGTAACATCTTTACAAATAAAAGTACATGAGTGTTATGTCAAACCACTAAAACCTAGAGAGTCTTTACTAACAATTGAAGAGGAAGAGGAAGAGAGTAAGCAAGTAGTTGAAGACTTACTTATCTCTGATAAAGAAGAAACTGACTAAATAATAGGATTTTATTTTTAATACATTATTTGTATTAAAAATCAACCAAATCCTTAGAGCTAACCCATGAGTTAAATTTATCAGGATATCCACTCCATTTTACTAGTGCCATTTTCTTTTTATTATCCCTCCTGATAATCTTTTCTATTCTAAATGTTTGCTGTTTTGCTTTCTGTAATTCTTTTCCATAGAAAGAACCCTTAATCTCTTCTCCTATTAAATCAACAATACTATATGTAACAGGTTTTGTAGGTAAACTTTATTAATAACAAATATCTCCTCTGTCCAGTTTGGTGTGTAACCCTTATCAAATACCTTTCTCTTATACTTAGAAATTCTAACTTTATCACCAATAGAAAATTTCGGTTTACCAGGTTTCAAGTAAATAGAATCACCATACAAATTACACCAAACTTTATTTTCATTTTTCTTTTTACTCGCTTCAATAGGAGTCATTTTTATACTAGAATGTCTAGCATTATTGTAATCATTAACTAGTTTATCTATCTTATCCCAGTAAACAGTGTTGTTATTAACAGTAAACATCTTCCACGTTCTGTTTTTCATTGTTTTATTCCATCGCTCAACAACACTAGATTTTTCTTCATTTTCAGTGTGATATAGTTTAATTCCTTTACTTTTCAAAAAATCTTTGAAATGTTTACTGATAAACTCAGAACCTTTATCAGTCCATAACATTTTTGGTTTACGTTTACTTTTGAATATGTTCTCAAATGCTTTACTGACAGTTTCGGTTTTCTTATCTTTCAACCACATTATCCATCCATACTTGCTAAACACATTAATAACCATTAGAAGATATTTAATCCCTTTGTTCCACTTACTAAACTTTTGCATTTCTACCAAATCAGCTGCCCAGATATCATCAATTCCGTTTGACACCACCGATCTCTTTTGAAAGTTTCTTGTGATTGGTTTGTGAAGTTCGTCGGCTAATTGTTGACACCAATCACTATCACTCAACGCCGACGCGTGTTTAAACCAAGTCCAAGTTTTTGTTTTGTATTTATCATAGTTCTAGCCAAAGCATGCCCCCATTGTCTTTCTTTCCAAGGAATTGCATCTAATGATTTTACCGTTTTTCTATCAGCTTTATTTTTACATTGCACTTGTTCACTTTTGGGTTTGTTTGCACAGACAGAGTAATCAACATTGTGTTGCATAGATACAGCATCTGTTCGCCCAGTTGGTTGTTCATAGATTTCCAGTATCTGTCCAGTTTGAAGATCATATTTCAATTGAGACTCGAGTGGATTTCCGAGACCTGTATATTTATGCCCAGGAAGTACAAAACCTTTACGCGGAGCTACTTTTAGTATTTGTTTGTGAATGTCAACTCCAGATCCCATTGTCCATCCAAGTGGTTTATTTGTCAAACTTAAATAGAAAGTAAAGTATTTATGTTTGTAACCTAATTCTTTTACTGCTTTCCAACTATTTATAAAATGCTGCCTACTTCCACTTTTTACAAAATCTTGGTGTTTTTTTTCAGCCTGAATAGCTTTATTTACAGCTCCTTTAGCTACTTTATCCCATCCAAATTTGACAGCATCAAAAACAAGATTTCCCCCAGTTAACTCATGTGTTAGTCCAGTTGTTGTAGCAAATTGATCTATAGAACCCTTATATCCACCATTTTTAGCTTCATCAAAAGCATACTGCAAAGTTGGATTCACCCCACCTCCAACCCCTCGTCCTGATCGGCCGTCTAAGTCTTTTCTGTCAGTTTTATACTTTTTATTTGGCCTAACTTTGGTTGACAGTTGATCCATTGCTGTTCCAACACTCTCCTGAATAAATGGAGTGAGTTTATTAATCCCATAATTTACAGCTTTCTTTTGTAGTTTTTTATTTCTCATTAATTCACTTGCTCCATACCGCCCCATTTCAACTGCTTTGCGTCCCATCCAAGGCAAAGCATGTTCAGCAAACGCGTCTGTAGCTGTGCCAACTACAGTATCAAATAAATCACCGCCCGCCTTCTCAGACGGGCTAATTAGTTTTTTGACTTCTTTTTACCACTTCCAGTTTGAGAAACTGATCCAGTTTTCACATATCTAACTTTTTTGTTTCCACAAACTGCGCATCTACAATACAATTGAGTACGCCCTCTTTTATCTTTCTGGTAACCGCTTGTCTCTGTGCAAGGAGTTACTCTTTTATCTACAATACAATATGATTTTGTCATTTAGTATAATGTTTAGATAAAATGACAACTAGAGCTAATTTTATAAAAGTGAACTTCAAAAGATATATAATAATTTAAACATGAGTTATGAATACGCTGATTTTGCTAGATTGGAAAATGATGCTCGATTTATAAAAGTATTTGAGTTGCTTATGGAAATAAGTGAAAAATCAAGTACATTTAATAAAGTTGTAAAAGGAAATTATCTATTTAAATAACAAATGGAGGCCAAATTCTTTTCTGAGATAGAAAAAAAGATGGATGTTAAAACACTAAAAGATTTTGGGAAAGAAAAATAAATAATGAGTTTGAGACTCTTAGAAAGAAAAAAGATAATCTTTCTAGAGTACTAATGGCTGGTGAATGTGAGATGTGGGGAAAAATCAGAGATGAGGAGTATTCTTGGTTGCAAATAAATAGTGATAAAAAGAAGAAAACTTTATCGCCTTATTGACATTTACTCGAAGTTTGATGATATAGTTGATAGCGTTAAAGATCTAAATACAAAAGTTGATAGGGTTAAACAACTAAAGGATGCGCCTGTGGATTCAGACTAAATATAAATTTTATATTTAGTCTTAAGAGAAATATTCTTTTATAAAATCACTGTTGTCATTATCGAAATGTGGGTTATGTATTACGTTTAGAATACTATTACCCCGTTGTCTTTCTAGTAGATAATATAAACACCAGTAACCACAGAGAACAGTATTGCGATTTTGTATTTCATCCATTGAGTAAATTATGCGTTTTCCAGAAGTATGAAAATACTCCAGTGCTTCATTTGGCATTATTAAACCAAATGGATCAAAGTACTCAACTATATTGTCTATATTTCTATAACAAACCCAGTGTGTTCCAGGGCCAGTGATGTCATCGAGATTGATTATTCCACATTCTTTTCTAATCTTTTTTGATAGACCATCACGACTGTATATTCCTCTAAAATGTTTAATACCAAGTCTTTTTATCAAATCCATGAGGTCAAAGTTGGAAAGCGGTTTAATTACAAAATGTCTCGTAGTATGGGAATTGAGTTGAATGGGCTGTTTTTTCCTAGTAGTAGACCACTGCCTCGCGGTCGTCCTCTTCTTTTGGGCATTTTTTTAACGCCCATTCCTATTGGGTTTTCCCATGTACCGAAAAAGGGTGGTGAATGATAAGGATAACCTCCACCATCTGTGGGTGGAACATAAACATTTGCTGTGTTAGATGATGTTCCCCTATCAACTTGAAGCCCAGAGCCAAACATTTTAGATACTAAATTAATTGCCATTGGAATTCCAATAGATGCAAGTGTACCAAGAAATCCTCCTTCTACTTGCCTACGAGTTGGTTTGATAACCAACCGTCCTCCTGTTTTATGAGCTCTGTTGATTTGATTTATTTGTGCTTGGGTAAACTGGATTTAAAAGTATAGATAATGTTGTAAAGTAATATTCAATAATTTCTTTTATTTCTTTTTTAGATAATTGAAAATAATTATTATTTTCATAATAAACTGGTAATTTTTTTGTATTACTTAGAACTAATGCTCTAATAATCCAAGTTAACCCAATTGCTGCTTCTGAATTTAGTTTACTTATTTTTTCTTTTAAATCTTTTGTTAGTTTTATCCCAAGAACATCTTTTGTAAGCGGGTAATTAAGTTTGTTTACTAAAGCTTTTAGTACTTCAGTTTTTATTTTTTTCAAACTTTGATTTTTGGTGTAACTTTTACATGGATCTTTGGTAAAATCTGTTAAATTTTTTGTCATTATTTCATCTATTTTTTTCTGTGTTTTTCTTTTTGGAATAGATTTTGTAGTTGTAGTTGTTGGAATAAGATCTGATTTTGGAATAGATTTTGTAGTTGTAGTTGTTGGAATAGAATCTTCATCAAAATCTATTAAGTTTTTCATTTCAATTGCTAGAGGAGCAATAAATTTTATATTTAATTTTATAGGAGGTGGAAAATCACCATAATTTTTATAGTAATAAATATCTATATTTATAACTATGCTAGCAAAACATGTTTTATGAAATTGGGTTTTAGACATTTCTAATTCAAATCTCTTAGTTCCTAACCAACTATAATAAAAATTTTTTTGTTTAGCTGTAAGATAAACAACAAAAGGAAAAAAATCCTTTACTTTACTTTTATAGTCAAAATCTATAATAAAACTAGTATTAGTATCGCCTGAGATGCATTTTTTTATAAACCTAACCAAATCAACATTGTTTAATCTTATAAAAGTTTGATAATAATTTCCAATTTTTTTTATTTTTATCTAAATAAGATTTAATTACCTTTTCATCTTGTTGTTTTCTACTTTTTAGCATGGGAGTTTTGGAAGAATATTTCATTAAATCAGCTATGAATTTTTTAAGATTTTTTTCTCTTCTAAATTCAAGATTAGATTTAGCATTTGATAGTTTATCAAGAATATTAGAAATTTTAACATTTATATTTTGAGTTTCTTTTAATGTTTTTTCAATTTGATCTTTTGATAAAGTTGAATTAAAATAACCATCTTTATATTCTGCCTTAACAAAATCTTTTATTTGTTTTTTTGTAAGAAAAAGAGCAGTTGGTATTTTAATTTTTTTTTACTTACATATACAGTTAAATTATACGGTTTACCTACTTCTACTTTCTTATAATCTTTTTTAGATAAATAGATAATTTGTCTATAGTATTTATTTCCTATTATATTTTTATAAGATTTTAATTCATCATGTAATATATCTGAAAAACTTTTTTTAATATTATACATTTCTTCATCTTTGTAAGTTTTTTTAGTTTTTGAATCATACTTTTGAAAAGCATATTCATCTGGATAACTTTCTTTATTGATTTTATCTTTATATTCTTTAAAATTCATTTTATTTCAATGTTTATATTAAGCACGAAGCAATAGTTTTCCTCCTTGCTGTTCGATTTCTGCCACTCGCTCGTGAAGTATCAGAGCATAGATATTATAATCAGCGTTTGGATTAGCAGATAACTCATAATGAAACGCTAATTTTGTAACTCCATCTTTTATATCCATTTTTTGTTTTGTCAGGTCAAAGTAAACAAATGGGAACAAAGACTCAAAATTTGTTCTATTGAGAAGTGTTCCACCTTGAAAGTCGTTATTTGCGTCAACATATCCCATTACTTCTCTGAAAACTCTTGCTGGATCTGTAGTTGGTTTAAAGTGAATATCAGGGTATTCATTTCCATTTCCAACATCAAGATAACAGCGAGATATATTAGCATTGTTTGGTAGATTAAAAGTATTGTATAAAAATGGATTTGCTGTTTGTAAATCAATATTGGCTGTGTTAATTCCAAAAACAAATACATGGCGGGCGAGGTTTTGAGATAGCATTTGTAATTCTAAAATGACCTGTTTGCTGTTGAGAGTTATTTGACCGCTCAACCTTTTCATGGAGGTACACCCATTTGTAGGGTTTTAGATAATTTTCCATGTACAACTTTTGTCCTTCTGAGTTAATTGTTAATCTTGGAATAAATAGTTGAAATCTTGTTAGTATAACTCTACAATCGTTTCCTCCAGCTCTCCAGATAAGATTATTATTTGATTCTAGTTCTATATTCAGCTCAATTTTTGTATTTGGAAGAAGTTTTTCCTCTAATGATTCAAAGAAAGAATATCTGTGAAGAGGAATTTCACATCGTACTGTTGCTGAGTCACCCAGTAATACTTTTCTTATTGCAAAACCTTTGTTATAATTAGCTTCAACATCATCTATCGTTAATCCCACTTGATCAGCGTTATTAGCTTCATTTCGTCTGTGAGTTACTTGCCTTTTTGTATATTTATTTCTTTCAGCATGTCTTGATGTATCAAGATAGTAAAATTCTACATAGGAAGGATTATACTCAAGCAAATTCTTAATATTTACTACATGATTAGCGCGGTGTATGACATTTGCAGACCGCAGACCGCAGACCGCAGACCGCAGACTGCAGACTGCAGACTGCAGACTCCAGACCGCAGACTGCAGACCGCAGACCGCAGACTGCAGACTGCGGACTGCAGACTGCATGACATGACGGGCTTAGGCTACAAAAAAAATTCTGACCAGGAGGTCTTCTAATCTCGTACATTACTTGTCACCGCCTGCCGGAAACAATCAATGAAGCCCTTTTTTTCTCTCAGCATCTTGTTTCATTTGTTAGATTTACTGAGGTCGTCGCGACTGTCGCGTGTGAATATTTCGCTAAAGTTTCTGTCGCTTTACTGCATAACACTGGTTGCATTTGCGAAGCTATGAGCAAAATGGCTAGATTTCTAATTACTCCTGGCAAGTGTTAAATCTACTTTAATTTAACGGGAAGATGCCAGCAAAACGAATCCGTTTTAACCAACGTCAAGTTCGACCACTATACTGCTAAACGAGAGTGGCAAATTATTTCTGTAGGAAATCCTTACTTGGTTATTGACTTTGGTAAGTTTAGCTTTGTTTAGCCGATTAATTGATGGTAAGTCGTGATTTTTAATGTTTTGGTTTTTTGTCGATGAAAAATACCGAGAAAAAAATATCGGGCCGAAATTATTTTGTTCGCACGTGTTCTCTGATGATGTATTTCACATAATTTTTGATAATGTATTACAAAAAGATTCTGTCCAGATTTCTCGATATTTTATCAGTTTCACTCTATCACACGCCGCCCAACAAACGATCGCTAGCCTCTAGCAATTTGGCGCCGGCTTTCCTATTTTGCTTTTGCATTTTGATCACCATCTCATGAAAGTGCTTTTAATTATTTGTGGCGGAAAATATGTACCGCACGCGTTTGTTTGGCGCCCAGATCATTGACATCAGTGGAAGAGACTCCAGACAGGTAAGAAAACTTAATAATTATATCAGTAGCAATTGATGTTTAAAATTATAATTCTGGATTATTCTATTCTAGTTCAACATTCGAGAGAGTCAGCTCTTGTCTCAAAAAAATTTCGCAGACAAGCAGCCTCGCTGGGTCTTGCAGGGTCCCCTTGTTTCCTGAGCTTTTGTTATCTGCGTTGCATAGTATTAACCTGTAGTATCCTGGGTAGTGTATACCTGAAATCTACAGTTACCTCGTAAAAATGCTCTAATTATTCCTGTAGTATCCTGGGTAGCGTATACCTGAAATCTACAGTTAACTCGTAAAAATGCTCTAATCAATGCTGTAGTATCCTGGGTAGCGTATACCTGAAATCTACAATTAACTCGCAAAAATGCTCTAATCATTCCTGTAGTATCCTGGGTAGCGTATACCTGAAATCTACAGTTAACTTGCAAAAATGCTCTAATCATTCCTGTGGTATCCTGGGTAGTGTATACCTGAAATCTACAGTTAACTCGTAGAAATTCTCTAATCATTCCTGTAGTATCCTGGGTAGCGTATACCTGAAATCTACTGCTAACTTGCAAAAATGCTCTAATCATTCCTGTAGTATCCTGGGTAGTGTATACCTGAAACCTACAGTTAACTCGTAAAAATGCTCTAATCATTCCTGTAGTATCCCGGGTAGCGTATACCTGAAATCTACAGTTAACTTGCAAAAATGCTCTAATCATTCCTGTAGTATCCTGGGTAGAGTATACCTGAAATCGACAGTTAACTTGCAAAAACACTCTAATCAATGCTGTAGTATCCCGGCTAATGTATACCTAAACTCTTACTCTTTTTGAATATTCATGGTCAATTAACAGCTTTCTCTCAATCCATCTTATTTTATTAGCACGCGCTCGAACTTGATTTTGGCATGAGTGTTGTCTTAACAAAGCGGAGTAAAAGAGCAGTATAAGAACATGTATTGCAGTATTTTGTGTTAGTGATCTAGGAACCTCTGAATTTGGCGATTTTGCGATAATGACATATCGCCAGGACTATTTCATTTGCTTGATATAAAAGCAGTACAAAAAAATCTTAAATCATATTTAGTACTTGTCTGTTAATTGTTGTTTCTGTCGGCTTTATAAGGATTTGATGCCTTTACATACTGATACAGGACCATAAAGTAGTTACCGCGTTTGTTAAATTTGGTAATGTTAAATTAGAGTATAAGGAGCTACTTTTACGAATTTTACGAAAAACATTTTCCCAGCCTTTTAGGTAGCGGCTTAAATAGTTTCAAAGTTGCAGGGTAGTCACAAAACTGAATTTTTGAGTTTACCTCCATTTCATACTATAACTTACTGCCCGAGACTGAAAAAGGCGCAATGTAAAATGTTTATGGCGTTTTATTATTACCAAAATAGTAAGTGCCTCGGAAGATGGTTAGCCGAGCAGAAAAAGATTTAAACCTTGCTTTAATCGAATATTGCCGTTACCTTCATTTCAGTTTATGGTAGCTTGAGTTACTCTTTTGTGGGCAATTTACGGAAGTCCTAGGGTATTCAGCTAACACCTCAAGAGCCTAGAGCTGTCAGACCTTGGTTTTGAATTACTTATGCAAATTAGCTGGCTGCACATTGAATGTGCAGCCAGCTAATTTGCATAATATTTTTTCGCGCTTCAAAGCTCGTCATGCAGCAAGACTGTAAATTGAATGAAACCAAAAATATCGTGATAAAGGTGGCATCATCATCAACATTACCTTGTTCCGAGACGTACCTGCAAGGCCTAGAAGCGAAATTTATATTTTTCACGCAAATTACACTGACTTCATTCCTGAAGGAGTTGTTGGCTGTTCTTCTCGTATTGAATTAGAGCAGAATAATGTCTGTCGATGTCACAAACTTGTTCATGAATCCATAGCAACAGGCTAGCAATTTAGCCTGCACGACAGACGAAACTAAACTCTGGTTATATAAGTCTGTTTGTGAAACAGCGCCGGAATCCTTATTCTACGGGGGCCCCACCTGTGTACTAGGATTTGAGTATGAGCAATGGTTGGCCTGTTAAAAAAAGCCATTGTCGATTTGCCTAGTATTTAGAAATTCAAAATGCACTTCCGGTAATTCGTCGAGTCCAGGTAGGATCTGTTGGGTTTAGATTATTTAGCATATCCTTAAATACTGCTAAGATGAAATACTTCATTTAAATTTGTTAAATGTCCGTGATCTATCCTAGTTGTTTTTGCCGACGTAACTGTAGTGAGCACGAAGTGCTCGCAATCCATAAACTCCTTTGTAAAAAAGACTGCTATTTACACAGGCATTAGTGGGCATTGCTACTTGTCATTATCAATTCACAATAATCTAAGAAGAATAAAGAATCAACGCAATTATCGATATGCCGGATGAGTCAATAAAGAGTCGCGTTGGTGAAGAATAGCCAACAGCATCTTGGAAATAAGGCCAATGTAACTTTGCGCAAAAACATCAACCTTGTTCCCAGGCTACTTTCTCACTTTCACACGATGTTATATTTTTGATGGTGTCACCTTTATAAGGAAGATTTTTGATGTTTTTTAATTTACAATCTGCAATCTGTAGTCTGCAGTCTGCAGTCTGCAGTCTGCAGTCTGCAAATGTCATACACCGTGATTAGCGTAGTTACAACTGTAAACATCTCTACCATTTGCTAGGATAGATAACTTTTCTATGAGATAACTACTTCCATTTACTATTCCCATTTGGTCGCCATCAGCATCTAAATTAGCTCCATGCCAGCAGCCAGCTGATTAACTTTGAAATCTACTGAAAATCGCGCATTATACCAATCAAATGGAGTGGCCTCACCTGTGTTATCAGCAACAAATCTATGACCTGTTTTAGTTTGATGAGCATTATTTCCAGGTGTGGCTAAAGCTTGTTCAAGGTCAAAAACAACATCTTCATATCTTTCTAAATATTTTGGATTTCTTAAAGACTTCATTTTATTTTAATAATTATGTAATTTTACCACCACTAAGAATGGCATTCACTCTTTTATTTATTTCTTTTTGAGTCATTGTTTTGTTTGGAATTGTTTCAACATTTTCATTAAAAGTAACTTTTGGTTTATTATTACTTTTGGATAACATTTGCACTATTTTATCTCCAGCCTTTTTGTCCAACATGTTCACCAGTTTTTGTTGCTGCTGCTGTTACCGCTTTTTTAGCTCCTTTTTTAACAGCTGATTTGACTGTTTTTCCAAATAATTTTGAACCAAACGATTTAAACACATCCATCATTCCTTCTCCATAAACATGTTGTCTTGTATATCTCCCCAATTCAGGGTTAAGTTTCATTTTAAACTCTGATTGCCTCATCATTTTATTTTAATAGTTATATAACTACGAAGTATTACATCGATTGAAGTATTAAAGTCATAAACCAATCAATACCATTAAAATTTACTGGTCTTCCAAGTGAGTCTGTAACATAGATTCTCATTTCATCAATGTGAAATGTAGATGCTGGGCAAAACAATGGTCTTTTAGGTTCAAACGTAAATGGATAAGACCTTGTGAGATTATCAGTTGGTATCACAGCAATGGTATTTGTGCTTATTCCATTTACAATGCTATCAGTTATTGCGGTAGTGTTGATATTTAATACATCAATCGAATTTGTGATATTTGGTAGTTTTGTTCCATACTCTGTTTTAGTAACGAGTTTCTTTTCAAATCCAATTAGGTCTCCAAATTCTGTTCCTCTCGGATCAAGTTGATAATCACCATCAAGTGTTATGAGTACTCGATAGGTAGATAGAATAAAAGTTAGATTGATTGAATACTTCCTTTTTCCACTTGAGTCTGTTGAGTGATGGTTTTTTTGAGACATGTATTGATGAATGTAATCATTAATATCTGAGTAGGAATACATTCCATTTGTAAAAGTAATTGTTTGCCAGGTGGATCCATCATGAGTATATTTTATTTTATTGTTTCCATAATCACTTCTAATGTTGTACCAAGAGTAAGTCATGGACAGCCGATCAAGAGCAAGTTGGTGGGATTTTTCAGGGTTAAGTTTCAGAGATGGATTAAACTTAATAGTAAAATCACCAGGTCTGCTTGTTCCTCTTTTTTCCCTGTTTATGGAGGAAATGTGGATAGCTCGTTCTTCCATTTTTATTTAATTGTTATATAGTTTTTTAGTAAATCATTAAGTTGTTTTTTTGTGATCACTTTCATTTGGTTGAGAAGATGTGCAATTTGAGAAAACTCAGGTATAACACCATTATTCCCAGCAAGAATTGAACCACCGAGTAATTCAAGTCTGTCTAGAAGTTGATGTGGGTTGTTAAAGTAAATCATTCCTTCCCCTACCTTATATTTAAGCGATCTTAAGTAATCTTTCATAGTATTTCTATATTTCATTAGTGTTCCTTTTTGTATTTTTTTAATTTCAGTTTCAGCTTCATATAATGGAGATGGATTTTTAGCTTTCTTTCTACCACTAATTTCACCATTTAGTTGTTTTATACTATCTTTTAATTGTTCTAAATTTAGATCTAAAACTTTAAGATTAATTTCAAAAAAATCATTTGGTCTTGGGTAACCAAATTCTTTTAATAACTCTAGATCTCTGCCTTCAAAGTTTTTTTCTAAATTTAACATTCCAACATCATCTGAAGGTTTGGGTTCTGCTAACCAATTTCTATCCCAACCTTCTTCATTGTCATATGGTAATTCTCTCATATCAGCTAATCGGTTGAACTGATGAAAACCTTGAGTAAGAGCAAGTTGATTTTTTTTAAGTTGTGCTATAGTTGCATCTTGCTGGTCATCAATACTTTTTTAATACTCTCTTGAGATTTAATAGGTGGTTTAAATGTCTCTTTAAAACCTTCCCGAGCATCTTGTTTTTCCCATTTTGTTATTTTCATTACATCTCTCACCTGTTGAGTCAAAGCATCAGCTTCAATTTTATTTCTTGAAAATTTTTCGGCTTCTTGGATGTCCATTTTATTTAATGTACATATTAGATAAATGGAAATACCAAATTATGATAGTGGTGACAACCCAGATAAAAAATATAAACAGTTATTTCCCTTCATGCCATCACACACATTTCGGATGTTAATCTGTGGAAACAGTGGAAGTGGTAAGACTACTCAGTTGTACCACATGTTAATTAAACCACTGTTGTACTTCGATGAGATTTATCTTTATGCGCGTAATTTAGAGCAGGATAAATACAAAAAGCTAATGCAAAAAATGAGAGAACTGAGTTCTAAAGTTGGATATGAAATACTTCATTTGAGTAATGATGAAATAAACCCAGTGTCAGAAATGGATTATGAAGACAACCAAAAACTTGTTATATTTGATGACTATGTATGTGATAAAAACCAGAGACAGTTAATAGATTATTTCATTCAAGGACGACATAAGAATTGCTCTGTAATCTACCTCAGTCAATCATTTAATAAAACACCAAAAGATATTCGACTGAATTGTTCTCACTACTGCTTGTACGAATTTCCATCATCGAGGAAATCCAACAGAATATCATCTGAGTTGGGGGTTAACAAAGAAGATTATAAATCAGCAACAAGAAAACCGTATTCATTTTTATATGTTGATAAACCAAAAAAACGTATTGCAAAAAACTTTATTGGTAATATATAACTAATAAATAAAATGGGTATATTTAACGAGCAATCTTTAAATCATCCCTTTGCTAAGGGAATTCAGGGTGCTCCAGGAGTTGGATTTAGTCTAACCACAGATGGTAATTATGATATGAATAAAAAAAGACTCACAAATGTTGGTGCACCTAATTCTAATACTGATGCTGCTACAAAGAAGTATGTTGATGATAATTCACCCACAACAACACGATTGACAGTTGATTCCGACATTGATATGAAGGACCGCTTCCGTATTACTAATCTTAAAGAACCATCAGACGCAGATGATGCAGCCACAAAACAATACGCGGATATACGTTTTCTTTATAGAAATGGCTCTCACCCAATGACTGGAAATCTGGACATGAACAAAAATCGAATATATCATCTACCAACTCCAACAGATAACCAACAACCAACACCATTAGCTTTTACTGAATCAAGATATCTTCACATTGCTGGAACAAATAAAATGACTTATAATCTAAACATGGACAACAAAAGTATAATTTATTTAAAACAACCAACAAACCCCACAGATGCTGCAACCAAAAAGTATGTGGATGACTCAATACCTGATACTAGTTCTTTTATAAAAAATGATGGAAGTGTATCAATGACTAATAACCTAAATCTTGGAAACAAAAAAATAATTGGTCTAGGAACTCCAACATCAAACACAGATGCTGCAACAAAGAAATATGTTGATGATAACACAGCTGCCCCAGATTTAAGTGATTATTTGGAAAAAGATGATACAGTTGCTATGACTGGAAACTTTAATGTTGGTAATAATAAAATAGTTGGTCTCGCAACTCCAATGTTAAACACAGATGCTGCAACCAAAAAGTATGTTGATGATAATACTGGAAGTCCGGATTTAAGTGATTATTTGGAAAAAGATGGTTCCGTCGCTATGACTGGAGAACTTAATCTTGGTGGTAATAAAATAATAAATATGAGTAATCCACTACATAACAGTGATGCGGTAACCAAAGATTACACCGACAAACTAGTTCATAATACTGCAGTTCAACCAAGCCATTATAAAGACGAGTTTAGTTATCTCATGTCAAGTGGGTCTCAATGGACTGATGAAATAGATGGTGGATTTAGTTTTTTGATAAATAAGATAGGAGACTTACCACCTTCAAAAGGTAACTTTCACGATTACAACCACAAAGTAATTTTCATGAATATAATTAAAAATCGTCAAGGTCAATATAAGTATAAGATGGGAATTAATTTTTACCGACTAACTGCAAATGCTGACTATACCCTTTGTCTAGACATACTTAACACTGATTATAATCTTTGGGATAAGTCTCAAATAAGTGTTGACAAAGGAACTTCAACGGGATTATCAATTGGAAATGTAGGTATAAGAAAACTATCCCATAGATACACTGATTCAAAAGGGCAAACAAAAATTATGTACTACCATAGAATAATAGTTAATTTTCGGAAGTTGTCATCTGGAAATAGATACTTTCTTCACATTCTTGTTGATATTAAAAAAGGAGGATATAACATTTATAAATATCCGAGACAGTTTTTAGGAGTTTACATAATTGCCTATGGAATTATAGGTACAGTTAGCAATATCGATCCAGATAAAGTTTACGACTATCACACCACATTTGATATCAAACCAACAGAAGTGGTGTATAATGTTAATATAAATGCAAATCGAAAAAATAATTAAAAATATCAAACTTGACCGACAAAATGATAATAGTGCTGCAACAGTTGCATTAGTAAAAGAAGTAGCTCCTTTTACTAAAAATGCTTTGTACAGATTATACTTTAGTGAGGTCTATGACTTTGCTAATGCGGATAGTTATGGAATAAATATAGGTCCATCTGGAGTTATTATTAATTCTGTAAAGCCTAATATTAGACTACCACCTAATAAAGACCTAGGTGAAATGAAAAAAGATGGCTTAAATGTTAATGGTTATGATGTTACTTTTTCTCCTTCACATTCTTCGAAATCTACTTTATGTATTGTTTTTAGTCATTGGAGAAATAGGAGTTTTACCCTAACTAAATATTTATCAACAAACAATAACATACTAATAAAATTAAATTATGATAAAACAAACAATAAAGTAACTTTATCAATAAAGCAACTCAAAATTTTACCATGCTAAGTAGTTTTAATGGCAAAATAATTGTTTTATGGCTGACAGAAAATTTTGATACAAATGTCACAAAAGTTAAAATAAGTAACTACAGCGCAACATTAACTATACCAGCCGTTCAATACAATGTTAATCAACGTTGGAAGTTTACAACTGAAGATGAAGTGTTAAATAAATTAATGTATTTTCCAAAATTTTACGACTTTGACTCTGAGCAATTTCACAAAGTAATGCTTCAAGGAAAGTTAAATCGGTCTTATATAATGTGAATATAAATGAAGGATATCTTTGAATTCAATCACATTGATAAATCTCTGTCAGAATCAGATGTTAAAACCCTCAAAGACTTTTATAAGTCACTATCACAAAAAATACTGGTGTTTTAAGAGGTCTTATAGGAGTTATAAATTTCTTGATGATGTTTTTAGTATTTCTGGAATATGCTTGATGGCAATAGGAACTATTGCTGGTGGAATAACTTTAAACACTGTTGTTCTCGGAGTTGTAAATGTCGCTGGAGTTATCGTGACGGGAATTGGAAAGAAAAAGAATTATAAGAGAAAAATTGAAATGTCAAAGATTGCATTTACTACTTATGAAAAAGTACTAGTTGAACTTCGTGCAGCTCTTAGGGGTGATGAGTTTAATAAACAAGAGTTTATTGATAGAATGAAACTAATAGATGAAATGATATTTGATCAGACTCCTATAGCAGATAGATTTGCTAGTAGGTATAATAAAAAATTTAGTATAAGCACATAATAAAATGGAAGAGTTAAATAAATTGAAAAAAGATATGATTGTTAGATATGAAATGGCTCTAGCTTTAATTGGAGATGAGATTTGTAAAGAAATTGATTCTAAACTTCCAGATGATTTATATTTAATGAGGAAAAAAGCTATTTGTTATTGTGAATGTTTTAAGTCTAAAAAAGATATTAATGATGAACAATTAAAAGAAAAATGTTTAAAATACTTAGCTCATGTCATCTGTTATAAAAAATTAAAATAAATGGCTTAAAGATTAAATAATAACTAATATATAACCTAGGATCTTAGCAACATCCTTTCCTCTAAACCAAATATTCTCTAACATGTTTGTATGCCATTTTATTTCCAAATAATAATTATTTAGAAATTAGACGTTTTTCTCAATTCTATGAATTACCTTATAATGTATTTCTAGTTTTTCTTTATTACGGAATGGTCTTGTGCAATATTTACAATGAATACGAACACCGACCATAAATTTATGTATTAGCTTACTTATTTTATCGTAATCATTACTAAGTATAAATGCATAATTATTATCACGGTACTTTTCCTTCATCTTCATTTGAGCTTCTGAGACACAGTAATTATTAGTTGGTGATTTAAATTCAATACAAAGACCTTTATAGTCTTTATGATAATCAAGAATCATTAAATCTGGTTGGCCTCGCATATAGCCTTTTTTCCAACTGTTAATTCTTTTATCTGGTGTATCTTGGTTTTCCCCAAGTCCTGGTACTATAATAGCATTTGGATAAAAATTTCTAATTAGTTCAACAACTTTACAGTGGAGGTCCATCTCATTTTCTATTTTGAACATTTTATTATTTGGATTGTCAAAAACTTTGTAATAACCAAATTTTCTTATAGATGGGAGAACTTGTGAGGTAACCCAGTGTTTGAACTTTTTAGCAGTTTCTAATTTTGAGGACAATAAAAGGGAGTAGAAACCTGATTCATTAATAAATGTGTAGTGTTTTCCTCTAGTGTCATTTTGCTGACCTCGTGTTTCACGCGGTTGGTTATTGTTGACGTCCCCATTTTGGGTACGCCAACAAATCAACTGTTTATCCTCACTATCAACATGATTCCAGATAGCTTTTCTTACATTACTATAACCAAGTATCTGAGCAACATCTTTGCCTATAAACCAAACATTTTGCTGTTTGTCAATAAATGATGTTAGCTCAAATCCTAATTCTTCATTTGTAAACTTTTTCTCTAGCATGTTTGCCATTTATATTTTACTTTTATCTCTTTAAGCCCTTTTTAATCAATTTCAAGCATCTCTATTTCCTTATCTTTTACACGATGGTAAAAATCATCTATTCTATCTACATAGTCAAATGTGAATTCATTATCTTTCAAATCTAACAAAATGTAACTCATAATATTATACATTGGTTCATCTTCTAATTCTTCTCTGTTAATTTTCAAAATTTTTTCTAAATTCTCATTTATTATAGACAAATCACGATCTGTTTTAAGTATATTTCTTCTTTGCATATTACGAAGATGACTAAGAATCTTATATACCATGTCAAAACAGTTATCTACTTGATCTTTATGTCTTTCAAATCCTCTTTCTTCTACTAATCTTTTAAGGTTTAAAAGATAACTAATAAACATTAAGAGACAATACGTTGTTACACCACTTCTTTCATTCATATTATCAAGAAAAATTTTCATATAGTTTTCTTCATTTATCACACTTTGGATTTCTTCTTCTATTTCCTTTTCTATTTGCTCTTGTGTTTTTTTTTTGGATTAACTGTAATTACTTTATTTCCAATAAAAAACTGTTTTTCATCTGTATTTCCAGAAAGAATACACTCTCTTAATTGTTCCTCCATTTATATTATATTCATATATCTTTTAAGACATTTTCTATCTACACATAAGTAGAAAATGATTAGTACAATTGTAGAATATGTAAATTTCTACTTTCCCACATATAAAACACAGTTTTACTGTGATAACTTTATTAAAGCTTGTCTTGTTTATCAGTTTCTCTATGCAAAGTATTTTACACAAAAAACTGGATATAAACCAAATTATTTATAGGTTGTCAGACGCTAGACACTCCCTCAGATCAAACTCACCCACACTAAACAATCATCTGATTTTCAGTCTAGCTTTCAAAGCTTTTTGGAAAAACTATAGAATTGGACGAGGGTGTGTTTACGTTGTTAACTCACCATTTAAAGAGTGTGAAGTACTTGGTTATCTAACTGGAATTGTTTACTGGTGCTTTCACAAAGGAGTGATTTGTAACTATCCCACCACTTTTCATAATTCTCCAAAGTTTGGGGAGAAATCTTAAGATAAACTAGTTTGTACTTTTCACACCCCATTTCTTGAAGAGTCTTCTTGATCAAGTAGAAAATGTTTATCATTCTCTTTCTACAGTGTTTTTTGTTTTGTATTTCCATGACGTGATTGTCTATTACCATTAGTTTATTGTACAATTCACACTTTTCATCCTCAGTCAGATGTAATCTTTTAGAGACTTGATCAACCTTTTTCTCATAGTGATACTTCCTCTGATAAATACTCTTCTTTCGAAAATGAAATCGATCGTACTCTTTTAAGTCAAAATAACCAAGAACATGACCTTTAGTTGTCCCACAAGAATCACAAATGTTATAACCTGATTCAATAGTAAAACTATTGCTTTGACAATTACTACATCTAACTTTTTTTACAAACGCCTGATTCCACTTTTGATTGGGTGTTATTGTAACTTCTTAATATTTCCAAATATTTTTCTATCTCTTCTTTTGTGTAAGTCATTTATTATTTATATCTTATTATCTTAAAGCCATCGTATTCACTTTACCCCCCCATCACAATGCGTTTATCATCTTCATTACTCAAAGCTATTTTATTTACTTCTTTTGAATATATATCATGATTTTCACTTCTTATAATTTTCATAGATCTCACTATTTGCTTTTCACCAAAAAATAAACACTGTACATAGTCTTCAAATTCTATTGCCTTTTTTACAACATTTTTCTTTATACCTTTACATTTACGAACTTCTTTAGTTTCTTCTATTTTAAAACTATAAAGTTTGGGTCGCAATCCAACAAAATAAGTAATTTGTTTTCCTGCTACTTCATCTTTAAACATTCCTATTACTTTTTTATTAACCCCTGTCAGTATTCCAGATGGATGGTTAGGAGGATAATCAGATGTGTCAAACTTGTTTTCTATATCATAGGATATATCTTTATAAAAATCATCTGTATGAATCTGATACATTAACGAGTCGGTATCTGTAAACAATAACTCAGCCCTATCTTTATATTTCCTTTGAATATAGTTGTAATGAAAATTGAACATTAATGTTTTTGACAGATCTAGAATTGCTTGACCAACATATACTGGTTTGTTAAAGTACACTTCAGTTTTTTTCATGTTAACTGCAATAAGATTTTTATCAAATATTGTTGCCCTGTCAAAGTTTGGACGACTTGTTAGTTTTGAGGCTTTTTTACGATCATCCACAAGAAATATATTTTGTCTTTTCCTTATGTTTTCTATTGTTTTTCCAAATACGGAATTATTCATTAACTTAAAAAAGTCTTTCTCAAAACTGCTAGCTGCTGTTTTTCTAAGTTCAGTATTCTTTCTTATGTAAGGCTCCATCCAAGAACTTTGATAGAATGTTACACTCCTATGAACTGCAGTTATTTTCATTCCCATCTCAAGATATTGCCTCAAATTTCGATAATGTACAACGTAGTTTTTTCTGGGTTTAAAATGACAAATTAGTTTTTCAACACCATTAACAATCATTTTTTCAGGTGCTAGAGGATAGTCATTATGTGATTTCCGTAGTTTATGGGGATATTCCAAATCTACTTCAAATATAGATCCTTTTCTTCCAAGATTTGACATACTATGATTTGCTTTCTCCAGAATATCCATTACGGTTTCTTTTGTTATGTTTTTCATCCATTTAAATCCATGTGTTGGAAGTGATTGTGACATTGCCCATCCGTAAAGATTGTTTGCATCAAGATATTGAATATAAGTAGACTCCTCATCAGGATCGTAATCTTTCATGTATTTATTATTAGCTTCTGCATATCTTTTTTATATCTGTGATATTCCACCTCTTATCCCTCGCTCAAACATCATCAACATATCATAATCATGTAGTAACTGTAATTCTTGACCTGTTTCTTTGAGACATGCATCCCAAGCTAGCCCAGGGGATGTATAGTAATGCGCTGGATCTAGATTGTAATGGTGGAGACAAGTTTTTCTAAAGTTCTCAAATACATCTGACAGAAGTAGGACATCAGACTTTAGAAAAAGATCGTGATAATCTCTAATTGTTTTACATTTGAAAGTATTCCAGACATTAATAGCGTGTTTATAATCATCATCACTTATGTCTTCATCATTTAGTTTTGAATAGAATTCTTCTTTAGGAGGTAATTGTGTTTCAGATGGTTTTTCATTTGAGGAAACATAATCATATGGATAAACACCTTTACGAGTTAATAACTCTACATTTTCACTAAATATTTCTTTTGTATTATAAAAATCATCTGCTTGTAAATTACCAACAAGATTAGCTACGGATGTTTGAAGAAACTTGAATGAATCAATAAATCGTATTTCAAAATACAATGAAATCATTTCTCCAGTGCTTCTAGATTTATTCTCATCAAACTTAATCTTTTTGGAAAACGAAATATACTTTTCTTCTGTCGAGGGAATACAGTTTAACTCACCTGGTAAACAAGCAAGTTGCTTTATAAACAAATGTGCATCATACCCTTGAAGATTGTGAAATATAACTGGAAGAATCATTGGCTTCCTACACTGAAGATTGCAACTGTTATGAGCAGCTCCACGGTATTTACCAGTAAAATGACAATGATCTCTAACTTTGTCAACTCCTTTATCAGTTAGTAATTCTTTCCTACAAATATGACAAATTTCTGCTTTATCAAAGGATATTTGTTCTTGTTTTGTTAATTTAAGAGGTATTGGACGACGACAAAAATCATTATATATCTTATTAGTTACTTTTGCAAGTTTATTAACAAATATTTTAGAAATATCATCACTGTCTTTTGTTTTTGTGTAAATAATTGGTTCAAATTTTATACCAGGAACTATTCCTTTGATGTAAAAACAAAATCCTGATGGTTCATGCTTTTGGTAATTGTAATTATATGATTTTTCTGGATTAGGACTGCAAGTATTAATTGGCTTAGTAAAACATTCAAAATCAGCATAAACTACAAAAGGAATTGGAAGTTGTTTGTGATAGTTTTTAAAACCTAACATTGTGTTTTGTGGTGGCATTTTCACAGAAACTGTTTCATTATTTGAACAATATAAGATATGTTTTTGTAATAATTCATACTTAGTGTAATGAGTGACGCATTTCTTACAAATAAATATTGTACCATTCTTAGTTGAAGTTTTATGCGTCTTAACCAAACGAGTAAAGTTTTTAATTAGTGAATAATGTGAAACACCATCTTCTTCATATAAAAACCAATCAATAGTATTTAAACAATCTTTTTCCGCCATCCTCAAAGGATAAAACTTTTTGTTTTCATTAACTGAAAAAACATTAATTCCTGGAATAGTAGGATTAAGTTTTTCAAATTTGGAAATATGTTTTAATTTCATAGGAAAATCAATTCCTTCGGTGTTAAGTGAAAACTCATACTTCTTTATATCTGTTAATCGGTAATCATTATCTTCTCTTGGATAAAGATACCTAAGTATACACCAAAGAAAACATTTCTCATCTTTGTTTTGAATATTAACTATTGCTTTTTTATTTGATATCCAATCTGGAAGAGGAATGTAAGATGATCCCTTCGTTGGATTAAACTCAACAGTATGAATTTCAAGTTGAACCACTTCATTAAAATACCATCCACTTCCATTTCTTTGAAATGCCTCTAAATCTTCAATAATTTTCTTAACACATTTATCAATTAATTTCTCTACATCTGTCGATTTAAGATTAATATGTGTTTCTGATCTAAAGTATACCTTATCTTGTTTTAATCCAACAACTCCCTCATCTTTACTAAGTATTTGTTGTTCCATTAAACATACCAAAACCATACTAAATTTAATATTACGATGATATGTAAAAAAATCTTCTAAAGTTTTATAAACTTTATTAAAATATTCAATTGGAGTAAGACCAGGTTCTCCTTTAAAGATATACTTAACAGCAAAGTTTTCAAAAGCTGATTTTTCTTTTACAAGTCCTTGTTGATATTCCTTAATAGCTCTCTCAAGAGCTTCACGAAAATAAGGAGTATCTTCGGGAAATTCTTTATTTTCTATACATTCCTAAAAATACTCATCAAATGATTTTATCTTTTTCATTTTAGGAGGACCCACCTTTTTGGGTTTGGGTTTAGGTTTTTTCCTTTCTTTTTTTATATATATACCTTGTTTTACTTTTTCATTAAGTTTGTCTATTTTTCTTATATCACGAATTATTTTTTCTTTCTCTCCTTGTTTCTTCTGGTTTAATATATATCTTAATTGATCCAAAGATAAACTCTTATACTCTTTATCTCTTATAAAGGGTTGAGAACCCTGAAAACCATCATTTGGTTGGTTAGACATGACGTCTTATAATCTTATAATTAGATTATAAGACTTTAAGCTATAATTAATCACTATCACTATCGCTCAAAATAATATTATAATAAATCTCATCATCACTATCACTATCAAAAATTTTTGATTTATAATATTCTTCTTCACTATTATAATCTACATTTAATTTTTCCTGAAATCGACTAAAACATTCAGAAAACTTTTTAAAACCTGGATAAACATTTTCCACATTATTATCATACTTTTCCTCATCAAACTCATAACTATACTCACCATGATATAAACTCCTATAATCATCTAATTGTAATTCTAAACTCTCTATTGATTTAATATCTTTATATTTTAAAGATATTTTACTAATATCATTAAGATAACCTAATTCTTGGGCTTTTAAAAATCTATTAAAGTTTCTCATAAGACTATCAGCTTGTGGACTTTTAAATATTTCTCCTTCTAAATCTAATGTCTTAATAAATTTTTCACATGTCTTATTAATCCCTCTTATAAAAAGATATTCATTTCTGTATTCCCTTGCATAATCTGGGATTTTATTAGTTTTTTTAATGCATTTCTGGTAATTCGAAGAGTGCGCCAGGATAACCATTTCCCTAACTGCTAAAGTTCAATCCTCCGAGAGAACCCACGCCAGGCCCTTATCATAGGTAATGTGTACAGTCTTGTACAAGAATCATTGGTGTACAATTTTTCTTCTTCTTCTTTTTATATTTTGTTTTGTTTTTGTTCCGTTTTGTTTTATTTATTTATTTATTTATTTATTTATTTATTTATTTATTTATTTATTTATTTATTTATTTATGTATTTATTTATTTATTTATTTATTTATTTATTTATTTATTTATTTATTTATTTATTTATTTGACCAGGTAATCAGTTAAACAGATTTATTCAACGTTCCTCAGTTTGCACTGACAAATTGAGGGGGTAAAAACAAGTGACATATTCCAGTCGCGGGTAGTTTGTTGTAGTACTCACTTGTCTCAGTATAGTGGGGCCAGTTCCGAAAAACCATCGGATCACTGAGGATATGAACGGTGAGAGAGGCGGCCATTAAACTCGCGAACTTTTTCCAGCAATCTGTACCGGATTTTCCGCCATCTTTGTAGTCTGAAATGCCTTTAATTATAATCCAGGGAATGTCCAAGTCGTGAGTTGCTGCATGTAGACCTACAATAGATTCGAATGAAATAATCTTATTACCAAATAGACTAGTAAACGAATCCAAGACAGCCTAGGATTCACGTTTCCAAATTAAAGGCAAACATTTCCCCGATTCCGGAATCCGGGTTCTCTTACATAGGGAGAGGGCTAGACATGCAAATTTAGAGACGTGGTTAACAAGAAGCTGGTTTTGTTTTAATTCGTTTCGATGTGTCATTTATTTATTTATTTATTTTAAAGCTAAACTAGGAAAAGTTTTCGTTAGCGTTGAATGGAGATTAATATGGAATAGCAGCTGCTAATTAAAACATTAACTAGGAAAGAGAAAAAAAAGACGAATTAAAAATTTAACTAAATGCCTTTTGAAGTGTCAAGGTCTTTAGAGGAAGTTGTAGAGGAAGTTGGTTTATGCTCGCCAAAGAAAACGTCACCATTATTAAATGAAGCTATCTGAGCCAATTGAAGATTTACACGTTAACAGGGCAATGGTAGAATCTTTGTTCAGTTATTGTAACTCAATGGACTCTGAGCGCTGGTCCGATTGCAGAAAAAGTAACCCAAACATCCTGTCTTTGATTTTTCAGGTAACGGCTGTTAGGTAGGCTATGTGATATCTGTGTGACTATGCTTACCTTGTCCTTCTAATTCCATGGCAACTGCTTGTGGAAATCGCTTGATGAGTGTCTCGCAGCATTCGTTGTTATCAATCACCCCTGGAACACTCAGAAAATCGCCACGATGTATTTTCACTTCAAGTGCTCTGGGATCTTTCAAAGGCGCTTCCCAACCATCTCCAGCATTAGGGATCAGCCTTAAAAAAAGTGATTTCAAAGGAACTTTGTCTCCGAATTCCTCACTGGATGGAACACAGGTTATTAACTTCTCTGAAATAACAACGTCTCCTCGTTTGACTTCACATGATTTTAAGCTGTAGCAGACACCCACTAGAAACACGGCTTTAGGCCTCAAGATTCTGACAGCTGACAATACAGAAACGGTAGAGCCCCCAGCAGTGATTGAACCCCTGTAGCACTTCATTACAGCAGTTCGTAGTTTTATTTCACCTTCTCCCATTTCCCCGAAGTATACGTAACCAAGTTCTTTGCAGTAGCTTTTACAGAGACTGTAATTCAAATACGAAAGGCAACTCAGAAATTCACAGTCCTCTACAGTAAGTAACAACATGTCAACTGGGAGTAAACCATCATTCCAAGGCAATGACATTTTAGGAAGGTCCTTATTTTCAAGGAGAGTAACAGTGACCTCTGGTTGGTATCTTGCAGTTTCTACGGAGATAAAAATAGAGATTTCTAAATTGACAGAGTTATGAATCGAATAAATACGATTTAACAGTAAACAGGCTAAGTTGTATGCGTTGCTTGTTACACAATGTGCAAATTTGTATGGGAAAAACTGATATTTATCGAATAAAGCGGTGAAACAAACCGCAAACTTTTTAATGGCCGAAAAGAAAAGCGACATGAGCTATTTTCTATTAAATGTTCGTTCAAGTGTTTAGTTAAATAACCGCCATATCGGCTTTTCTGATAAGCATATTATAATTCGACTGTTGTTGTTGGTCGTTACCGAAGGTAAAATCAAACGCCTTAAATACCTCCTTTACATGGAATGAGGCTGACATAGTGAAGCTCATGAACGTGACCCAGCACAAGTCGTTTACTACCAGTAACATCAAACTCTGGGCAGATCATTACGTCAAGGTGATGACTGCTGACCACTTGAATGCATGTTTTAAAGTAGTTTGCTGCACCATGTAGAATCACGTGATCACCCCATGTACCATCTGTCATCATGCTCGTGAGGTAAGCATCCCAAGATGAATATCCGTTAACAAAATTGAAGAGCTCTGTCCCATCCGGCTGTGAGAGAAAAATCTGTAGTTAGTAAATAGCCAACACAGCGGTGTCAGCGGTAGTTAGTTAAAATCTTAGCTGGCTTACCGCTTAATGAAATGAAATAGTAGTGACGCGATAGAAGTTGTGCGGTTCACATGAGAAGGCGGGCAAGGCTAGTTGCAGAGACCTTGGTTTCCGCATCGGGGATCAAGGTAACGAGACTGGAAGTTTATCCATATTTTTGTTTTCATCGACAAAATTGATTTCTATAGGAAGTAATGAAGAAGGACTCTCAGAGCTACAGCAAAAACTTTACGTTTTGCTCGTCACTAAAATATGATAATGTAGGTATATTAATTAAGTGTTTTTTTGAGTCTGCCATTTTGATCAATGAATGTCAAAGTGCTATTATTTTCAACAGCAATGTCACGTGGTTTCGCAGGGGGCAAGCAAGCGACGAAAGCTGACAATGCAAGAAATCGCGGTCGAGTTTGTTCATTCTAGACAACAGAAAAGGAAAAACTGCTTACCTTAAAGACGATAATAGCAAATTTTGAGTGAAAGTGTTCATTATTGCCTTTTTTTCTCCTGGATGAAGTAGCGACCGTATAGATGTCCTGGCAGCAAGCAATACTAATGTTACTTGCCTTGTCGAAACTCCATTTTGTAAGGCTAAAACCGTCTCTTTTTGAGAGAACAAACCAACTCGACCGCGGTTACCCGGTTTGGCCCCAGGGATTGTAATCCCTGGTATGGCCCATACGTTGATGTGTCGTTGGACAGGGTATGGCTTTCGCCCCTCTGTCCTAAACAGGGTGTATAATCTCGAGTGAGTCTGTTCTAATTGTAAGAGAGTTTAAGATTCACTTTTACGCCAAACGGCAAACGTCAGATTCAAGTTGAGAATTTCTCAGAATAGAAATAAGCAGATGAAAACTGTCCAGAACAATTCTTATGTATAAAACTGGCTTCAAACTACTTATTTTTTAGTTGAAGTGATAAACAGTTAACGACAATTGAGGGAAAAACTTGGTCACGTGGTACAAATTCACATTTGCCGTAAACGTGAATCTTAATCTCTCTATAAACAGGGTATTGCCTCCACGGTTGATTTCATTTGCTTGATGAAAATTGTTTCTACTCCAAGTACACAAAAACAATGACTATAACATGAATTTGCTCTCTTGAAATTGCCAATGGCCTTTAAAACAAGACGGCGTGCACTGCCCTAAACAAGGTAATAAAGTTGAGGTTGTTTTCCCATGCAGGGTATGTATTTTAGGATTTTTTTCCCTAAACAGAGTCAAGGTTTCAAACCTTCAGAGGCTCAACTATACCCAAATACCGGTCGAGTTCCACCTGAGGTATTGACAAATTTTATCACTTGTTTGTCCCCTGGAATACCACGTAAGAATTGCTGTTATCCCATCCATCCTAAAGCGCGTGTGAAGACTGCGGTATCCTAGGCCGCATCGAGAATAAGATCTATTTTCGCGAGCTTGTTCGTATCTCGCTTTCTCCGCTTAAGAACCTACATTAGAAAGCGTGCTCGCGTGCTACAGTTTCAATTTTCAATAGTCAATGTATCTAGAAAATGTAAGCGAGAAAAAACTCACACTGTATTTTCATAGGAACTTTCAAGAAATTTAGGATATTTACAAATGATATGCCAGCATTCAAAGAAAATGAAAGGAATTTTAATGAATAGACTGTCAATACCCAAAAAGATATTAAATCTTCGCCAAGGATTAGCAAACTTGAATGACCGTTGAGTCTTCGACCTAGGCCAAAGCAGAATGATTAAGTTACTGGCAACAATTAACTTACCAGCGCAGGGTTTTCCTTGAGATATTGGACCACTGTTTTCCGTAACTGTCCATGTGAGATTTCAGTTCCTTTTCTAAGGCCGAGCTGTTCCGAAAGTGCAAAAAACATACAGTTCCCCTCCCCTTGATTGTTAGAAATCACAAAGCCTTTTTCCGTCGTTTTGTTCCTGAAATTCACCGGCAACTCAGGTTTGCTAGTCCCTTCCTTGGATTCCAGTTCAATTTGTCGAAGAAAAGGCAGTCCTGTTAATGAAAAAGAACAATATCAGTTATAACCTTTGATAGCTTGGCGAGGGGGGTACTCAACAGAGCTTTATACGGGGAGGCTCCGCCCCGATGTCCAAACCCTTACTCTTTTATATACTACTTTCAGCAGTAAAGGTACTCCTTTCGTATTCCTTCTATTGACAAATGGTATCCCTTTCACATACCTTTTGTAGATATTTGTATCCCTGTAAATTGCTGTCAATACACTGTCCTTTAAAATATGAATAAACCACAACAACAGAAAACTTTATCGACTTTTCCACAGCCATAAAATGCATATACCTGAAGCACAAAAAAGGTACCCATTTAGGGCGGAGCGTTCCCGTATAGGCCATTATACGAAGTACCCCACCCGGGTAACTTCTGTTTTGGACATTTCTGAGGCTGATAAATCCAAAGAGAATAAGACTTTACACAGGTTTTTTTTCTTGTTTCTCTGCTTTAGAGTCTTTTACGATATGCTCTATCTTATCTATGATTTAAAGCCCTACAACTTCTCAATTAAGGAGCTAAAATTTAAGCATCATTATTAATTGTAACATAAAAAACTAGTAAATACCAAGGTGGCTTCAAAACAAACGGTGCTCGGGCCTACAACACCCTACCGAGAATCATTACACAAGTAGAGACCCTCAGTGAACTTAGTATCAAAAAGCTAAAGCGCCATTTCAAACAGTAACGCCCGCGCTACATGTTGCCTTTGTAACTTAGTTAATTGTCTAGTTTTAATGTTTTAATGTCTTTTTTTGTGTTTTGTCAGGACTCCATTTAAACTAGCTCTGCTAAATTGGATGCCCCTGGATAAATACTGATTAAAAAAATAAAATAATAAAAAAATAACTGATACCTGCACCCTTTATTCTCTTAGAAAGCGAAGGAGCGTAAAAAGACACCTTTCTTTTGGATCTATTGCTTATTTGCGCTTCTTCGTCAGAAACATCTATAAGAAAATTGTAACAACAACATTAACATCGCTGAGTCATTCTTTATTTCCTCTATCTGCAGCCCCACCCGATCGAACACAATAGTTTCTGAAAAATATGTACAAATAAAACTCCTCAAGAATTGAAAGCGGACTATAGGTGCGGTTACACACACTATGGTGAAAGGCATTTCCCCCATTAACAAAGCCGTGGGTTTAGGTTACCGTGGTAACATGCTGTTACAAGCGAATTAATTCCCAAGGTAACTAAGTTAGTTCCTTTTACGGCTTCCTTCGCGATTTTGCGGTAATAATCGCCTTTGATCATGGCAGTTTTTCATGTTACGTTGAAATTTACGTACAATTTAGCTGAAATTTCAACTGATATGTCAACCCTGATAATTTAGGAAAGGTACATTGCATTTTTTCTTAAATCTTGACCTCTTTTTTTACAGTTCAGCTGTAATCCACTGTTCGATTACATGCCAGGAATAGAATATGTTCTTAAAAAATATCTTTCCTACGTCTGGCCCAACAAACCAGTTCAAACTTTTGCCTTACAGATTGCCACTACAGTGGAATCCGGTTAATAGGGACACGAAGGGGACATCCCATAGTGTCCGTATAACCGGATGCCGTATCCAAACCCTCTATTAGCCAGATTAGCGGGCTTTCACAGAAAACATCACGCACACATGTTTAATCTATATGTAGACGAAAGCAAACATTTTCACGAGGAAACTTTGCTTAAGTTCTTAACTGAACTGCATGAAAAAGTTTACCCTTAAGAAACCCGACGTCTTTATCACAGTTTTGGACCAAAATTACCTTTTAAGTCAGTGTTCTTATAACAGACAATGGAATCCGCGACTTTACTTTGTACTGAAGGTTTTGGGTTGCGGGTTCCAAGTACTGTCAAAATGAAAATGGTTCGAAAGACCCTATAGGTAAAGGCGCACACGAGCCAAAGGCCCCCGAGGTTCAAGCCTCGCCCGTAGCGTTTTTTCCTTAGACAAGGAACTTTACTCCACTTTTTTCTTCACCCAGGTGTATAAATGGGTACCGGCGACATCATAATGATACCGCTGAGGTAACACGGCGATGGACTAGTATCCCGTCCAGGGGGGAGTAGCAATACCCCTAGATGCTTCATGCTAATAAAACCGGGATAAGCCCCCGCCTTTTGGCCTTTTTGGGCCTTTGAATGGCCCTATAAATACATTTTAAAGTTACGGCCCAAATGATCTTGCCAAAACTCGCTTCGGAATTGTAAACTTGTGAATCTGTTCAAAAATGTCAACCCCTAAAAGAAAACCGAGTATTTGGAGGGTTATCAGCAACAAAGATAAGAGTAATTAATGAAATTTCTTATGAGAGAATCTTGCATGTCCTTGTCAGTCGTATATTGAAATGTGTTAAGGTACTGTTATAAGACACTTATCCACCCCCACAGATATGTTGCCCAAGTTACCTTCTAGTGAGAACCATTTTTCCAGTCCGGGCAGCGTCGGCATCTCAAGTCTTTTTTGACAGTGCCTCGGTATCCCCTCCTCTACTTTCAGAAGGCACAGACAGTCCTCGTGAGTACAGCACTTCTGTTCGTGGATAGAACAAACCTGTTCATGTCGCAGACAGCCAGGACATGCGACGCACCAGTCACACTTCAGGTTTCTCAACCACGACAGCTCACGTATTAGGGTCTGCAATGTCTCTTCCAAAAACTTTCGAACAAGAATAGCCACCTCGTTTGTTTCAGCGAACGATGCTTGGTTTACTTCACGATGACTTCCCTTTGGTTGTGTCAAGATGATCTTGATGAATCTTTTCCTGCATAAAAGAATGAACTGGTGAGAGGACTTTTTCCCTATGAAAAACCGGGCGGCTCCATCGAAAAAATGTGGCGTTTCCTTGAAACCACTCTCAGAGTACCATCTAGTACAACGTGACACGAGCTGGCAAAAAAGACCGTGAGGGACAAAACCCCATTTAAAATGGAGGTAGAGAGGACAAGGATCTGAAGGTGATAATTTCATTTCACAAAGGAATTCAGGTGGTGTCTTCAGTTGACAGGGTACAAAGTACATTTCATCTGTCAGCGACGCTGTAAACTTGGCGATCAGTCCGAACTGCTCCATCATGTTCAAGATATCCTCCTTGATCAGGTCTTTCAGTTGGTAGCACTTGGAGAACACATGATCAACCAGCTCCATGTTGAGGACCCCTGTATCCTCCATTTCGTTCCACAACCTGGAAAGTCTTGGTACCTATCAAACCCGGAGGAAGGCATTTCTTCAGCAAAACAACCAAATGTCACAGCTATAAAGATGGAATTAACTCAGGTATATTAAGGCCTAGATCTATCATTTTTTTGCTCTGAAATATAAGGGGGTGGTCTATCTTCAAAAGAGAATGTGTGGCAAGGCTGAGACATGGTCATTGTATTATCCTTGTGAAGAAAGTATTTTGAGATTGACGTCACCATGGTAACGTATTGCGTGATCAAGTAACGCTTCACTTCCGTATTTTGTCTTTAAGGATTCTGCAGGCAGGGTAAAAAACTTTTATTGAGCATTTTTATTGGTGCTGTTTTCACCTATCTAAAGTGCTTTCCAAATGTAACTGGAATGGTGATATGCCTACCCTTGATGAATGTTTTCTGGCTGTCACGTGACAGAAAAATCGTCACATTTCAATGACCACGTGACCTGGACATGCCTTCCAGTTAGTTTCGTGCACATCCCGATACGCAAAACACTTTCCGCGCGTTATTTGTTAACTAAAAGTAAGTGTGTATAAGTTCTCCTACAGATGGCCTGAAGTTAAAAATGGTAATTGAATACCTCAATGAGTCACGTGATCCTTATCTTGACAGCTTTCAATCAAACTTAATCTTTACAACGCGATTCAGTAAGCTCTCACGTAGGTTTCGTGTCAATACGTTGCATTTGCGGAGATAGACCACCTCCGTTCATTGTTTCATGTTTTTTTACGTTTTTTAGATGACCCTGTCCTTAATACACCTGAAGGATCTTAACCTTTTTGTTGGGCGCTACCACAAAAGAAATAGACGACTGAAATGCGAGGTGCCAATATATCCAGCACATTAAAGACTGGATTAGTTAAATATTTTGGCAATGAAGTAGCGATATATTCTTAACAATAGAGGTCTCAGAAATACATGTCCTTGAATAACTTGAGAGGTACGATAAAGCGTCAGATCGAACATGTATTAACTGTAATACATCATATCAGCTAGGCTCGACTACCAGCCGCTTTTCGGGAAAATGAGCCCGCACTCATACCCCCGAAGGAGTCTCTCGTCGGAAAGGATTAAACACCGGACCCGGGAGACGGCAGAAATCGAGCCTACATATCAGCAGAATATTGAGTTTCAGGAGATAACAAATAAGCATTGTAAGCTACATATGTGAAATACCAGTTAGAGCTAAATTTTCAAGAGGAAGGCCAGTGGTATAGCAGGGATTTTTGGTTTCCTTGTTCTTGAGCTTAAGCAACGACGACGGCGACGGCAACGAGAACAGCAAAAAAAAGCAATTGGCTTATATTAGCAAAACAACAACTTTGCACGTACATCACGCTTCTTGTACATTTCTTTGCCGTCGTTGCACGACTACCACGTGAAAATGCCTAATTTCACGTTTTGTCGAGGACGTGGACACAAGACAAGGCGCGACTTTCTTTTTTCTTGCCTGAAATACAGACCCTTAGAATTCAACTCCAGAAAAATTCGCCAACATTTTTAGCAATAAATTGAACAAAAAGAAATAAGCGCGAATTCACCTTTTAAGGTAAATCCCTTGTTTTGCACTGCGCATCCTCTACTGTGCATAACATTGCTGGTGGCGGTTCTTCGCACTAGCGCTAAAAGAACAAACAAGGGCCGCTTTTGCAGAGCTAAAGCTTTTATTCGTAATAATGATGCCGCAGATCGGCTGAAAGCTTCCTGGTTTGCTATCAAAAAACAAGAAAATGAAAGAAATGTGCGTGATCCCGAAGTCTGCAGTGGTTTTTCACTTCGCGGCCGTCGAGTTGTGGAATTATTAAAATGTGCTGGCTGAGGCTTTGGATTGTGAGGACTGTGAAGCCTGTGGGACAGCTCTACGGCTCTCCAACTGCATTAACGAGCCAGTATCTCGCCTGGGATTGCTACTGTACATATGTTGTTCAAACTCTGAGAGTGGAGAGACGAATATTTCTGGAACAAATAAGACCCACCGTATAGCACCAGAACCACGCAAGGGAGACCAGTCTTTGATGTAAATACGAAGTTTTGCTGTGTATAGAGACCAAACAAGCGAACATATGAAGAATAGGAATCAATAGTCTTTTCTTCAAGTCTCTTCGTCAAGCATTTATATCGTGCAAAAGTAAAAAAATCGAACCCTAACTCACTGGAATTAAACAGAACGGCGGCGCTACAAAATAGTCCAAAATAAAGATTCATAACTCCAAAATCTCATCAAATTTTGACTTACCTCATTCCTTGGTATTTAATGTACTCTTTTCAAGTTTGAATTTCTGTGTTGGCGATATCAAACACATAAAAACAACACAAAACAAGCTTGATTTCGAGTGCATACTTCGAACACGATGGGCGTTACTTTGTATCTCGCCCCAGTCCCCGCCGCGCAAATTATCAATCCTGACTGCGATCTCAAAACCACGTCCACCTTTCACAGCAGTTTGTGAGGAAACAAGCACGGTGACCCCCGATTTTTTTTCCCAGGTATTTGCTAAGAACAGTCTCATAAAGAACATATTTGAAGAAGAAAAAAAAGTTTGATAGTAGAACATGATTTTTTGGGGCAAATAGTTTCGTATTTGGTGTATTTGGGTCAAGGCGAGGACTTCTAGCTAAACCACGGAACTGTCCAAAAAAGTGCAATATCCCCACAAACAGGCAATCAAAAACAAATTATATGAAGCAATACTGCTATTTGAGTAAAAGAAGTTTTACGTTCAAGATAAAATTTTGTGTGTTTCAAGTAAGAACGACTTAATTCTGTAAGAAGGGGATTCGAATTTTTAACGCGCAACTAGTAAAAATATCCCAGTTTAAGAGCCTGCTGACGCGTAAACAAGCACTGTGACCCCATCTTTTTATTGCATTTTTTTAATGTTCATATCATGAATGTCGATTATGCCACGTTTCAAAAAAAGTTTGATAGTAGAACAATTTCAAGGGAATTACCTTAAGTGACGTTTTCGTAACCGTCGCCGTCACTGCTGCTTAAGTTCCCTAGTTAGCGGGCGATCGATAACGTCATAAACAAGACCAGAAAGCATTTCATTTTCGACGGCGTGACACCATCCTTAGATTGGCTGGTTTGTCAGGTTTAAGGTGGCTCTGATTCCAACTAATAAAGTGGCCATTGGTTGTTTCTTTTTGACAAAACATTAAGCTATAACTCGCAAGTCACCTATAGCCACTGAAAACGTGATGGGTTTAAAGTGCAAGTTAAGTTTTCTGACGTGCCGTGCATATCAACAAAGAAACCCTTTCAAGACAGTACAATAATTATGAACGTTAATTATCGCCTTGCTCTCTGGAAATCTTGTAAGGCTTAGCTCTAGATCTGTAAGGTCATTGAAGGTTTTTTAAGAGACAAGAATCGTCGAAAGGCGATTTTTAACTGGGCTGCAAAGGGGCTATTTTTTCTGAGGGGAGGGGGCGGCTATACACACTCAGGCTACCATAAAACCTTGTCGGCAACCATTGCATGCAACAGAATCTCATGTGAGACTGAAACATAAGCTCATTCAGAACATTGTACCCTTTTGAAAGACTTTCGTAACTAAAAAAAAAGAGTACCATTTTTAAGTGGGGGCTGTAAAATAACTTTTAAATTCCACCATTATGAATAAAAATAAACAAGTTAGCCATTAATTCTAAACAGGAAACAATTTGCATTATTTCCACGCACCCCTCCCCCAATCCCTCTGTGCCCCAAAATATAGCGTGACAGTATAACGTGACTAATTTGACGTAACCGGAAATTTCAAAAATTGTTGTCCTTCTACGAGCATAAAATGCGACAGACTGAGCTGATTTACACTAGACAGAAATATTGTATTGTATGAAAACCAGAAGTATACTAAAACAGACAGTTATCTGCCCACTGATCCTGCCTGATCCAGGGGCCTCACTGACTGCACGGAGACTTTACTGCGCTTTTCACAAACGTGCGAACTCTAAAGTTCAAAAGCCACCTTCACAATTGTGTTTATGGCTGCCGTCAATCATAATTACGATCACAAGCAACGAACCTTGAAACAGAGAAACACACAAAACGGATCGAAATCCACAAATCACAAACCATGACCTTTTGAACCCGTGAAGTAAATTTTTGTTTCCTAAGAGGTCCGTTAAGATGATTGACAGCAGCGAAATACGCAATCGTCGGTTGGGTTCTGAGCTCCAGAATTCGCATGTTTGTGAAAAGTGCGATCCTAATTTGCGGTCCACAGTCTACATGAAAACGCACTATTTTTTCCACAAGATGAAAAGTATTCAGTTTTAAGATTTTCCTTACGGTATTTTTCTCTAACTTAAAGGAATAAAATCCTTTGCATTTTGAGACCTAAAAAAGTTTAAAGATTTCTCGCTCGCATGTTGCGTTCACCAGCACGCACTTCAAACAATGTAAATAGATGAAACGATCGATAACATATTTTTTACCTGATACCGATATGAGTTAAAAATTCGCTCCAGTTCTGTTTGTCTCACCCAAGACTAACTTTTCTTCATGGAAGATAACTATGCCGCTTTATAACTCGTCCGAGGTTTTTGTGCCAGCTAAACAATATGGAAACACTATTCACAGTGACTCCTTGGATATTAAAAAGACTGAGCGTGACGCACTATTATGCCTTTGTTTACTTCTGATCACATCTTCAAGCGAAGTCTCTCTTTTCAAGCGATTCATCTCAATGCACAATAATTGACCCTTATATTAGTTAAAATCCTATGGTTCATTTATATTAATGCTGTTTTTGCCCCTCACATTGACTGTGTTCGTTCGTATTCAAAACACCTTTACGAAAATAAAGGTCGTATAAGTCATGTGTGTTATGTTTCGAGATAAATGGATTATACGCTTTTTTAAGTTTCCATTTTGCGGTGACTTCAGTTTACATCTCCACAAAATGGTAAAAGAAATATCAAGAAACATCACGAGCGCTGAAAATTTTCAAAGGCATGTTTCTGAAACTCGCTAATGCTGACATCAATATAGCGTGCTTGCTGAATGGGCGAAAACACAGAATTGTGATCACAAGATCTTGTACAAATTTAATGATAAAAGCTTAGCAAGATACAGATACAAACAAAAGCAAACCCCCTGAAACCTCGACGTGGGCTACACTTATATGCTCTACTCAGTCACTAAACCTTGTCAGTAATAGCTGCTATTTTCCTCAAGTCGCTCTCTGTGAAGCTCCCGGATGGGATGTCCCGGAGAAGCTTTAAACTTGTGTGCGAAATTCTCAGAGTTCCTATTTTTGTCCGTGTCTTCTTTATCCTCAGTATCCGAAATTTAGATCTCCAAAGTGGCGTGTGTTGCATTAAATAGAAGGAAATATTTAAAGGAAAAGCCAATCTTCTAACATGGCAAAGTTGTCACGTCCCTCGCTTATGGACGTGCCTCACATCAGGATTCATCTGCCATTCATCGGCAACTGAGTTGTTCGCTTCACTGACTATGACTGCTTACAATCAAGTCTTCAGCCATAATGTCGTCAACTGGTGAAATACTTTGCTCATAAATTGTGCTTCTTAATTGCTCATGTACTACATCGATCGATAGTTCACGAAGCGGCCACGGTGTTCCAAACCTGACGCTCACAGTCATCTTTTCAGTCTTTTAGTGTGAACCTACCGTGAACGGCGTGTCGGTTTGAATGCAACGCGAGCATTTCTCTGAGTTTCCCAGCGCCAACATCATCTAACTGACTTAAACTCGAACAATAAAAAAATTATAGAGTAACTCCCATGATCGAATCGCTTCGAACAACACAAATAGCCTTCTTCAGGTTCGCAACGCCTTGTGAGTTTTTCAGGGGGAGCGCAAACGAGGAACAAAAAGTATCCGTGTAAGGCTCCGAGCAAGAGAAACTCATATGAAACCATTTGTGAGAACATCGTTTCTCGGTAGCAGACCCTCGTGTCTTCCCTCCCCCGGGAGACCACTTTTCGACACCGACGACCGAAAGCCCATTTTATGACTGGGCCGCACAGGCAGCCCAGTAATAATCAAGATAATCAAAAGCTGATATAAAAGGGGGTGGGATGGTGTTTTCTACGAAGGTCATTCATTATGCTGCAATGTAATCAGGCTGAAACAATTAGGATGGAAAAAATGTTCCACTTACCCTTTCGTAAAAAGGACGAATAGTTATGAGTTGTCTGAAGACCTCTATGAGCCACTGAGTCCGAATTACAACTGTGTTGCGGTGTCTGAAAATCATGCCGAGGTCATGATAGAAATCCAACATGGTGGCAGCCTCATCCTCACCTTCAATGAAGCAAACTCTCTGGATAATACCTTGAAGTTGTTCGAAGTTTAAATAATACATTTCCTGAGCAATCAAAGCTTTGATAACCCTCTCGAAGTTGAACCATCTGAAAACCAAATATGAAAACACAAGCTAAAAGAAGGTGTTAAAGAGTAATAACTGAACCCTTAATCTCCTACCGGGTGACTTAAGCAAAGAAAATCCAAGCAATCCAACCCGTTGACACAGGATCTGATCCTCTGCCGGAGCAAATTTAGCCTCCCACGCAGGCGTTTTTAGAGGAGCTCGTTTTTCATCCCTCCCCTTTGTGGGGAGGGATGAAAAATGAGCTCTCCAAAAAACGCCTGCGTGGGAGGCTAGTAAAAATTGGACAATGCTTCATTGTGCAATCACTGATATTGAAGGTATCGAGTTTTGTTTTCGTTTTCTTCCCTCACATTCTATGTTCGCTGAATGTGCTACGCACTGAAGAATAAACGAGGCTATCAGTGATGAAACTGTTCGTATATTGTCACTGAATTGAATACAATAATTTCGTCCAGAAGAAATCGTGCGTATGATCTTCAACATAATGTGTCGGTACAATCTATTAAAATTTGCAGTGTAAGAAGCGATAAAAGTCAGGTTGCGTGTATTTTAAAATACAAAAATATAAATTTAGGTGTTCCTTCTGGCGCTCCGAATAAATCCATCTTATCATATCTTCAGTATCTTAGCATATTCATAAGTGTGAGACTGGAAACACCGGATACGACAAGATTGATCTTCTTGACGTCAGCGGCGTCTGTATTCTGATAGATAAATAGGTAATGACCAAGTTTCTTTAAAATGCTCATTCAATTCATTTTATTCTATAACATGGGCTAAGCGGTATACCACACTATCAAAACAGGTTTGTCCCGAGGGTCCTGGGGCCAACACCCCAGACTGATAGACTTAAAGTGCCCATCACTTAAATTTTTTTGTTTTCTTATCTGAAACTACACCTTATTACAATAACTTCTGCGAAAAAATTTTGCGAATTGAACCAAAGACGATTTTTTTAGAATTTTTCAAAAACGTTCAAATTTGCCGCTATTTTGCCACACCATTTGTCTTAGTCTTCTCTCGGAGTATGACGTCATACGACGTACTTTAAGGAACACGTGAGCTTATCCACAGGAAAACATTAAGAGTTCTGATAGGTTTTTCTTTTTCCGAAAACCTCTCTTCTTGCGAAGACATTGTGATTCAATCCTTACCTGTAATTTATCTTTTTTGTGTACAGCTAGTGAAGGCAAGGTAATGCAACAGAGGAGGATCGAATAGTATCCCATGATGCATTTTTCCAGAAGCATCACGCAATATCGCAGTCATAGCAGATTCCATCATGAAATAAGGTCGTTTTCTCGTCGGCTTTTTTCTCACTCGATTTCCAGTAAAAGTAAACAAATTACATTATTTCGTTATTTGACATGATTTCTCCGATTTGCAATGGCTTAAGAGCGAAGTTTCCACATAGAAACATTTATTTTCACGGTTTCAATTAGTCTTCCCATCACAAAGTGTTCAGTGACCCACAACGAGGTCATGAATATTCAAGATTTTTTGGAACATATGTTGAAGTCTTCCAAATGTGGACCTCACGCCAGCAAAATGAAGACCTGAATATTGTACAGGCTAAGAAGTACCCAGAAGTACCCACATTTTGAAGACTTTTTCGTCGACCAGAGATGGCTGAAATTTCGAATCTTTTATCACATTTCAACGCCATGTGTCATAATATATGTGTAAAGCCTGATGAAGGCTACAATCTGTTGGGCGCTTTCGAGAGCGCTCTATGCCGAAGCAATCACTTTGTATTTTCAAAGAGGTTATTTTTAAAAGGAATTTGACTATAATTATTCTAATTCGAAGAAGGAGCGGTGTATAACGGTGTGTTTCAGTGTGAAAAGAACCCAAAGAAAGGTACCACGCAGCATGCAAGCCGGCACAACGTAAACTGAAGCCTGCTCAGAATTTGAAAAAGAAACATCAGAAACTTTAATTATTCAAAAGAACAGATCAGTATTCTGGCCAGGAAATTTCCTTGAAGATTGCTTGAGTCAGTACCGGGTAGACTGTGCTTCAGAGAATTGTTTGTCGCATCGATAGGTTAAATTTTGTTTGTAACTGCCATTGTAAACTTCAGCTCCTTTGAGCGCGATGCTGTAATAAATTCTCCTTTGGTAATTAGCTTCACAGCGTGGCGGATGTTTTGTTGGAACCACTTTATAGATCAGTCGTAGTTTTGGTTCTCCTCTGGCCTGGGTTCTCCTAGTGAACCTAGCGAAGCTTACAATTGCCAGTCTTATAATTTGTGTTTACAGTGCGACCGAGCGCGGCACAAGTAGTTCTCGACAGATCAGTGAAATACATGTAAAACCCTTCTCAGTCAAAGCAACGCTGAAATTCTCCTTTAAAGCACAGTGAATATAAGCCAACTCGATAATCTCAAAAGCAGAAGCTGCTGAACCGAAACATGTTTGGAAACCATCCACATCGAGCACTGCGATGGATGTTCACTTCGCGCGTGCTGAAGATTACTGATCATGATGTGTCACGCACGCAGTGATAATATAACATGAATCGAGGTGCATCATGGGATACTGTTCGATCGTCGTCTGGTAATGCAAGTTCCTTAATTTACGTCACATTATGTGATATGTGAGCCTGTTAGTTTGCATGATCAGCGGCACGGGTGTACCGCAAAAATGTAGACTTCAAAAATTGGTAAAAAAATCGCGTTTTGTTCAAACCGCAAAATTTTTTCGCAGAAGTTATTTTAATAAGGTATAGTTTCAGATAAGAAAATATAAAATTTTAGGTGATGGGCAGTTGAACGTCGTTCTAAAGCGCGGAAAAAGGCTGGGTTTTGCTATGTTGGAGGACTGGTACGGATGAATCTTTTCCTTCGTGCTGTCTTAGTTTCTCCTCCCTGTTTCCCCGATGTAGACTTTGACGCACGCACAGGAAATCCTGTAGATCACGAGACCGTCTTGTTAAGCCGGAACGTCTGGCCATTATATGCTACAGAACGAGATAAAGCGTATACATCGAGACCCACTGATATAATACTACCGTAGGGTGAAGGAAGCTATCCACATCATGAGGCTTCACCCTAGTAACATCAACAGAAAATGAACAGAGATAGCGGAATTGAAATGCGTTGATGTTCACGGTTAGGAAACGGCAAAAAGAGGATGGCAAATAAACTGACCGCCGAGGGAACTAATTCTCCGCGTCACGCAGGAAACACAACCGCGCGAACATTGTGTTCCATATGGCAGTTTTAGTTTTAGTTATTTCACCACAAAAAACGAAAGACGAGAATACAGAAATACACAGAATATGTGGTGAGGAAGCCCAAAAAGAAACCATAAAAATTAAGGCTCATAGATATTGGGCTCCCTTAGAGTATAAAAGTGTAAGTTTACAAGGCCAGGATTGAGCGTAAACTGAATAATTAAATGAAATTGATAGAAAGTGAATAACTAAAATAAATATGTATAAATATGAAGTATAGTAACAAACAAATACCCTAAACAATGGGACACTGTGAAGAAAACAGAAACTATTTACAAGGTTTATAATTATATAATTATTAGTTTTCATAGAAATGCTTACAAAGTTTAGATAGAATCTTTCATCTCACTTCCTAAAGAGTTATGATAAGGTGGTCCTTGGAAACTCACAGAAATTTTACGACTGCGGATTGGTTCTACAGAAAGGAAGGTGAAAATCATTCGTGCATTTAGTGTCACAGTATGGACTTTCTTGTTACGAAAAGTAATATTTATACTCTACTAGCAGTAGCGAGAATGGCGAAAAGAAAACATAAGTTTACCCAGTTCTAGTTGTCTAATGTCAGAAAGTGCACTGTGGTTGTTTACCATTCACAAAACGTTTCCGGAAAACCTGGTTGGAAAGTAAATGGAACACGACTTTTTGGGTCGTCCCAGTGGAAAATTTCCGGGAGCAACGGAACATATTTTTTCCCGGCAGAATGCTCCAAACGGAAATTCGTGTTCCATATCTTCAAAGCTATCCTTGATAACAGTTTCAGGCTTCGCGGCCGTTTTTTGTTAGTGGAAATGCTTTGTACAAATAGTAAACGCGATTTCGGGATGAAATTTACCAGTCCTGAATTTTGCTTACCATTTACCCAAACCGTGAAGCGATCAGTTTCCCATGAAAATGGTAAACAATCTGTGTAATCATTCGACCTCGCTGCCTCCGCAACCAACTCAAGTGACTACAATAAAAAGTTATGAGACAAACTATAACTTTATTTTAAAACGTTATTTATTAAGAATGATATTGCATAAACTTTACGCATAATCTTCAATAACTAATAAGGAGCAGAGTTTTTCTTGACTTAAAAGCTTACCTAATTGGCACTTCTTCTCCCATATATGGTTCTTGTTTTAAGACTTCAATCACTCGTTTCTTAAGTGAGACAACTCCCTCATCAGATGAACCTTGGGTATTATCGACAGAGAAGAATGGACGGATCACGTGACGTTCGTAGTCCTTTCCAGAAATTTCCTGCTGAATCTGCGATTCAGCCTCCTTGAAGTCTTGATATGGTTTATCTGCATGTGTTCCTACGATGAATACTGGAGGGCGACAGTACGGCAGATCTTCCACATTCGTTTTCCAGTCATTCACGTCTGGTTTTACTGAGCACATAGTCCTTAGAGAAACCAGCCATGACAACAAATTTTCTAAATTTGTTTCCTTATTTGGATTTCTGAGTAGAATTTTCCGAATTCCCTGTTTAAAACAAGGCTGAGCAGTGTCGTCTAATTTTTTGCTGAGATCGTGCACAAGTATATAAACTGCTCGTGTCGATAAAAAAACTGGGTAAGACGCATAGTAAAGATGTTGACCGGCGAAGTCCCAGAGATCAAGGATGCAGTGATGTTCGACTACTGTTGTATCACTTTGAAGGTTTACGTTTTTGAGAAGTTGAACAAGATGATCCGTAAATTCTTCTGGAGGCAAACTGGGATCGATTTTTAGGTCAGTTAAGACGGCTCTATCTGTTTCTTCTCTAACGTCGGATTCACCTGATGAGCCCTAAAACGGTTTTAAAAAGGTTAAAATGCTACTTTTTTAACAGTAACTACTTCAAATACAGTCGAATCTCTCTCTGCGACTATTACAGTGCAGAGTGTGTCGCTGCCACACCCTTACTGCATTGGTCATTCCTAGCTCAGAGTTTGTGGCTTCCCACCCCCATTAGGGTGTTTTGCTACCAACCTTATTGCATGCACGTTATGGTGTGAGTTGCTGCCACCCTTGTTTTACCTCAGAGTGCATCCAGCAACCTATAGTCCCATTTACTACCAAAGATTGTGTATTTTCTTTAAAAATAGTAAGCTACTAAGTTGTTAAATGATATTTTACTTGTAAAATAAAGTTAACTGGTTTAAACTTATTACTGAAGCCGTCAGTTTACCATGATATAGTCAGTTGTTGGTTACAAACATTTATTTTTTTGCGCTGCTCTGTTTGAATGAATCACGCTCACTTAGGTATAGTTTGAAAGACCTTGCCCCCTGCAGACGTTTGGCGAACAACGTTGTTTATGACCGCTTTTAATTAAAACATAACGTCACAAGCGGTACGTGGATCCAAACGAGCGGTTATTAAAAAGGGGAGTTGATCCTCAATTATTCTTATAACGTATACATTCGATAAGGCGCCCTGGGCGCTTATTTAACTTTTGGACCTTGAGAGTGGTCGCTTATTCGAGGTGGGCGCTTCTTTGAGGCTGGGCACTTATTAAATTTTCACAATTTTCAGCAATAGGAATTTTATGTTGCAACAAAATGTGACGATGTTTCGACTAAGAAGAATTTTAACTGTTCCTGGAAAGTTTCTTCAAAATACTAAGAAAACTCGGTCTTCAGGTAAGTCTCTAGCAGAACACAGTTTATTTCAATCTCATTTTCGGTAAGGTCAATTATTTTTTGGTCGGAAGTTGTAGGAGGGGTGGGTGCTTATTCGAGGCTTGTCGCTTATTAGCTTTTCCTGCCTGTAGGATGGGCGCTTTTATTTGACGTGGCCTGTTCGAAGTTGCGCCCTGAATCGGATAAATACGCTTATTAATAAGGAATAATGCCAGAACAGAAGTCCATGAAAAAGAATTGGGACAATAGATCCTCACTTAAGCAAAGAATTTCCTCTGAGGGTGGAACAGTGATCTGTAATGTTTACAACCTCGTTCCCACGGTGTGTCTCCCTTCTGCCCTTCTCCTGCAACAAAAAAATAAAGGCTTGCCACACGTACATAGAGGGGAATTTAAACTGACCTGATCCACTTGAGTCTTAAACAAGGCTGGTTTCTCTTCCATCAATGGCTTCACATTTGTTTCCTGTCCCTGACGTTTTTCAGGAGCGTCAAAACCAGCCTACAAAATGTGCCGATAAAGACGAACACATTAATTTTTGCACTTTATCAAGGGACCATTCTCCACTTAACAGAGCTGAGTTGTTCGAAGCTGGCTTAGCGGTAATCCTGGGTCATAGCTGGTGAGTTGTTATGGTAACTAACCCTTAATTTGCGCAAATCATCTCTTTCAATAGCGTTTCGCCCAGACTAACTTTGAATAGAAAATTCTTTTTTTAACACAGTAAGCACCCTCAGGGTATAAGGACGTGTTAGACCTCTTAAACCATAAATAATTTATTAAGAGCCACTAGGGCCCAAAATCTTACACACTTCCCAACTATCAAAGGCCTATCATGACAAGAGAAAAAAGGAAAGGAATAAAAGAGACCTCTGCCGGCCCCCAACGCGGTCGAAACTGTTTTGTTTTGAAAACCGATTTTATTTCCGAATCGATCGGCAATGCGCGTACCCTTTTGAGTGTAAGCTGGAAATCACTGAGCCCACAGTTTTTATGGCCTCCATGAGCTCCGCGAGTTTACCAGTTTTGCATTTCGATCATTCATTTCTAAGCTTAGCGACAAACATATAAAGTAACTGATATCTCTGCAAGTGACATGGTTATTTCAGAAGACGTGATACTTTTCCCAACCGGTAAAATTTTATTTGTCAACTAAAATACGAGTAGCTGCGGAAGTTTTCAATCATACTCGGCTACTTCGTGTGAATACGATAACGTGGAAGTCAAAGAAAAATTGGTAATGTCTCATGCTTCTTAAATTGTAGCTGGCAAAGATGTCGGTGAATTTTTATTTTATTTTTTCACACTCAAATCTTTTTCTGGTTCAATTTTCGATATGTAGCTAAGCTATTTCATTTGAAAATTGGAACATCCAGTAACTATGCCTAATTAGCCGTGCAAATGTTGTTTTGGAATCGCTGAAATCAATAATCGGCCGGTCGTGTGTGCTTTAACATTTCTTCAGAAACACTTATATTGGTTGTCTTTACACTGGGCTGTTAAGTAAGACTTGAGAGCTGCTAAGTTTTACTTAACCAAAAATTCGTGTGTGAAGGCCTAAGTAAAATCTCAAGTAACTTTGCTTTGCATCTCATTCAAATCGGAAAGTCGAAACGATTCAATAAAGTTTCAAGCGACTTGAAAACCATCCCTATGACCGACTTAGCTGACTTGCGGTTTTTGCGTTTCCTTGAGCTTTGAGAAAGGCGAGACATGTCAATCAATCTTAATTTTGTTGCGTGGGAAAATAACCTGAAGTAAAAAAGAATCGGTTGTATGTGAAGCTTTATTTTACTTGAAGTAATTAAAATTTACTTGTCTTGAAATATTTCTTAGCTTATTTAGGCTCTAGTGAAAAGACTACCATTGTTTTTCGCTGAAACCAATCAGAGACAATCTTGCTCCAGGGGTCGCAGAGGTCTTGATGTCTCTCCTCTACATGCGCAGAAGAGCTCTGGGTCGATATTGATATAAAAGAAGCAAAAACGTTTTGGTTGGATCAAAGAGCATGCGCTGTGAGGCCCAAACAGCCAGAGATTTTGGCTATTCTTGCGCAGGTTCCCAGAGCTTACGCGCGCATTCCCAAACCCGTAAGCACTGGGGTCGAGAATGTATCTAATTCCTCTTTATATTTTACTCTGCCAATAAAGAACCTCTGCAAGCAGGGAAATTTTGCACAGGTTCTTCAAGAATGTTTTTTTTTGTTTGTGACGGTTACATGCAGTACGTGAAAGTAAGTAAGTAAGAAAGTAAGTAAGAAAGTAAGAAAGTAAGTGTTTGTTTCTCTATCTCGCCATAACCCTCTTTCCCTTTAATTTGCTGTTGATGTTTTTTTTGGTTTGTTAGCCTTGAGTTGCTTTTTGGCTAACACTCTGACCTATTTCACTTGTCTGCTTGGGTTTACCTGTTTTGGATTGATCTCTCCTTTTTCCTCAACTTCATTTTCTTTGTCATTTTTTCTCTCATCTCCTTCACCACCAATTTCTTGGAGATCCCTAGCTACCTTCTTCGCAAGATCCGGAGCAAATTGAGACACTCCAGACTTTTCATCGGTGCGTTTCCAGTTTACTGCTAGATCAGTATTCACTTCGAATTTCGATGGATCAACTTCAATTCCGGCAGTACTTTCTTCCTCAGAGTCAAATGGCAGACCTAAGATGGATTTCTTCAAACTTGTCTTCCCTGCACGATCTTGACCTATCAGCATAATTCGTGTTCGGTAAACATTCACTTTTCCCGTCTTTAAAGCATTTAAATAGGCACGTTTTGCTCTTGGACCTCTTGCTATGATCTCGCTTGGAACTAGAAAAACATATTTAAAAAATACATACAGTTTTCAATGAAAGAAAAAAAAATCTATATACTTCTTCCGTCTTAACATCAGCGGTATTTTTGGATACATTATTGCAAGAAAAGGTTAAGGAAGATAAAAGAGAATTGATTTTACTAGATAAAAGTATATCCAAGATTAAAGTTATAAGTTATATGGCAGGAAGTTGCACCCAGCGATAAACTGGATAAGAATCAATTCAAACCGCTCTCTATACAAGGCATTATTTTGCCCTCGTTACTCATTAAAATATAGTTCCCGTTTCTGTTTGACTCAGGCCCCTGGCTAATTCTTCATAACCAGAATTCAGTTCAGTTTAATTAAAACTCTTCACACGAGGCCTCTTCACATGAGCCCGGTTACCAGGGACAATTTCGCCTTGTGTTCATACCAAAGGCGCGACAGTTGTAACTTCGCGTTTCGCCATGCTTTGTTCCTCGAATTTCGCTCCAGAACTCGTCCCCAGGATCTTCGGCCTTTTCTCATTTTGGAAACCAGACTGTAGTTTCTCATATGAACCCAAGGCGAAATTGGTCTCGGTAACCGAGCCAGTCATGTGAAGAGGCTCTTGTTAACCTTGTTTATGTGCGTAAGAAAAACGTCAGCGAATTTTCAACCGAAAATGGAAACTAATAGTCTGGACTGCCATTTTGTGTTTTTACTTTTTGTGATGGGTTTTAAGACAAGGTTATTTCTTGATATAGTTTTGTTATTTGAAAGAGATTTTGAAATTTTTCGTACGTACACAAACAAAGTTAAGTGTTTATGACTCAGTCAATTCCAAGAGTGCCCATCCCCCATTTATTGGGGAGGAGCGTTGCGTGACGACACTAAAAACGGCTGTGTAGCAGACTACATCCCCCAGGGCATTTGTCATTTTGTTTTGGGAAAGCTGTAAATGCCCCACCACGGTGGGGCAGGACCCCGCAGTGGGGCTCAAAAATAGGGTGCAAATGCAACGACGCCAAACTGCATTTTCCAGTAAATAAGCTGCAAACACCATATTTATGGGAGATCTAACTGTAATAATCTCATCAAACTCGCGCATAAAGCACCCTACACAAATCGCTAGTAATGCTTCTCCCTTCACGTGTTTGCTTCAAAATAAAGTGATGTTTCTGCTACCGATTATTACAATTTATGACAAACCTCTAATGAGAGGCCAACTTCCATTAAGAGGCCACTTACCAGTACCGAGGGTGGCTGCTTAATGGAAGTTCAACTGAAGTACAAAATTTCAAAAGATTCCATTCCATGGCACCAATGAGCAAAAGGGACTCAGGAAAAAAAGCACAAAACGGGTACCATTATTAAGACGTTTTCCTCTTCTCTAAGGGGTGTTTTTTGTCGTTAACTCCTTCAGATTTCTGGTACCATATTTTTGTCTCTTAAATTCAGTGTTCTCCTTACCTAGGAGTAACCCGTAAATTTACCGGCTGAAGCAACACTTCTTACCGCCTGCAACCGCTTGAAGGTTTACTAAAATCAAAAGAGAAGTTTTAAAAAATGCGCAAGTTGTGATCCGATCCGATCCGATCAAGAAAATGAATGAATATATGTAAAAGTACTAATAAAAGTATATCTACCTGGATTTATGAAAACCGGGTTAGCAAACATTTTGTAATTTCTCTCAACTTCCCCTGTCCTAGGTTTTTTTAGTGTTGTTTGCTTATGTCGTTTTTTGGTTGTTTTGTGGTTAAGGATTTGTGTAGAAAAGGACATTTCTCGAATTCATGTTTCACATTCTTTCTAACCTACCCTCCCACCTCCCTCCTTCCCTAGGGGTGTTTTTCCGTCCCTACCCAGAATTCTCTGTTTAACACAAGTGACAGTTGTTTGATTTCAGTGCTCGCCTAAAGCTGGTTTCGGTGCTATTTGGCAGTTTATATTTCGTTATTCCCCACCGTAATTTTTAGGGAGTTATTATAACTCCAAAAATGGAGTAAAAATTTTAGGTACAGGATAACCCCTTTTTAGGGGTTATTTAACTCCTAATTTAACTCCGAATTTGGGGTCATTTTTACTCCTGAAAAAGAGTTCCTTTTACTCCCAGTGTGGAGTTAAAATAACTTCGAAATGGGGTTACTTTTACTCCTTACATGGGTTGTTTTTACTCTTTTTGGAGTTAATTTAACTCTGAAAGTAGAGTAAATATTTTAGGTACAGAATCAATATCTGGGGTCACTTTTACTCCTGAAAAAGAGTTCTTTAAACTCCTTTTTGGAGTTAAAATAAAATTAGCCCCACTAGAGGAGTTATTATAACTCCTTGAAAATTACTGTGCTGGAGTAGTCAATCGATAAAAATCGGTATCGATTTATCACTCGATAAATCGATAAAAATCGGTAAATCTGATTTGATTGATATCGATTATATCGATCATAGGGTAGAAATCGATGACACACTCGTTTCGTTTATCGATTTATCTCGATTTTACGAATTCCATCGATTTATATCGGAACATATAATCTGTTCTTCTGTTCATCCAAAAATTCATGCAAACAGTGAATTTGTTGACAACTGAGTTGCAATTGAGAGTCAAAGGATCAAACAGTATTATTACTTAAAAAAACAAAATAAAATAAATCCTTTCTTTTCCTTAAAACCCGCTTTAAAGTCTTCTTCTGATGGCCGTTGGCCATTTTTTTAGGCGCCCATGGCCAGTTTTTTCATTCACGATTTTGATCTGCCACCCTTTCAAAATAACATCAGTTCCACGTGTAGTTACTTCCCTGAGTAGCCAATACATAAAAATCGAAATCGATAAAATCGGTAGCTATCAAGTCATTTTATCCATTGATAACGGAAAACGGTGAAAAGCTATCTAGGGAAAACTTTTAGCCTGAATTTCAGGCATCCCTTCGACTCTTGAGGATCTCTGAAATTCAGCTGGGAAATCTCGTGGTACTTGCCTGCGAGAACTGTTAATTGTAAACACATGTACATATACTCTGTCGGTTGTAAACATACGTGTTGATTGTGTACATTACTCGGTCAGTTGTTAACATATACTCTGTCTATAATGTACACATTACTCTGTCAGTTGTAAACATTTACTGTGTCGGTTCTACGCACTACTACATCACTCTGTCAGTTGTACGCATTGCTCTGTTGGTTGCACGCATAACTATGTCAGTTGTACACATTACTCGATCAGTTGTAAACATTTACTCTGTCAGTTCTACGCACTACTCTGTCGGTTGTTCAGACACACTGCTCTGTCAGTTGTACGCATTACTCAGTCAGTTGTAAACATTTACTCTATCAGTTCTACGCACTACCCTTTCGGTTGTTCACACTACTCTGTCAGTTGTAAACATTTAATCTGTCGGTTGTACGCACTATTCTGTCGGTTGTGTACATTACTTAGTCAGTTGTAAAAACATACTCCGCCGGTTGTACACACTCTGTCAGTTGTACGCATTACTTTGTCAGTGACACGCATTACTCTGTCAGTTGTACACACTTCTCTACCAATTGTTAACATTTAATCCATCGGTTGTGCCACAACTCTGTCTGTTGTGCGCACTGCTGTGTTAGTTGTAATAATTACTCTGTCGGATGTACCCATTACTCTGTCATTTCAACCCATTACCCTGTCAGTCGTACGCACTACTCAGTCAATTGCAAAAATTTACTCTGTCAGTTGTACGCACTACTTTGTCAGTTGTACGCATTACTCTGTCAGTTGTACGCACTACTTTGTAAGAGAATTACCCCGAAAATTGGCCTTTTAAACAAGATGCGTACCGACCTACCAATTAGAGAAAGAGAATTGTTCTACAATTCCTTAATTAAACCAATAATAATGTATGGGAGCATGGTGTGGACTTCTTGCTCTTACAATAATCTCAAGAGAATCTTACGACTAGAGAAAAGGGCTGCGCGAATAATTCTTGGGGTACAATGTATATTCAAGATCGAAGACAGTAGAAAATTCTAACAAGCTTAAATGGTTACCGCTCTATGACGACGCTAACATAGATAAGTGTGTTCTACTTTATAAGGCATTGCAAGGCGAATCACCCATGTATATCAATGATCTCTTAATTACGAACAAATCACTACACGTTGGAGAGACGAGACAATGGCCAACATAACGTCATATGCCCAAAGTTTCGACACATCACCGAAGCGGGAATGTCTTTCAGTAGCATAAAGTTGTGGGACAGTCTCCCTGATGATCTTAAACGGAAAAACAGCCTCTCATCTTTTAAGAATGCTTTGATAACTTATTTTAGAGATTCTTATATTGATATTGTTAATTTTGACACCTTATTGTAAATAAATCTTGTATTGTTAGGTTAGTTAATTTAGTTATCCTGTTAGTTAATTTAGTTATCCTTTATTGGTCTAATTGCGCAACGAAGCTTTCTTCAGAAAAAAAAATTGTAACATCTTTTACCTCATGAAGATGATAAGAGGGATGGATTATTAGTAAGAATAGTGGTGAGACTATGGGGAATAGGGCAATAAAAAAAGAATTGCAGAAGGATGTTACTAAAGAAATATATTCCCGCATTAAAGCAACCCAAGAGGAAAAAAAGTAGAGAGAGATTTTAACCTAAACAAACAAAAAATCAAATCCTTCCATCTCCCAACTGAAAATCCCCCAGCGAACGTACTGCAGGGCTTTTTGGTACATGCCGAACACCGACACAAATAACCAAAATACAGTTGACTCTCTCTTAACGGACACCTCTGTAAAACGCACACCTAGAGTTGGTCCCTGCCTTTGTTTATTCCCTTTATTTGACTCTTTATAAGACGGATATCTCTCTAAGATGGACACTTAGTGCCGGTCCCAAAGGTGTCCGTCTTGGAGAGAGTTGACTGTATTCCTATTGTTTGCTTTTCGCAAATGACAACCTCCCATCGTCGGAGACCCAGGGGCGGTTAGTCGGGCCGGAAGAAAAGGCGAGACAAAAGATTACAAGCACGTGCTACGGTCCAGGGAATTCTGGCTCCTGAACGGGCAGAAAGAATGCTTTGCATTATTGTGCCCAATCGGCCTGAGTTCTTTTCGTAAGTTCGAACATGACAGCTTTTGTCTCGCCATTTTTGTCTCGACAGAGTAGTGCGTACAACAGACAGAGTAATGCCCCCGGGAGTTATGTGTACAAGCGACAGGTTAAATGTGTACAACTGATCGCGACCGAGAAGTGCCGAGAAGTGTGTGACTGTGTGATTTCCGCATGGTGTTGACAGGCAGAACACAGGTTTGTGCCCGGTATGTGGTCGCGTGGTTGAGTTGGTGCACCAAAATATTCTGTGCCAGCCATACAAATGTTTCGTCGGTGTTTAGCTTAGCTGATTGAGCCTTGGAAAACCGATTCTCGACACATGAGAATTTGATCTAGGTCTAGTTTCAGTGGCTTCTTGGCGTTGAACCATAGGACGGTTTTTGCGGATAAGAAGGTGATAATTTGTGTACTATGTTTCAATCAGTTTGCTGCCTATTCAAAATCCTGTCACTTATAGGTCCGCAAAAAAAATTAGTGTGTCAAGTTTTTATGTAAGCCTTAACCAGTTCACCCCCGTGAACAGTTTCATTAAAGCATATAGTGTAGACTAGAAATGCTTTTATCTTCTTAAATTGACCCACTGAAGAATAGATCTGGAGTTCCAAAGAGTTTAAGTTAGTCTTCGTTTAAATAACCGGCCCAGTGTGTTTAAGTTGTTATGTAAGCCTTAACCAGGCACTTTTTGGCGGCATTTCACTCAACTTAAAATTTTAGACTGAAATGACGCCGGTTTGAAACTTCAAGGAGTCACATTACTGAATCAGTAAATATTTTAATATTTGCTTTTTTTAAAAATATTTGTACTCGTTGAAATGCTTTTAGGGACCACTAACTTACTGCCTTGCGTCAAATAAAGGCTTTTGATCGGCCTTTGAATGATTTTTTTTATTGTTTTAAATTGTTAAGTAGTAGAATAAGTTGATTTTTTTGCCAACCGGGTTTAAAAAAATCCAGGTAAATATACAGCTTTTCTTTTTACGAGCCACGCATTTAGGAAAGAGAACACTGAAGACAAAGTAAAATTATTGGGATCAAACGTTTTATATTGTTGTCTAAAGATAACAATGGCCGACCGATTGGCGTAAAATGAGTCTTAAAATGAGGCAATGATGTTTCAAAGAACTTAGCTCCTCCTAGGGTGGACCATATCTCCCTCACAAACCATGTTACGTTATGACGAGATTTTTTGTCACCCGAACTATTTACTCCTTAGACGAAATCTTATGGTCTTACATTCAAGTGAAACCTCTTCAGCAGTACTTTGAAATGATACTATTAGTCCAGTCATTTTACGCGGAAAATATGGTCAACCCGGAACAAATTTCCACAAAAGAAATCTCAACGGTTTTAGACTACTTAGAATTTATTGCTTAATAACATATCAAAAGGCCCCAAAAATCCTAGCATGGCAACATGTTGAAAAGCTGGATTTTGTTGGAGCTGTTGACCGCTGCATCTTTCACTGCATGGAAACGAGGCTGATCATAAGTCGTCCGAATGTCTACTAAAATACCGCACAAATCATAACTATAATTCATTATAACGATGAAACTTAGTTATTTACATCCTTATATTTAACAATAAAAGACTATAAATACATCTGGAATGATTTTTATTGGGAGAGTAAGGCTGGAAATGCACAGTTTTGTACAGTAAAATATAAACGCGCAATGCTAAAATTTTACAATAATACAATAAGATCTATGCGAGAGAGGAAAAGTTTTTAAAGCCGTAGTTAACAAGAAATAAAGAAAGTTTTAGCAAGCAAAGAAAATGAATTTCCTCTTTTAACTGAAATGCTAAACTTGGTGGTGCCGTATCACATAAACCGGTAATTTGGCCGCCAAAATTTACTGTACAGCGGAGAACTAATTTGCCGGCGTTTGTCTGAAGAACACACATTTCAGTCCAGACACAACTGGCCGGTGTTTGTCTCGTCAGATCTCGTCTTCTTCGCTTTCTTTGTTCAGGTGAGTAAATTATATTCCTCTAAATGGCTGACTTGATTTTATTGTACAATGCTACCAAGCGTTTTCTCACTAGAATAATTTATTGGTGCTGTTTTAGAACCAAAATGAGCACACACGAAGAACACGCATTTCAGTCAGGAAGGACCTTGCCGGCGTTTCTCTCTTCGAATTCTTCATAAAGATCTCAATTCCATTGCTTTCTTTATTCGTGCAGGTGAGTAAACAGCAACAGTGGTGTTTGACGGCTATGGCAGTAAACCCGCGACCAAGAGTATGACCCACCAGAGGCGCTCAGCAGGAAAGGGGAGTTCAACCGTAACCTTCCAAGATGGGATGAAAGTGACGGCTAAGAAAGATGCATTCCTTTCTAACACAGAGGACAAGAAGCGGTTCATTGTCATGTTACAGCGCCATTTATTAGAAAGTGGCGGTCGCACGTTGCAAGCTGAGGGTGATGCAGATGTTCTTATCGTCAAAACAGCTCTCGACTCTGCCGTAACGCATCCCACAGTGCTCGTAGGAGATGATACCGATCTGTTAGTGTTACTCTGCTATCACACAAAAGCAGATGGCAATGATTTGTACTTTCGGCCATAGCCAAAAGCCAACTCTAGCTCCAGAGAGAGCAGAGTTTGGAACATGCTGAAAGTGAAGGCGGAGCTTGGCCCGGCAGTTTGCCGCAACATGTTGTTTCTGCATGCCATTCCGGGTTGTGATACGACGTATCGCCCTTACAGTATTGCAAAACCCGCGTCCCTTAAAAAATACTGTGAATCTGTCTACTTCCAAGATCAAGCGAAGGTATTCGATATCCCAGGATCAACTCACGCCGAGGTTGCGACAGCGGGAGAGAATGCTCTAGTGGTGCTGTATGGAGGAAAACAAGGAGAGAGCCTCGATAGCCTCCCCTACCGCCGGTACTACGAAAAAGTGGCAACCAGAGGTCAACAGATACAACCCCAGAACCTTCCCCTAGCATCCGCAGCAGCCAGATACCACAGCCTTTCTACAGGTCAAACAGTGGCAGTTTCTTGGTAAGGGGATGCAGTTTGAAGACAGGGGCTGGAAGCTTAGCGGTAACCAGGTGATTCACGTGACCACTGATCTACCGGCTGCTCCAGAGTCCTTGCTCAAGATGGTCCGCTGCAACTGTGCAACTGACTGTGCCTCTGCAAGGTGCAACTTCCTTAAGCTTGGACTAGACTGTTCTCCCGCGTGTGGACAGTGCCGTGGAACCGCATGCACAAATATCAGTGCCGTTCTTGGTGACAGTGACGATGAAGAGGATGAGTAGCTGAAACAGTCGCTTGGAAGGAAAATGCTGTTAGTCCGGGACAAATTAATTTTGCTGTAAGGCCAGATAAAATCAACTTTGCTGTTAGACTGGGTGACGGCAAATTTTTTTTTTTTTTCGTTTTTTTTTTTGCTAGTGACAAGAAATGAAGAAAACATAATGCTTAACATTCCTAAATCTGTTAGAAGGGCTGAATGCCGCGATCAAACACATTTTATAAAAGCTCCCGCTAGAAGTAAATTTTTAAATATTTTCCCTTTTTCTTTAATCATGTCATGATAAAACGTGAATAAATACAAGAAGCAGAGTGTTTTCTATCATATTTTAATGATTTTATTTATGCTATAATAATACAAGGCCAGTAAAACTGCACTTCCTGTTCCAGCCTCGTTTCCATGTTATGTGGAAAGAGCTCCTCAGTGTTTTGCTAAATTTCACCATGTTGTCGTGCTCGGATTTTTTGGGACTTTTGATATGTTCAATAACTCGTCAGTTCTGAGACATTTTCGAAGAGAAAGCTTTTGAGTCTGTCGATGAAATCCTATGATGTAGCCATTCAAATGAAACCTCTTCCGCAGACGAGTACTTTCACATGGTACTATTTATTTAGTATGTGGTTCTAACTTTCAAGTCTGTGGGTGAAATCGTATTTTGTTACCATTCAAATGAAATCTCTTCAGCAGTACTTTCACATGGTACTATTTATTTAGTATGTAGTTCTAACTTTTGAGTCTGTGAGTGAAATCCTATGGTGTTGCCATTCAAATGAAACCTCTTAGCAGTACTTTCACATGGTACTGTTTATTTAGTATGTAGTTCTAACTTTTGAGTCTGTCGATGAAATCCTATGGTGTAGCCATTCAAACGAAACCTCTTCAGCAGACGAGGACGTTCACATGGTACCACTTATTTAGTATGTGGTTCTAACTTTCAAGTCTGTGGGTGAAATTGTATTTTGTTGCCATTCAAATGAAATCTCTTCAGCAGTACTTTCACATGGTACTATTTATTTAGTATGTAGTTCTAACTTTCAAGTCTGTGGGCGAAATCGTATTTTGTTGCCATTCAAATGAAACCTCTTAGCAGTACTTTCACATGGTAATATTTATTATTTGGGCGTCGCCCAAATAGAGTAATCAAGATCGCTTGTTTTGATTCAAAGTTACAATAGGCACGCAATACTTGCCAAAGTAAACAACCCAAGTAAACAAGCCAAGCGACGCGACTAGGATGTCTGCCGCGCGATGTGTCACGACAAGGCATTTATCTTTGTTTAACACGTCCCAAAGATAACACACGGCAAACAAATCAGCAACAGAAATCAAACGTATTGAAAAAACAAGGTACAGGTAATTTCAATTTTTCCCTTTGAAAAATAATTGTCCTCGCAGCACACGGCGTGAAGGTTTTTCCTCCGGACCACAGGTACCGGTCACTGCCCTTTTTCATTGTACAGACTATTCATTGGAAGTAAGGACATGTCCTCCCAGAGGACGATTTTTAGCTCTAAAATATAAATTTATAAATCTTAAGCTTAGGGTATGTTTTATCTTACCTAGAGGCCGGGCGATTTTTAAGAAATTTGAAGGTAAATCTGTCTGTCTGTCTGTAGAATTGACAGGGTTTGACTTATTGCCAAACGTTTGACAATATTTTGCCCTCAGTTGTCGAGAGCCGAAGAAGATGTCATGCAAAAGTCCTTGATTGTGCATGAGATAAATAAGGGTGACATTGAATGATGGATAATTTCATTGGAGATTTTCGAAAAGGAGGTCATTTCTTAATATCTTATTGAGCAAAATGATCTCGAAAACAAGTTGCATTCTTTCACGTTCGAACCGTAAATGGGGCAGAGTCCAACATCTTCACGTACAAACTGCGTTCGTGACAGTTATTTTTAAAACCCTTGAGTTAACCAGAATAAGTCGTATTCTCTCATAAACGAACCACGAAAGCGACAAATTCCAAAGCTTTCACGTGCAAACTGTGTGACAATACAACTCACAGTAAGGTGCCGAGGTGACTTTTATCCCGGTGTTACATGAAAAGAGCCTGCCCAGAGCCGCCATTTTTATATAGAGATTGGAAGCAATGCACATGAGCAGTGTGTTACCCGCTGTCCTGTTTCTCGCTTGGTTCATTCACCGGGCCGCCTGGCAAGCGTGATTACTTGGAAAATTTCCACCCGGCATCCCGGCATCACAAAACTGGGATCTCAGCTAACCAGGCTGGCTCGGTTGTCATAAAATTGCAAAGTTGATTTTTGGTGCCTTTAACTAAGGTGCCCAGATCTCTACAAAGCGAGCCAGCCCGGCTCATGTAATCAGGCCCTTAATTTTATGGCCAGATTTTACGCCCTTTTGACCTCACCTATTTTTCAAAGCCCCCGAACACACACACAAAATAATAAGATCTTCCACTTCATTTCAACAGATTGTAATTACACTTTCCCTTCATAATCAAATTAGCACTCCCACAACTACATCACTGCAAACCCTAAAATCAATTTTGCCTTGCAAAAAAGATATTTTTTGTAACTTCATATTAAATTCTACGAGAAACCAGTTTCAATGATTAACAAACTACAGCTAATATCTTACCAGTCCGCGTCCAATATAACTCCACGCCTTCCACTTCACACATCTCAACCAACCCCTAAAATATACCACGCTACTGCACTACTAACACATCCCTACTACACATAAAAAAACTCGACACACGCCTTGTGCATTGACGCCTAAATATACGCTCCCACAGCGTCTTGTTCAGTATGTAGTTCTAACGGCCGAGTATATGGATGAAATTCTATGGTGTAACCATTCAAATAAAATCTCTTTGGAGGAACTTTTGCACAGTCACTATTCATTTCTTATATTTTTACAAAAATATTTTTTTGGAGGGAAAGGAGGAGAATATTAGACTTAATACTGTAAAGTGCATTACCGTATGACGCTCGAAGAGAACGTACGTGCCTTAAGCAGCTACGCAAGTTTCCAATAATTTGTTAACTCTAAGAGTTAGTTAACAAGATTATCAACGGAAATTTTGTTCTCAAACGATGAGCGTTACTAAACGATTGAGGAAAGACCAAGGGCTGCTTGATTCAAAGTTACTTAATGAAATTGATGATAACTGATAACTGAAGGACTGGAGGCAACCAGATAGGGCAAAAACTTTTGAATAAATAATAATTATCATTAGTGACCACTAGTATGAGTGAAAGGGTACTTACCTGGTGATGTTTTCTGTTGAATTGCTGGGTAACACTTCAGACAGCACTTCAGTTTCCTGGAACAAACTGAAAAAGAAAACACTTAATCAAGTGAATTGAGGTAAAAGGAGCTGTTTTGGTGACTGAAACAAAGAATAACTGCTCAAAACATAAAAAAGGTATAAATTACACAGCAAATACAAAAGGAAGTTAGTGGATCAAAGATCAGTCGCGCCGTAAAGCTCTTTCGTTAGACATACCAGGGACATAAAGTGTTGCTGCAGGCGTGTATGTACGCTAATATCTTGTTTACACAGCTGAAATAACTATAGGTAGAGACTGCTGCAAGCATTCACCGACCACAAAACCGGAAAAAAACGGTTAAGCCCTTTCAAACAATACCATAATACTTTTAAACAAGCTTAGTCTTAACTGAGGCTTGAAAGGCATCATTGAATGGCTGGTTCGCTTTACCGGGCTGGCTTGGCTCATGCCTTGTTTTTCCTAAAAATTCTCGTTATGTTTATATGAGAAGGTGGGCCCGCTGCCGAGGATCCGGCTAGAATAACCAAGATCTCGGCAAGCCAGCCCGCCTTCTCATATAAACACAACAACAATTTTAAGAAGAAACAAGGCACGACAGAGCCAGCCCAGCTAACCAGGCTGGTTCACCTTCTCCTCACCTTCGTCCGCAGTGCGGAAGGCTTTTTCTTACCATTTTGTATAGTTTTACCTGAACACGTGACTTTATGACCACACGGATTGAATGTAACAGTAGCCACGTTTTCTGAACAGACAATGCAGTCAGTTCCTACAGACTCAGCTCGATTGACTGTATCCTGAGTCTTTTTCTGACGTTCCACTGCAGCGCCTGACTGTAAATTTGAAAAAGAAGAAAAACACTAAATGGTCTTTGTAGATGTAAACCTTCAAGAAGACAAGTACATATCATGTGGATAACCTGTGGCGTCGCCTTACGCCAAAATAAAAAAAAGTATCATACGAATTCAGTCTCATGCTTGCGCGATTAGCTCCTGGAGAGGAAGGGTTGACAATCCTCACGTTTCTCGTAGCAATCGAATAAATGGTCGCTTAGTTGTAAAACCTCTCAATCTCCTTTGCACGAATAGCGAGTTACAAAACACGTGTTCACGCACGCCAGTCCAATCCGATCAATGTTGCGGTTAGGTTCAATGACGAGTATGACTACGAGTACGAGATTTTCTCGACACTAAGCAGTGCGTGCCCATGAGCCAGCGCCAGTTTGGCGGGAAAACGTGATAGTCGTCGTCATCCTACCACAAAATTTTAGCGAGAATGTCGTGGCAGTAGAAACAAGAGGTTAGAGGTCAGAGGTTTTGTCATTTTGCGGCTGGAACTTCCTTCAATAAAGATAACAGAGCTATGTTTTTTGGAGAAAATTAAAGTTAAATCTCGTACTCGTAGTCGTTCTTGTCCAAGAATCTAACGGTCTCTAATATAGAGTTGGAAACGAAAAACATACCGCTGACCGAGCCGTTGATGGTTGCGGCGCAACAGGCGGCTTTAAGGAAGAAGGACCAGTCGTCCGTGTTGTGGGCTGTGGCACAGAACTTGAAAGTAAAAAAAGAAGAGTTTTCCTCCAATAAGAATTTCTTTATTGTTGAAAAGTATATCGTTGCATACTCGATCGTTGACGTCGTAAAGTATCTTGAGTTCATTGAGTATAAAAGAATTTCCTCGTAAATTTTGGGCAAGTTTTCAAAGAATTTCAAACTATAATAATCTCCAAGTCTCCATATCTCTTAAAGAGGTGGCCTTTCTTTAAGAGTCTAGTAAGAGTGGTCAAGTATACACAGGGCGTTAGACCTGCATAACTTTGGTGAGAGCTTTAGAAGGTGGATCCAAACCTTTTACAGAAACATAGAAAACACAGTTCTTAATAAAGGTTATGCTTCAAAATGCATTAAACCTAGTAGAGGCAAGGATGGCCCATTCCTCCTTATCTTAACTGCGGAGCTGATGTCCAACAAAATTCGCCAAAGCGATATTGTCAAGGGAGATCGAGAGCATCACTGACCACGTCGTTGAAAATGACATCGGCTCCTGCAGCGTTACCGAGACCTGCTTAAGTGTCATTGTCTGAGAAAGTGTTCCAGGGGCCAAAAGTTGTGGTCAACCGATTTGGCTGAAACTTGGCACAGAAGTTGGGTATAATGAGATATTTCAAAAGCCACTTTGGCTCACTTCTCTGAGTTTTAGTTTTGGAGTTACAGGGGGGATCTCATTTTTTGCCCTTTGAGCACCAAAAATCCAGCCTTCCAGGGGGCATTTTGAAAGTGTGATAAGACCCCACTGGTAAATTGTGCTGCCAAATGAATTTGACCATGAACTCTACTATAATAGAGCTTTCAGTTCATGCATGTAACTTTGTCCTCAAGGTATTGTACCGAGAGGAGCCTGGGGCTAGAGTTTGGCCAAAATTGATGTTAAAACTACAACCCAAAATAGCCATTTTTCAAAATTTCACTATATTCACCTGCCGTCTTGCATAACTTCCAAACCTATACCACTGTTTACTTTAGTCACCCAGTTATAACAATCAGTTGAGAAAAAGTTTGGCTTATTATGGTTTATTGAATTTTTGGAACAAACACTTCATGCCCCTCTAAGGCGATGCAAAATGGAATTTTGAGCCTAATTCAGGCCATAAATAAACCAAATTTTTGACAAGAAGCTCTTATTCTGTATTTGGTAAGTGAAAATGAATTGTCAAAGCCAAATCAGTTTCGTTGTTTAGAAATAACACCGATTCTTACCTTAAAATTGATCTAAAACGGGCCTCTGATCAGCGCAACAAACACGCAATTTAGCAAATCAAAGGTGATTTTCTTCTTTGAAAACGTAGTAACCACCATAGAACACAAATGATGATGTTCTGATGTACATATAACAATCTTTTTACAAGATGCTTAAATTTTTCTTTGATTTACAATCAGTTTCACGTCATATTTCCAAGCATTACTCCAAACATGGAAAGTCTCCATATTTTGTCAGGCCCATTATTTATATTTTTACCAAATAAATTTAGCTTATCAAAAGGTTCGTTAACATGTAATCTTCGTCTGACCTTGTAATAGCCTGAATAGTTGTTTTAAATACCCATCAGCAAAGGAGCATGACCATACATACGTAGATTACACAGACATATACGAGCTTCAGTGAGCAGTATCGAGGTGAACTGTGATTTTCCCATCCTCGGAGACCTAGGGGCAGATAGTGGGGGCGAGGGAAAGTCTAAACGGGCGGAAAAATTGGGCTCGAAGAAAAGTAAAGAACGTCGAGAAGAGCCCCTGGGGACAATGTCTTACCAGACCAGTTCCAAACGGTCGCCGCCGTTCTGGCTTCTGATTGGTGCCAGAAAACTTGTGTTTTTCTGGCACCAATCAGAAGCCAGAACGGCGGCGACCGTTTGGCACTGGTCTGGTAAGACATTGTCCCCAGGGGCTCTTCTGGCCGTTCTTTACTTTTCTTTTGTGCCATATTTTTCCGCCTGTTTAGACTTCCCCTCGTCCCCACTATCTGCCCCTGGATCTCCGAGGATGTGATTTTCCGAGTCCTTTAGAGCTGAAAAATGAAACCATCCATCCACGGTTAGGAGAGCTGGATAACAAAAAGTTTGTTTTGCTTTTATAAAGAAAATAACCCAAACAAAGCCTTGCATTGAGATGATGCACTTGTTATTACATCAAGTTAGCTGGCCCGTCATTTTGGACTTGAAGAGTGTGGGGACTGGACCGAGTTCCCGTCCAATCCTTGTCCCGTTTCGCGGGAATTTTTTCTGTTTATCATCAGGTGTGTTCGAAATTCTAGAAAGCAATCTGTTTCAGGATAATTTTTCGATGGCACTTTATTCCTTTGGAGGGGTAAATGACCAGTGCAGTGTCACGTCATGGGCTGTGCAAGAAACAGGAATGCTTCCTTTGTTGTCTTGCGATAGTGACATGACTGCATGGTTAAAGCACAAGTAGAAGGATTCAGGTGTGTCCGGGTAAGAAGAGGAAGAACTGGTGATGCCAAAGCTACAGGTGATGCAAAAGATCAGTTAGGGATCATTCACGAGCACAAGTGATTTTTATCGCAGTTTACGGGACTATTTTGCTTGAAGAAAGACAATGATATATAATTTACGATGTTGTCGTCTCAAATTGTTTGTTCACATAGTTTATTGATTCACATGTTAATTTCCTGGGTCCTTACGAAGAGCACTAAACATTCAACAAACTCATCAGGATAAATAACAATAACAATAATAACAATAACAATAATAGAAACAACTTGAAGGCTGTTTTTTGTCTGCTCAAGCTGTTTGTTTACATTCAGTTTGTCACGTTTGGCAATGCACAATTCGAGCCAGCTTGCATTGAAACTCCACCGGTCTCCTTTATTTGCCTGTTTCGTCGAAGACAAGTCAACTTAGAATAGGCTTAGCTACATAATTCTGCAGGAATTGTTTTGGGAATTTTAGACACGAAAAAGAATTTTAGAAAATCTCAAGAATATTAGAAAAAAATTGACAAATACTAGAACTTAAATAGCAGTATATATAGGAGAATACTGAACAGCAACATTTCACAGGCAGAAACGTTGAAAAAACGTTTTTATTTTTCTGTATTCCTACCAACCAAGAGACAGCTCAGTCCACCCACATGCTACAACAGTGTCTAGAGTACTGTTCACTGAGCACAACAAATCAGCAGTTTTCAGAGTCATCTACACTACAACTAATCGGCGGTTATTCACCAAAAGAGGCCCTCGCTATCAAAAAAGAATAAAAATTCTATGAGTTTTTGTGGTGAATTTTAGAGAGTTTTAGCAGATAACACTCTTATTTAGGTATATTTTTTCATTATTCTTTTAATTGAATAGTTAATATTATTTTAAATAATTTTTTAATTAAATAATGAAACAATTTTTTCTACAAATATACACAAATCTTCCGTGCTCTTCCAGATTGATTCAGAGTAAGGTTCCATTCAAGTACGACATATGTGTGTTCATTGCCTATGCATTATTCCAAGCAAATCCAATAATATCAACTAATTCGGTCGATTTTGCGACGACGTTTTAGTGACATTTTCTCCCTGAAAATGTCAATTTCGTCGAAAAACTTAGATGCAGCATGTTTGTAAAGATCTTTGACGAAAAGGGTAAATAATGGAAACCGGTAACTGAATTGTATATTGCATGATAAGCGTGTGCACGTGACAAGATTAATGTAAACAAGCAGCTCGAGCAGACGAAAAACAGCCTTCAAGTTATTCTGAATGTTTAGTGCTCTTCCTAAGGGCCCAGGATATTAACATGGGAATCAATCAACCATAAACAAACAATTTGAGACGACAATATCGTAAATTACATATCGTCGTCTCTAAATCTCTCTTCAGTCAGAAGAGTCCCCTAGATCACGATAAATGCCATTTGTGAGCGTATATGATCCCTAACTGATATTTTGAATCACCTGTAGCTTTGTTTGGCATCACCAGTTCTTCCTCTTCTTACCCGGACACACCTGAACCCTTCTACTTGTGCTTTAACCATGCAATCATGTCACTATCGCAAGACAACAAAGGAAGCATTCCTGTTTCTTGCACAGCCCATGACGTGACACTGCACTGGTCATTTACCCCTCCAAAGGAATAAAGTGCCATCGAAAAATTATCCTGAAACAGATCGCTTTCTAGAATTTCGAACACACCTGATGATAAACAGAAAAAATTCCCGCGAAACGGGACAAGGATTGGACCGGAACTCGGTCCAGTCCCCACACTCTTCAAGTCCAAAATGACGGGCCAGCTCACTTGATGTAATAACAAGTGCATCATCTCAATGCAAGGCTTTGTTTGGGTTATTTTCTTTATAAAAGCAAAACAAGCTTTTTGTTTCATTTTTTCAGCTCTAAAGGACTCGGAAAATCACAGTTCACCTCGATACTGCTCACTGAAGCTCGTATATGTCTGTGTAATCTACGTATGTATGGTCATGCTCCTTTGCTGATGATGTGTATTTAAAACAACTATTCAGGCTATTACAAGGTCAGACGAAGATTATATGTTAACGAACCTTTTGATAAGCTAAATTTATCTGGTAAAAATATAAAAAATGGGCCTGACAAAATATGGAGACTTTCCATGCTTGGAGTAATGCTTGGAAATATGACGTGAAACTGACTACAAATCAAAGAAAAATTTAAGCATCTTGTAAAAAGATTGTTATATGTACATCAGAACATAATCATTTGTGTTCTATGGTGGTTACTACGTTTTCAAAGAAGAAAATCACCTTTGATTTGCTAAATTACGTGTTTGTTGCGCTAATCAGATCAGGCCCGTTTTAGATCAATTTTAAGGTAAGAATCGGTGTTATTTCTAAACAACGAAACTGATTTGGCTTTGACAATTCATTTTCACTTACCAAATACAGAATAAGGGCTTCTTGTCAACAATTTGGTTTATTTATGGCCTGAATGAGGCTCAAAATTCCATTTTGCATCGCCTTAGAGGGGCATGAAGTGTTTGTTCCAAACATTCAATAAACTATAATAAGCCAAACTTTTTCTCAACTGATTTTTATAACTGGGTGACTAAAGTAAACAGTGGTATAGGTTTGGAAGTTATGCAAGACGGCAGGTGAATATAGTGAAATTTTGAAAAATGGCTATTTTGGATTGTAGTTTTAACATCAATTTTGGCCAAACTCTAGCCCCAGGCTCCTCTCGGTACAATACCTTGAGGACAAAGTTACATGCATGAACTGAAAGCTCTGTTATAGTAGAGTTCATGGTCAAATTCATTTGGCAGCACAATTTACCAGTGGGGTCTTATCACACTTTGAAAATACCCCCTGGAAGGCTGGATTTTTGGTGCCCAAAGGGCAAAAAATGAGACCCCCCCTGTAACTCCAAAACTAAAACTCAGAGAAGTGAGCCAAAGTGGCTTTTGAAATATCTCATTATACCCAACTTCTGTGCCAAGTTTCAGCCAAATCGGTTGACCACAACTTTTGGCCCCTGGAACACTTTCTCAGACAATGACACTTAAATGACGCTTATTCTGCCAGTATTGCTCAGTTATCTGTGGCTGGTTATTTCTTCAAGAATTTTCGAGACAATCACAAAACCGTGGTGGTGGAACTAGAACTCTGCCTAGAGACTCTGTCAACGTTTCATTAGTGCATGGGAAGGAAAACAAGTCCTTCGAATTTTCTGAGAGGATTGTTAAAGTGCACGATTACTCTTCATGTGATAGTGTATCGATCTCCATATTCTTCGATACATCCTGTTTCTGCCTCTGTTTTCTTTGATGAATTCCTTCAGTTTTTAGAGAATGTTGTTATGTGCCCCGAGGTTCTTGTTATCTCTGGAGACTTCAACCTTCATTTAGATGACCTCCGTGACAATGACACCAAGAAATTTATGGATTTACCGGAAACGTTTAGTCTTTCGCAACACGTTTCGGGCCCGACCCATTTATCGGATCATACCCAGGATTTAATTATTACTCCTTCGTCAGATGATGTTGTTCTTGCTTCTCCTAAAACTACTCTTTCCATTTCCGATCATTTTATTATTCAGTCTCCTGTTGGCTTCCCACGACCAGCTTTGTCATGCAAAGAACTAACTTTTCGTAAATTCAAAAAAATCGATATTGCCGCGTTCTCAGCTGATATTGGCTCTTCTATGCTTTCTGCAGGCGCACACTGGGACAAAATTGATGCACTCTCCGACTGCTTTAACACGACCCTTACTGACATCCTGGACAAGCATGCCCCGCTTAAAACAAGGACTATAATTAATCGTCCAAAGGTCCCATGGTTTAGTGATGACATTAAACAACTCAAGCGTAAACATCGCCGCCTTGAAAAGAAAGCCGTGAAAACTGACCTCCGTGGTGACTGAAATAATTGCCAAAGAGTTCGTAATCAGTACTCTGCACTTCTTAAAGCTTTAAGTGTGAATTATTAGTCTAATTGATCAGTGTGTGGGTGACTCCCGCAAGCTATTTCGTGTGGTTAATTCCTTGTCCAGGGAACCACTTAAGACGGCTCCCCCAGAGCACGAAGACCCCACAAAGCTAGCTAACGAATTTGGCACTTCTCTTCCCAAAAAAATTGAAAACATAAAGGAAAATCTTTACAAGTTACAAGTTCAAGAACCTCGACTTGCTTCTGTTACTACTAAGGAGAACCTGGAGAGTTTGTCCGCGCTATCCATGGAAGAAGTGTGTAAGATTGTTCGAGAATCCTCCAACGCCTCTCGTTGGTTGGATCCTGTTCCTAGATGGCTAGTGAAGTCCTGCCTTGATGTATCTTTGCACCTTGATTACTGTAACGTACTCCCTTTTGGTCTACCTAAATATCAACTTGATCGTTTACAGAAAGTTCAGGATACCGCAGCTAGGGTAATTTTTCAGATGCCTAAATTTGATCATATCACACCCGCACTTATCGACCTACATTGGCTCCCAGTAACGTTCAGAGTTCAATTCAAATTGTTCCTTTTTGTTTACAAGTCGCTAGAGAACCAAAGTCGACTCTACATTAAAGATCTTTTGTCTCTGAAACCAGCTGCTAATTATGCTCTTCGCTCGTCTGCACAATCTCTTCTGTTCTTTCCAAAAGTCAGCTGCTCTACACTTGGGGATCGGGCCTTTGCTCATGCTGCACCTGTTTTATTTAACTCGCTGCCATTAACTATAGAAACAAGTAGCAGCCTCGCCATTCTTAAAAAGAATCTTAAAACATGGAAATGTTTTTATTATTGTTATAATTAGCCTTACAAAAAATTTTTTTAATTGTAACTTAATGTAAAGCGTTTTTTAGTATTTTATAGTTTTAGCGCTATATAAATTCACTATCATAATAACTATCATTTTTAACAAACGTCTTTACTACAGTTTTAAGCTGATACTTCGTTTCGTTTTCTTTCTCATTTTACGGTATCTAGCGGCAAATTTTAGCATTTTGGAAAGTAAAACAAAAAGGCTGCTAAAATGATGAATGTCTCAGTATGTATAGAATAAACACAATACTACATGGAAAGTGCTTTGCACGGTATCTACGTACTCGCTCTTGTATCGCAAATGTCACTCGTTCGCTACGCTCACTAGTTCTATTTCTGATACGTCAACAACTCGTGCGTAAATATCGTACACCCGCACTTCCTTCCCATGAAGTATGCTACAAAATCCTAGGCACAAAGAAAATGACAACCACGACCAACACCAACAGACCAACACGGCGCAGCCTGGCTCCGTTAAGGTATTTGCACCGAAGTCACCGTTCTCATGTGACAACAGAAGCCCTACCCGGTATCAGAGAAGAGCTGATGTAGGCAGTGAACATAGAGTAAATATGAATTTCCCCACCTCGGTGTATTTCTTGCATATTGCTGAATCCAGGCAGCAGTCTGGGTATCTTGACAAAGGTCCAATGGAGTTTTTCCCTCGTGGTTGCAGAGGCTGACGTTGGCACCATGAAGAACCAAATAAACTGCTATCGCTGAGCCCGTGTGCTGATCTGTCTCAGCCCCCGCTGGGAGATTAAGTCCTAAACCTTGCAACAGCTGAATCGGTGAGAAAGAATACAAAAAAAACTAACAGTCAGAAAATTAAATCAAATATCTATAGGGGCAACACCGTTTGAGTTATTGGTGACCTATCGTTGTCGTCGTGACACTAAAACAACGATATACAAAACTTACTCCCAAAGAAACCGATTTCCGTTAACGGTAGACGAAACCGCTACGCATATGAGAGTACTTCCTACCCTTGGAACGGCATTCTTGCCGCTCCGATCAGTTAAGCAGCAACTGCTACAACTACGCCAATAACAAAGCCACCTATACATAAACACAGCCGGGGAGGGAGAGTGGGGCCAAGTGCCAGTATCAGTTCGTTCAGCGTTTTCAGTGGTAAGTTTATGTGTAATACTGGCGTTCCCGGGGATACACGAACTTGTTTGTTGCTTAGTCGTAGTGTTGGATTTCAGATGCACGGAGAGCCTGAACCGTATCAAACCATTTTTTGTAAAAGCTTTCTTTCAGTTGCTCAGTTTGACGCTTGTGCGAAAAAAAAGCGATTTTAGCCTGTGTACAGCATCCCCCGCCCCTCTCAAACAAAATCGCCCCGATTTTGTTTGAGGTGACGGCGGCTGTATACAGACTAACGCGTTTTCGAATCAGTTTTGTGCGATAAAAACTTCTTTTCTCTGTTTGAAAAAATCACTTGCTTTCGAAAATGTATATTTCTACGGTTGCCCGTAATGGTATAATTCGAGATATGAAAAATATCACAGCAAGTATAACCCTTACGGGCAACCGCACCGTATATTTCTCTTCACGGAAGAGAACCCCAGCCCCCAGCCCCCTCTCCTCCCCTAATGAGTTTGAAAAAATATTCGATAGGCGGAGTTTTTTCTTAGAAACTTAACACGACACTCAGGTGTCGTCTAAAACATAGAGTCTCGTCGAGACAATAAACACAATTTTTTAAGAAACTAAATTGTTTTCCTTCTTCTTTCGGTGTCGATTTTCGCTGGTATCGTCTAGATCAGCTAGGTATCTGGAGCCATAACCCCCGGAACAACACAAGCTACCATCTTGGGTAATGGGGGGGCCATCGTTTTAGACCCAAGAGTGGCTAATCGGGGAGGTTGCACGGCCTTTGCTTATTTCATGTACTGTGACAGAGATGAAGTAACAATTGCTTAAAATATACCATGGCGTGATGACGTTATACACATACATGTCCTAGCAGACGAGAGACTTTACGGGATATTAAGAAGTGGTCAGTGCCAAAAAAAGAAAACCTTACTTAAACTGAAAATAGGCTCATGCGTAAATTAAAATGACTTGAAACAAATTTTAATAGGCGCCATAAAGGGAACCTTTCAATGCCAATACAAGAATTTTTAAAAAAATAAAACTGCATTTTAAACCAGACACATATTGCCTTGGTTGATTGCCAATTTCCTTCCTTACAGCGATTTTACAACATTATCCAGAGCCTTTCTGTTTTTAGGCCGAAAAATGGAAATTTAGAGCTGGTACTGTTTATTAAACTGGAAGAAGTGGTTAGAAATTTTAGATAAATTTTGAGTCTGTTTATGATCATGAATCCTAAAGTGTGACCATTCATATGAAAGCTACTGAGCAGTTCTTTTTTTTTTCATCATCATCATCATCATCATCATCATCATCATCATCATCTTTATTTAAAAACACGGTAAATACATCAGGCATTAACAATTTGATATAAAGCCACAACTTAAATACGAAACTATGTATACAGATTAATCCTCTATAATTTAAAATATTGCTAACTATTAAAGAAAAGTAAACTAAATTAAAGCCTGTTTTACATGAATGCCGTGTCGGAGTTAATTAAGAATCGTCGGAAATTGGTCAGAGATGTTGCTTGCCTAGCAGCTGAGGCTACCCTGTGAGTTAAGGCAGCCAGCAATGGCATAGACTGTTCCAGAGGACTGCACCACTATGGGCAAAGCTATTTTTGTAATGGCTAGTACGTGGCAATGGTATTGCAAGCTTATTATCAGAATCGCGCAAATTGTAAGAAGTAATCACTTCACTCCGTTGATGCGAGGCCGTTTAAGGATTTATAGACCATCTCAGCCTTTAGTCTTTGACGTCGAGTTCCTAAATTGTCCCAGCCTAATTCTTTAAATAGTTGGTTGGCGTCAGCATCATATATAACTAGAATGGGTAAGGACGCGGACAGCACGATTTTAAAGTCTCTGTAATTTGTCAGATAATGTTTTGGCACAGTTACCCCAAACAACACTAAAAATTTGGTTTTCCACTCTGTCCACATTTGGTTGGGATCAAGAGCTGGAGCCAAAAATTCCCAGTTCACATTGCAGATATCGTTTCGAAATTTGGCACGATTGAAAGCTTTAAAGTTTCTGTACGTTATTGAAGTGTGACCCTTTCGGAAGTTAATATGTTAGCTGTACAACGTGGTTCTAACTTTTAGGTCTATGGATGAAATCCTACAGCGTTTATTACTTGTGTTTATTAATCGTGGTGCTGTTTATTACTCTGTACAGGGCGATTCTATCTTTGAAGTCTGTGGATGAAATCCTAAATTGTGACCTTTTAAACTAAAGCTACTAAGAAGTAGAGCGATTTTCGTATGACCTTGAAAAATGGTTTCGGTAAGTGTTCGTTATTTGTTTTATCAGCCAATGGATGAAAAGATCAAAACACGTACTCCTCGTTTTCCCGCCAAAGAAAACCCTAATATGGAGAAGGCATCGTTCGATTGGTCTATCGTGTCGCAGTATGACGTCAAAGCGAAGTATCGATTGATTTCTAGAAAGTTCTTAAGTTTTTTCATCCGAGCGTTCGCTTAACCAACCAAAAGCCACCCGCGTTTGTATCCGTACGACAAACCAATTAAATCGCTCTATTTTCGTTCGTTTATTGTTTCTGTTTTGTTCGCGCGTTTTCATTTCAAGGTCATACGAAAATCGCTCTATTGTCCTCTGTCACTGTTTATTATACTGTACGCGATGGTTCTAACTTTTGGGTGCGTGGATGAAATTCTAAAGAGTGACCATACAAATGAAACCTCCTTTTTCCGTACTTTCACACAATACTTTTTTTCTTTTAGATTGGTACAAAAAAAATTGGGATTTTTCGATAATTTTGATTTTGAGCGATCTATGTTCCATCTACGGAGACATCACATCCTTGTTTCAACTTCTCTCCTTTCTTTGTAGCTTTGACTAGCTCTAAATACCATTAAAACGGAGCATTGATGGGGGGGGGTAAAATGAGCTTTACCTTTTATGTCATCCTAGCCTCCGCCAGAGACTAAACTAAATGTGGTAAAGAATTACCGGTCTGCGAAGCAAACTTCGTCATCCAAGCTTTATGTGAAGCATGCAAGTACACTCACCCCTCTCAAGCCAGTGGTACCCGCAGCCTGATGAATAACAGCAAGATGTAATGGAGTGTCACCATCCTCATCATCAGCATTGACATCTGCACCATGTTCAACAAGCAGTTCTATCACACCTGTATAAGCTTCTGACGCAGCTAGCGCCAGGGCTGTTTGTCTCTTGTTGTTTCGTAAATTGATATCACAATGGCCCTGAGGTTACAAACAAATCTGCGTGAGAGGCCACTTATCAACCACGTAAAAAGGTACGCTAAGGGCCTAGATTACTCCCTCTGAGTGGATTTCCACTGTCCCTTAATTAAATTTTACACGTAAACTTAACGTGCGTAAAAGAATTAGAGGTAATTTATGAAAGGCCACGAGGATCAAGTTTTACATATACGCGTGACTTTCTATACATTCACTTTATTTTATTTACGCGCACGTACAGAAGAATTACGTGATTTTTATGTGTGGGCATAAAATTTACGAGCGTAAATGAAGTATAATGTATGGAACGTTGAACCTCGCGCAACTTAAACGTTTACGCGCGGTCTTCCATACATTGCCCATATACTGTTTACGCAAGTCAGAAAATTTAAGTGCTAAGGCACGTAAAAATTACGCGACAGTGGAAATCCACCCAGTAACCCTCAACCCCTGCACGCCATAATAGGTTTAGTCTTTCTTTATACCTAATATTATAATTATTATTAATTATTGTAGCCCCTCCTTTATGATTCATTGAATGTTAGTCTGGACTTTACCTCACCAATACATCGCCGGTACCCACCTGCACTCCTTCAAATTTCTTGTCTCGTGCGCCTCTATAATGTATTTTTTCCTACTGAAATTCTTTGTAAAACGCCGTTCATCTTTATTCCGCAAATAGTAAGTGATCTTTAAACTCGACACTTAACGACAATCCTTGGATTAACAAGCAAGTTCTTTTTTCATTGCCAACAGTGATTGGCTCATAGGTCATTACGTGGCATTTACTAAATTCAAATTATTATCGTGCGGGTTATAATTCTGCCATTATTGCACGGGCAGGATACCTTGTGATAAGGTTTTGGTTTCTTTTTCTCTCTGGAAACTTTACGTTGGTCTCCACACGAACAGCAATTTTACCATACTTGCATCAATTTGACAAGAGGGCCAATAGAGCGGAAAAGTCGTTATACGCAACGTTACCATGGTCGCAAAATTTTTGGTCCTGCAAATATGGCAGAAAAAAAAACAAACAAAAAATGAAACGTATGACTTCCTGTGTCACTGATTACACTCAGTCACAAAACGGTAGCCCATACTTTTCTTCCATCGTTCGACAATGGAAATGGCCGTCTCTGTCAAGAAAGAGTGTTGAGATCCAGAAATTTTGCTACCACGGTAACGTTACTTCAGGCTTCTCTCTATAATTCAAGTTAGGTTCTCGCTTTTTCTCATTGTTTTGCACTTCCTATCAAAAGTGTTTTAAACAAGAGTTCTGCAAGGGCATGCTTTAAATGGTCAAAATTGCTGATCACTGGGCGGCGCATGTATCGCATTCCTCAAGGATATTTAGCTCACATACCGACAACAGAAGACACCTCGCAATGTCAAGATGATTGTTGAACGCGGCTAGATGCAAAGCGGTAAATCCACCTTCTTTTGGTATCTCAACAAGACCAGGATACTTGTCTATGATTTTCTGTACAGCACTGCAACCGATAAGGAGATAATTAAAGTTAAAAGTCGTCTTAAGCTGTCCACCGGGTAGAATAACAAAGGAAGGCAAAGATGAGTACATCTGAACCAATAATCTTTACGTCAAATGTTAGCCGGGCGAGATGGGAGAGCGAATGGCTTTTTCCAAAAATATATGAAAGTGTTGCACGATTTTCCCCAAATTTCAAGAATCTCTTAATTTTTATTTGTTTGTTATTAGTAAAATAGTAAAAGTCACCCTCATTTTCCGCGGAAAAAACCTAAAAACGGTTTGATAAAAGTATTAATGAGCGACCTGTCATTATCCAGTGGCAAAGTAAAAAACCGCATTCAAAAAGGAAAAACTCTCGTTTAGGAAAAAACTAATGTTGAAAACAATGTTAATTTGAAGGTACAAATTATCTACGTAGAAACACACCCAGAGTTGAAGGGTTTGCAGTTTTGCCTGGGGTATGGGACTCCAGTCGAACAAACCGAAGGAACACGCGAGCTTAAAGAGGAAGGTGATTGTCTCGAACTTACTATTGACCGACACAGTCCCTCAATATTACTTACTGTAAGTTTCCTTTCATGCAGGCTTGATGAAGAGGGTTAAAACCCCTGCCATTGCACACAAAAATCTCAAGGCGCTCCGAGCGAAGGATAAGCTCCACGATTGCGTTTTTTTCTTTGGAGATCGCATCGTGTAACGGCGTATCCCCTGCTAAATCCTGGAAAGAACGATTTCAAGAAAGTTACTTAAATTCAAATTCATTAATCCTATGCGGGCTTATGTGGGCTACCCTGAGTACTAGGGTTTTTTTTTTTCTCGCGTGTGGCGGGAATCCTCGGTGTTGGCCGAAGACACAAGCCACGAGCGGCGAAGCCGTGAGAAAAACGAGCGGAACAGTATAAAGACGTGACAGACACCGATAACCGCACAAAAGAAGTCTCTGGCGCCCAGGGTATAGTGGGCTTAAAACATTCACAATTAGTCACATTTTGAACAAAGAGATTTTAAGTTCAGAGGGACTCTATGACACTTGACAATTATATGAATATCACAAATAAGAACTGCGAGATGAAGAATAAGTGTACAGATGATCCCGCAGTTCTAGTGACCTCTACAGTCTTCTTCGTAGCCATAGCCTGAATATGGAGCGTTTCTGGGGAGAGGGGGAAGAGAGAAAGTTAGAGAAGCGAAAAGGGAAGACAGCGAAGGGAGATCCTTTCTATCTGCCCCCTTCCCCGTTCCCCCTTTGCATTCTAAAGTCTCCTCTCCCTTAACCCCTAAGGAGGGTCACAGCCATTTTTTAAATGTACGCCATTTTTTGAAGCGTGACATCCCAAACACCGGTTGCGAAGGATTAAGATTACCGTTTCTGCTAACGGGTACGTATACGGGTAAAGGTGTACGTTTGCCATCTATTAGTATAAAAGGGACTACACTCGCTATACCCGGCCGCTCAGCCGTTCTCTGGGAAAAGAGGTTTGCGTGTATGGGTGCGGGCACCTTTAAGCGTACTCGTGCACCAGAAACGGCGGTGTATCTGAAGGCCCCCGGGGGGTACTCCCTTATATAAGCCATGGAGGTATGTGCTGCCCTAAAGGGTAGGGTTTTTGCTCCCTTTCGGTCTAAAAAAGGCTTGTAGACTTGGCCCATTTCTGTCTGATATCAGGTATGGTTTCCAAAGGAACTACGGGAGTGTATGAATTAATAAGAGAATTGGAAATGGATTTTAAGAAATCTTTTCCTTCACGTTCTAATCTTGACTTCACTTGCTTGCTTGGATAGCGTTATCCAGCTTTGGAACAACTAGGGCCTGGTCTCAGAAAGGGTATGGAAAATGACATTTTTTTGGTCTGACAGAGGGTCAGGATTTGGAGAACCGGGCGGCACACCCTCACTAAGAATTCTCAGTGGAGGGGGGGTGGGGTTTCCCCGGCTGAAAGCTTCTTATTAGCAAAAACAATCTTCACCTGACAGTTAACGTCGCAATGCCTTGACGCCAGCAGTGACCTCACCCCAGCGTCATTACCTTGATTGACAGCTAAGTGAAGCGGCGTACTATTGTTCTTGTTATCGGAGACATTTACATTTGTACCTGTGTTTAACATCGCAGTCACTGTTTCTCCACTGCGATCACTATGAAAAAAAAGGGAAGCATCTTAAAAAAAGTGTCTCAATTCCAAAGTCGTCTTACCGATTTTGTTCTCAAGAAACTTAACGGCACGTGTAATAAGGTACGCTCTACTAAAAACTTAGGAAAGCTAGGCCAAAAGTCTCTGCCCTTTTAGCCGGAGTATTAGGTGATTCTGCGTATCAGGCGTTTCTGGGGGAGGGGGAGGGGGAGAAGAGGAGTTAAAACAGGAGACTGACTCCCATTCCCCTAGATCTCCCATATTGGTGGTCAGAACAAAAGCATTTCTCTCCTGTGGGAACTATTTTCGTGTAAATTCTTCGAGAAAAAATTCCATTGTATTGACCACCAACACACCACCCACATGGCCGCCTTGTCACGTGGTTGCAAACCATGAATACGACAACACACACAATACAAGTTCTCCCAACCAGCCGGAGATGAGTTTGCCCCTAAATGACGAAGTCTTCTGACCTCAAAGCCCTCTTACGAGCTCGATCGAGCGCGAAAAGAAGCACCACATTTAAAGTTTTCTAACCAAAAGGTGCAGGATAAAAATTGTTACCGGAAACACACACATTTTTAGACAGGAAAAACCATAAAACATCATGAAAACTTTTGAGATTTATAGGATGTGCGAAAATCGTAAAATTAATTATCACTCATGTAGAACTTAAAATGCACCTTACGATTTCTTTTCGTAGGCTTACTGTAGGCACGTCGCATTATAAGAAACGCTTTTTTTAACTCACCCATAAGCGGCATGGTGCAACGCAGAGTAATCTTGTTCATCCTAATAATCCACAAAAAATGTAAGATAACTAAAATAGTCAGGGCCGGTTTACAGCAATAATAATAATAATAATAATAATAATAATAATAATAATAATAATAATAATAAAGATAACGAAAGTGGTAATAAAAATGATATTGATAATGATTATGATGATAAACCTTTCAATAGCAAAACACTTACTTTTTTTCCAAGACCATGGCCCCGATGAGACAGGATGAAGACGACAGTTCGATAAAATTTCATTTATCTTAGCAAATGTCAAGAGAATTCACCTGAACGGGGGCGCAATTAGTCGAATTTACACAGGACTGGAGACAAATGAACAAAACCACTGCAAACATACAAACCTTGATGTCCTTGTCAGCACCTTTACCTAAAAGGTACTGTACAATTTCTTTCCGTCCTTGATGACAGGCCACATGAAGAGCTGTCTTCCCTCCTCTTTTATGATCGATCTAAAAAACACGAACAAAATATGGATAAAAGTAAATAATAACATATAATGTGATGAAAATCGACTAATCACTTCTTGTCAATATCTGCCAGTTAACTGTGATTAATCAATAGTGCCATATGGTAATTTTAAGGGTAGGTAACTGAAAGGTACCTTTTTATTACCTATTAAAAAAAATATATATATCGAGACTGAGTTGTTTTTGCATTTTTACTTGTTCTTGACCAATCAGAAATGAATCAAGCCGTTCGCAACTTGCCTACACACTTTTTCCCGCGAATTCAGCGGCTTCAAGAATCTGCTTTGAGTTTTGATTGGCTCAATGAATGACCGAGTCTACTTTAATTGGCTAGATCCAATTTTGATTGAAAACCGCTGTAAAGGAAGTGGAGTAATTTTTTAAGCATCAACGACGGCGACGGCGACGGCGATGAAAACGTCACTTTAAAAGTGAATTCGCGCTGCCTCAAACTTTATCGCGCTTATTCCATCTTGTTTAATTCGTCAAATGTTGGCAAATTTTTTTGGCGTTGAATTCTAAAGGACTGTATCAAAGTTCTGGAAAAGAATAAGAAACTTTTTGTCCTGTGTTCCCGTGGTCGACAAAACGTCATTTTAGACACTTTCACGTTGTAGTCGTGCGACGACGGTTAAGAAATATACAAAAAAGCGTGATGCACGAGCAAAGTTGTTGTTTTGCCGATCTAAACCTATTGCTTTTTTGCTGTTCTCGTTGCCGTCACCGTCGTCGTTGCTTAAGCTCCCTGTTAGACGCAGAAGAATACCTTGCCAGGATGTGCTTCAAGAATTTCACGGACCTCCTGAAGGTTACCATTGGATGAAGCATTTACCAATCTGTCTCCCGGATCGACACTGCCTCCTTTGGATGTAACAGCTTCAAGAAGAAGCATCCTTAAGAGATCCGTTGCTCGGTCAACTGTGGAAGGAGGTTCACAGTAATCACTCAGAGTAGTCAATTACGCAGCCAGGTTAAGATAAACAGTGATCGCATTGTTGCAGATTGACATAGACTGATATATCGGAAAGGCACAACTCGCCTAAACAAGTTAAGGGTAGAGCGGGGACATCCTCGGAAACCTAGGGGCAGATAGTGGGGGCGAGGGAAAGTCTAAACGGGCGGAAAAATTTGGCACGAAGGAAAGTAAAGACCGGCGAGAAAAGCCGCTGGGGACAATGTCTTACCAGACCAGTTCCAAACGGTCGCCGCCGTCCTGACTTCTGATTGGGGCCAGAAAACTTTTTTGTGTTTTTCTGCCCAATCAGAAGGCAGAACGGCGGCGACCGTTTGAAACTGGTCTGGTAAGACATTGTCCCCAGGGGCTTTTCTCGCCGTTCTTTACTTTTCTTCGTGCCAAATTTTTCCGCCCGTTTAGAGTTTCCCTCGCCCCCACTATCTGCCCCTGGGTCTCCGAGGATGGAGCGGAGATAGCATGTTTGCAAACATTCCAGGAGATAACATCCCGTCAGTGTTGCACGACATTGTTAATCCTCGTTCAAAATTTGGTCCCAAAGTAGCACAGGGGCCAATCACATAAAATGAAACGTCATCTAGTGGTTACGTAAAGAGACTGACAGTGCTAGACATGAGACATTAGCTGTAGGGACTGAAGTTGCGTTTATACAAACTGAACCAGAAGAGTTCAGTTGTCACGTAGTTACCTGGACTACTGGGAGAAGTATCGCCTCGTCTTGATGTAGCTTCACCGCCTTCCGACATATCTTCTAATGCAGCTGGGTTCAACAACCACAAATCCGAATCAACCAAAACCACAGCATCGCCATCAGAATCCACTTCTAAGATCCTTCCCTCTTTTCCTAAAGCCTAGTAAGTTACGAAACTTAGTCAGCATATGGTTCTGATTGTTATTTTAAAGACGAGCACCCATGTGCCATAATTTTTTTGTGGGAAAAGGTCTACAATTCAGAACTTGAAACTTAGCAAATAAAGTACAATTCTGATATCCTTTTTCAGCGTAAACAAAAGATGTTAGAAAAAGCAACAACGCCATCAGCGAATTGTACTCAGTGTTCCATGTTACCGGTGCGTGATTTACGTTAGAGGTTTAAGCTGCCTTTTCCGCTTTTTATCTGCTGTCCTGTAAGGTACGTTCACTTAACACACAACAAATGCCAATGTCGTGTGACTTGAGGTGATCGGAGACAAATGACAAATACCCTCGACAAAACTGAAAACTCTACCTCCAAGAGCACACAAACTAACTACCCGTTTGGTATGTTGCTCTCCGGCACAATATTTTAATGTATCCTAAGCCTTCACTCTTGTTCTTGGGCGAGACTTACCATCTCAATCACCCGCGACATGATCCCGTCTGGCCACGTAGCTCAGTCGGTCTACCAACGGTAGATTTGTTTCGGATGTCATATCGTGAGTTTAGGTTCTTCCGCGGGCCTAAATTTAAAGTTATCTTTCGGTTCTATTATTTGCACGTTTCGCGTATTAGGCTGCAAGGTTGAAGGAAGAACCTTGCCTTGACATAATTGAGTAACAAAAAAAGAGTGATGTATCATAGCCGCCGTAAGACCCAAGACTCACCGTTGTCATTTTCTCATTCCAACCACCATGGCCCTGTTGTAGATTTTGTACAAGTTGTTTGTCGCTTAAAATTCGGACTTTATCTCCTGCCTGAAAACTGGGCACCTGTGGAGGGGAAAAACCAAAAGCGTATTCGCACAATAGACGTCCTGATCACACTGGCGTTCAACCTCTTGATTTGGGCTCGATTACCAGCCGCTGTTCAGGAAAATGAGCCCGCACACATCCTCCAGAAAGAGCGGCTGGAAGAGCATGATTTACTTTACGGGTTTCAGCCAATCAGGCTACATAGGTACCGCCCGCAGAGTCTCTCGTCTGGCAACGATTTTCGCATAATTTGATCATATCAGAATAGAGAGGTCCCCCCAGTTGTCTTTCGATCGAGTTTTAGAATCCTCAGTTAAACTCTAAAATTTTTAAGATCAGAGACAGGCACTGGAAAAGCCAGTTAGAGGTCAAGATGTGTTCGTTACTCAACCAAAGGGGTCGGGAGAGGATCAAAGACCAGATCAGAAAGACGCCGAGGAAATCGAGCGTTCTTTTGATTCTTAGCAACAGAAAGTCTGCACTCAAGTGAGAGCAAGATAACCATCACGGCAATAGGCGAGATAACGGACATTCGATACATACCTTAGTTACGGCTTGTGGATGGAAAACCCAACTTTGTAGTCCATAGCTAACGTGAACATCACCATCAGCGTCAATTTTAGATATTTTGCCAACTTTGCCTATGCACTACAAAGATGAGAAAGCTGGTTAAAACGTTTTCCTATGTACAGCATGAACCACAGAATCAATAGTTAGAATCATCTTGTACAGCATTTAGTATATATCACATTTCAATTAACAGTGCCACAGGGAAGTACTTCTCGGTAGCTCAGTTCGTTTGAATGGTCACGCGTTAGGAGATAATTCAGACTCAAAAGTTAGAACCACCTTGTACAGCATAATAAACAGTACCGGCGGAAAGTACTGCTCAGTAGCTTTCATTTCATTGGTCAAAATTTAAGATTTTGTACCTAGACTCAAAAATTCGAGTTATACTGCTATTTTCGTGTTCCAGTTTCACTATCAGACCGCAAAGCTAACTTCACACGACAAAGGACGCGTTTTCAACCGGCGGAGCGGACACATCGCTCACACGGAATCGTTCAATATTTCCGCTCTGTTCACACGGGCCTAACGAGCCAGGTTGAACGGCTAAGCGTATAAATTTTTTGTCCGTGTGAACGGAACCCCTAAACGCACAAATTTTAAACCAGTCGAAAATTATCGTCTATTGCCGTGTGGACGTAGATTAAGGCCGGACAAGATGTAAAAACCTACATTCAAGTATTTCAATTCTAACCCTATTACAGTTCACAAAGTAACATTCACGGTACAGTTTTCTGATCCCCTGTTTTCTGGCCTCCCACGCAGGCGTTTTTAGGGGAACTCGTAGCTCCACTCACTAAAAACACCTACGAGGAAGGCTACCTGTTTTCTTAACTAAATCGTGACTCTTACTTTAGCCATGTCATCAACCCAGCCATCATGACCAGCAGACATCGCTCTCAACACCTCAGCATCCAGACACACAGATACCCGATCTCCGACACGCAATCGACTTGAATCGAGTCGCCGTCTATTTTCTCCGAATTTTGCCAAACATTCACGATAGTATGGCGGCCCAATCGCAGAGGATGAGCATTTAAGGTCCACCTTAGAAAATAACAAACACAGTAAACATTTAAGAAAACGTATATAACGAAATGTTTCTAAAGTATGTCCAAGTACCAACGTTCCAAATCAGCCGGAAAGTTTCCGCTAAATGTTAAAGAGTGGCTCGAGGGGGATACTCAAAAAAAATACTTAACAAAAATACCGCGATTCTGCGGAGAGCATTCAGTGTAGATGTCAACAGAGCAGCTTATCATTATTTCTCAACCTTACAAAACACGCTTTAAGACTGAAACATAGGAAATCACTACGTATACTGTGAAGAGCCGGAGAGTACCTGAGAATGCGAAATCGGGTCTCAAAATTTTGCGCAAACTAATCAGATTAGAAATCCTCCGCAGAGCCGTAGCTAGCAGGGGAGCAAGGAAGGCTGCTGCCCCTCCCTCCCTCCCCCCCGACCTGTTGAGCTAGACACATCAAGTCTTCGGATGGATTTGTTTTCTTTAGACTCAGTTATTTTGATTAGAGTGACTTGAATATTCGAGGTCGATTTTTCGGAGACATATCTCATGACAAGTGCTGAAAATAGCATTTCGCAACCTCAGACCCCGCTACAAGCCTGGTGCCTTCGGCTCGCGATAATGCCCCGCTCCGTTACAAAAAACCTAGCTACGGCCCTGCTTCGAGAACTACACATTATTTAGGAAGCTGTATCGAACACACGGCATAGCGTTTCTATGATTTCCAGTCAGCTACATGTATCTGGGGCATCTGGTCACCACGCCACCAAAAGCGAGATTCGGCAAAATTTAGGCAAGGCTGCGAATAAAGAAAGAAAATGATATTTGGGATAGCGACGAAAGAAGTTTGGGATTCGGAATTCTCGTGAAAAAGCCGAAAACCATTAGGGATTACCCCTAGTATTCTTTCTACCCAAGGACAATTACAAAATGGAATCAACTCCCAAGGGAAACAGCATTGTCCAATTCAATGGCTGCTTTTGAAAATGCAATTTCAAACATTTATCAACACTTCTAATCATTACTTTTGCGTTTAAAAACGCCATTTCAGACACTTGTTTTTCCTTTTTAGAGCGTTCTAAAATGCTGAGTGTCGAGCGACAGACCTAAATGGTAAATAAATAAATAAAACCAAAAGGTTCCGGAATGCAGAATCAGGATCACCGTTTCCAGACCCAGTCGAAGGCATTAATTTACCAAAACGTACCTCTCCCATGTGACCTGTTCTGTAGGTGTTCCTGCTAAGCAGACTCCACATAACATTGGCACCTGCCCTCTCCACTCCATTCCAAGAAGTTATTTCTGTTAATTGTCCAACATGACCGCCTCCACCATCTTGGTCTCCCCATTTCCAATCTCGCCCACGCGTTACTCGGGCACCCGGAAAAAGGCCTCTTGATTGTTGCTTAGTGAAGTTCGGACGTTTTCCAACAGGGATTCTAAGAAGAAAAAAAATATCTACTTAAATTCCCACATCAGCAGTGATAACCTACACACTGATGAGAAACGGAAATTGAATCATTCACCAACGTGGAAATGATTTGGGGGATGGGGCTGAGGGTCGATTTGAAAACCTGCGCATACCGCTGGAAAAATCCTCATGACTATAAAAATCGCCAAAAAATCAAAAACAGTCATGGAGCCATTAAAAAGGGGTAAATGAAAGAGCGAGCAAATTTTGTTAGTAAAGCAGAATCATCACATCCAGCCAGAGCACTCTCTGAACTGGTTCTTATTTGTATGGTGCTTAATTCATCAAATTTCAGCCTGAGTTTGTTAGCCCTTTCACCGACTCCCAGAAGAGACCAAAGTCATTTTAAAATGCAAATAGCATCTTGTGAAAGTACTGCCCAAGAGGTTTTCATTTGAATGATCACACCACCTCATTTCGCCCACAGGCTCATAAGATAGAGCTACATACTAAATCAATAGTACCATGTGAAAATACTGCTGAAGAGGTTTCATTTGAATGGTAACACCACAGGATTTCATCAAGAAATTCAAAAGGTATCAGAAGAACTACAAACTAAATAAATAGTACCAACTGAAAGTACTGCTGAAGAGGTTTCATTTGAATAGTCATCTAACAGGATTTCATCAACAGACTCAAAAGTTGAGAACCAGTACCTCACAAGACTCAATCATTCACTAGCTCTGGCAGTGAAAGGGCTAATCCACTTGATTTTTTCGGAGGGTGTTAACTGTATCATTAAATTCGTCTCACAAAACTGTCCATGTAGGACAATTCAGCATAACACCAACGCTGGCTGAGTCTCAAGTGTAACGTCAAAGTGGTCAATACAGCACATGCACTTTAGAAGCCCGTAAGCTTTAGGATCATCTAACAGTCTCAGTATTTGGTGAGCCGATCCATATCTATATTTTTAGTGCTTAGACTGTACCTCCATGATAACAAGTCATCATAATTATGATCAATTATTGAAGTGCTAAACTTATTTCATATTAATATGCATTATATAGCAACACTCTTCATTTTATTTTTTACATATTGTCTTTTAAGAATCTTATTGTAACTTTTTACAGTTTTACAGTCAAACCAGGAAAACTATGAACACCGAAATATTTCTGGAAAGTTAGTGTGTTGTAAGAAAACTGAACCACAATCAAGAACATTAATAAGTTTGTGGTTTTGTGGCTAGTTCACATGTCCTGATCTTTGCTGTGATTGGTCACAACACAATAAACATTCCAGGGATATTTCAAGTGTTCACGGTTTTCCCAGTCGTACTGTAATTGTAGTTGTATGTTGTAAGTAATTTAATCCTTATTATTATCATAGTTGACTATATTGTAATTATTTCTACATGACCATACAGGCATTGAGCTTTAAATCCAATTGTGTTTAAATAAAGGATATGATAATGATGATGAATACCCTTTCCTTGTACTCGTAGATAAAAACTGTTACATGTAGTTGTACGCTGGATCAGTTCCTTTTAAGTGTTAAAGGAACAAGAATAAACCTTCCAGCAAAGGTGAGGGAAAAGAAGAGACTAAATTAAACCCATAAGGTACGTTATACTTACCCATCTCCACCCGAAATGTCAAAACGTAGGAATGAATGATGCATGTTATGAACGTCATTCATGAAGCATGGTGAACAGAGATCATAGTTTGGACAGTCTGCACATTTCCACCTTGTTCCAGCGAGAGGAGACTGCTTACAGCCATCACATGTGACAAAAGTGTGCTTCACACCTACGGCAGCATCGAGAGGGCATTTCAGAATAGTTACTTCCTAGGCATGGGGCACATGTGTGCCTTATACACAGTCTTACTTTTACCTTACTCTTTCATAAAATACCACATAAATTGTGAAAATAATGTAATCAATCTGTCCTACACAAGTCCCATTAATCACAAAATTAAGGGTCAAATAATATGAGGAAAAGCCAAAAAGAGAAAATGCTTCAGAAAAAAAATTGCAAATTTATATGGGTAAGAAATATATCATAAGAAAAATGCGTATTCTTGTTGATCCCTGAATTTTTTACTTATTACTATAAACATCACGGAGTCGCTGAATCCCGGATGTGTACTTCCGCCTTGCATGTTGTTGTGCCCGCAAAGGCAAAAGATCCTTACTCAGGAATATCTTGACAGTAGTAAAGTACTGTATTTTGTGTCTTCAGCCATAACCTCTGCAAGCGTCTTGTAATATAATTGCATATCGAAAAGGTATTACTAAGCTCAGGCAATTCCTTATAAACTCTTTGATAAAAACGATCAACAAACTGCATGGTTTACATGACTTCAAAAACATATACGCAGCATGAACTTGACTTCGAACGGAGAAACTCATTGTTGAATTAATTTACAATGGGATACTAGTACTGGTACTAATTCATCATTAGTACTAATTCTGAGCTCACAAGGGCAGCGAGAACCTTACATTACAACTAAGAAAATAGTTATAGCTACTTGACTATGTTCATCAACCCGTTTCAACCAGCTTCACGATTGTAGCTTCGTCAATATGCAAATTCTGTTTAGAATCCAAAATCTTTGAGTTTTGCAGTCTTTAGTTAGTTTTTTTATCGTTACGTTGTTAGGAAGAAATAATAAAATCCAAATTGGCACCAACAGAGTCAGGGTAAAAGATTCAGTGATAAAGAACGTAAACATTTATAGTCTTAACCTCATCATCGCGTGTTAAAATTGAAAGTGGCGTGAAACAGATTGGAACACTCTTGTTCTTAAGAGAAAAATTTGTGGCCAAATCGAAAGTGAATAATTTACTTGCCTGCTTGAGCACAGTCCAAAATCCGAAGATCAAACTTTCCCGAATGTCCAGCGCGGTAATTAGCTTGTCTTCCAGAATCCCAATGAACTAAAACAGTTCCATCGGGAAGGTTTCTATCTTGTCCATGTTGTACCACGGTTCCAACATTTCCTTCTCCTCCATCCTGGTCTCCCCACATCCAGTCCGGACCACGGACTACACGCGAACCGACTTCCATTTTCTTATTTCTCGTCTATCAAGATCTTAGTTGCGGGTAACGACACAAAAAAGGAACACCTTTTAGGTGACCGCCATTTTGAATTTGGTACAAAGACGAAGTTGCGTGACAGCAGTTTTTCAGTTCCGGGAAAAATCCCCATGATGACGTACCCTACTACGGAGCGTTAAAACGGTAACGAAGAAAAACCTGAAACAAGAAAACGTTCAAAACAACCAAAATGAACAATCAGAAAACCGTTGTTTTCTTTGTTTTACTAAAAAAAGCAAAGAAACAAAAAGTCTGCCAGAAGGTTAAAGGCCGGAAGTAAACGAGAAAAACAAAGAACTTAATTGATACTTAAGGAAATTTCGCGGGTCGCGTGATTTGGAAAAGTCGCACAATTAAAACCCGCGAATACAAATCCTCGCAAAATTTAATACAGATGGAGAAAATTAAAATCACAAAAGAAAATGATTTCCGTGTAATAACAAAAACGTATCTAGTACAGTATATGTGTCGGCAAATACACACATTATTAACTGGTTTTACTGCTAAGCGAGTTCCATTTTGTATCTTCTGTAGAGCGTACGTTTTAATATTTGCCAAGATTTCCAGTTTTCTTTCAAACCCAATTTTTACGTAAAAGTTCACACTTTTGAGGACTCTTTGAGCATTTGAGCAGACTGAGCAGGAAAAACAGCTTTCCCGCTCTTTCACTGTGCTATCATATCGGAACGCCTGGAAGAGGCTACTTTTTATGCAGATCGTAACCTGCGATCAGGCAAGACTTTTCCCTTTGCCTATCCGTCAAATTTTGAGCATCTCCGAAAAAAAAAAACGTCCGATCGCAGGTTAAAACATAACATAACATGACTTTATAATTTGTATAGCGCAAAATACATGGGTATATGATCTAATGCGCTTTACATTACAATGATTATAATACTACAATGAAATGGATAAAAAATTACAGCTCTTCTAAATAGTTAATTAATGGATACTACATAAAAATATCATATATGTATGCATGCAAAAATCTATGTTAAAACACTATAGGTTATACTAAGCTAAAAGCTAATTTAAAATAATTAGTTTTTAGCCGTGCCATAAAAGTTTTGAGACTGCCCAAAGCTCTCAACTCGTCTGGTTGGTGTGTGAAAGCAAAGAGGAAGTGAACATTTGACTAGTGGTCTCCGTCCAATGCCGAATTTCGCTCCAAGGGGACGAGGGGGATGTTCATCTTCTCTCTTAGGAGAGGAATCTCGGATTTTGGTCTCACTCAGGGTATCAATAGGACAAGAGAGGATGAGTTTGTCATCCTTGCTTAGGATTGAGCGTAAAGAACAGTGTCACTTTTGAAAAAACGCCGTCATACTTTTGTACTGTTTTCCCTTTGGGGGGCACAAGAAGGCCACGCCTAGATTAGTTTCTTTTAGGGGGTTAGCGCTAAATTTCGGCCCACCATCCCCGTCGCTGTTATATAACAACCACCCTGGGTGTACCGCTTACCACTTTGCATTTAATCTGAAAACTCAAATTTTGAATTTCAAATCAGAGCTAAAACCTGCATTTGGAAAAAGCTACTGGGGACACTCACGAGTAACGAGTCTGTCACGCAATCATGTCTAATGACACACAACAAAGCGCTGTTTGTTTGTTTGTTGGTTGGTTAGTTGATTGGTTGGATTTTTTTTCTAGCTTGAGTTTTTATGAAACATACGTACATGTCATCAAACTTTACGAAGAAGGCCACAAGTCTACATATCAGTTTTAAGTGTAACTGTCCGTTTCGTTCCTCTTTTTAGCTCCCTCCAAGCTTAATTTTGCACCAAACTCGCGCGGAAACCCTTGCCACGCAGACAGGGGGCAGGCGTATCTAATCTTATTTTCTATCTTAAGCAACAAGTATGAGCCTAGCCTGATGTAGACTGCGATTAGTCCCTCCAGGGATAATACAGCGAGCAAAAGACGAGACTTTCGTAGTACGTCGTCATGAACGACGTACTACGAAAGGCAGTTCGCCTGGACGCATAATATGTCATATGCCCGCCTTATACCAGAGACGTATAACCAGACGAACTACGAAATGTGTGCCCAGGTTCGTCAAGGACGGATAATGCGTCCTTAGTATAAAAACTTAGTATAATAATTTGTTTTAAAAAATGGAAATAAGAAATAAAGAAATTTAAAAATTAATGTTCAGCTGAGTTCTAGAGAAAATTAATTACAAAATGTTCAGATTTGTGGAAAAAATGAAGAGATCTAGGGAAAGGTTTTTTTTTTTGAGCACTCCTTTATTTATCGTTTATTAAACATGATTATTATTCATTCAAAATATTTCCCGATTCTGATTGGCTAAAAGCACTCGCATAATTCACCATAACCAGCTACTGATGACCAAATTTGGAAGAATTTAGCGTTTAATGAACCGATGACAGCAGCCGTCGTGCAGGTTAATGCACCGTTAACCGAGAAGACCTGGGGACGAGGTTAAGTTGTTTTGTTTTTGAAAAAAAAAAATGGCGGACATTTCACTCGTTTCAAGAGTAAGAACTAGGCGAAATAATAGGGAGTTTAAGATGCCCCTAAGGCGACGGCAACGAGAACGTCAAAAACAATTGGTTAAGATTAGCAAAACAACAACTCTGCACGTGATCACGCTTTTTTGTACATTTCTTTGCCGTCACTGCACGACTACGACGTGAATTGCCTAATTTCACATTTTATACATTTGTATACCTGGATATTTTTCTTAAGAATTCAACTCTGGGAGAGTTTGCTTACATAAAACATAGTGACCGAGTTGGGATAATCGCACTGAAGTTTCATAGATCGAGGTGTCACTTTTTAAGCGACGTTTTTGCCGCCGTCGCCGTCGTGGTATCTTAAACTCCCTATTAGCTAAAAACATGGCAAGAAGAGCAAGAAGACAACTCGAAGAGCGACATCTGCTATTTGGAGTATATTTGCGGAGCTGAACAATCCCAAACGTGAACTATCGAAGATAAACTTAACATCAATGGAGGTAAGCATGTTTTAGCTATGTTTCTAAACTAGGAATTATTTTGAATGAATAATAAAACTATTATTACGCGGGGTGACGTAGTCAGCCAGCGTCTAAAATTCGGTAGCGCATTCCTTTCGTCGTCTTGGGAGTCAAAAATTGCCTTGTTTTTTTAACTTTCCCGTATCCCGTGCCCGTCCCGAAAAATTGTGTGGATTTTTATTGGCCGCAACGTCGAAGCACGTGCAAGTCAGGCTGGATTGCACAAGCCGATAAAAGATAGTGCGTCAGCAAAGGAGGGAAAAGTAAGCTCACTGTGTAGAGGAGGACGAAGACTCAAGGCCGTGCTCTTTACACGGCGCAAGACTTGGCCTCGGGCGACTGAAAATATTGTCTAGGTGGCCCAGCCGGGCGACTTGCTGGTGTTGGTTTCTTGTTTCTGTTGAGTTACAGTCAAAAAGCTAAGAATGTCTAGAATTTATTACTTGCGAAATCGTAGCTCTCTCGGTGGCTTCGCGGCCCAAAAAGAACGCTCCTTTCGCTAAGAAACTCTTGAGGTCGACTCTGTAAGTAGCAATAAGTAGCAAGTCTATCAAAAAGCTTTGGGAAAATGTTGGTAAATCGGGCAGCGGGAACGCGTTAATGTTCAAAGGTCGTTTCACGTGAATTCACATGTAACATAATCCTTGACTATGAACGTGACAAGCTGCACAGTGTTCGATAGTAACAGCTTTTCATAGTAACATTGAAATTTTTTCTTCAAATTAGGATTGTTCATTAGTTAGTTTTTCAAAACAAGTTTTAACTTTTGCTCTGACAGGCGTGAAGTACGGTCGGCGACGCAAAACAATAGTTTTGTATTTTGAAAAATCGCTGAATAAACAAGGGAGTCGGTCTTTTATGTTCTTTAAATATTTTTCCTTTTTTTACTGCTGTGTCTGCGAGGATAAAACATAACTAAGATTGTTATTCTAGTAAAATACGATGCATAAAAAAGAAAAGAGACGACTATTATAATTGTGATTGTTCTAGAATCGGGTATAAATCCCGCATTGTCTTTCGTGTCGTGACAAGGAATTACGTATCACGTACTAAAAATAAATACGCAAAAGCTAACCGAATCTACATTTGTCCTGAACATTTCACCGGTAATATAGAAAGAAAATACTTCCGTTTTGCGCTTAAACGACGACTTTACAACAAGATGATCTATCCAAAAGAGATAACAGTTTTGGGGCGGCCCCCGGTGGGGGGGGGGGGGACTTCCTTATAAAGAGGCTAATGGGGATGTGCCGCTGGATGAGGTCGCATTTTCACGACTAGATTGACTATTAATGGGGTTGCATTTTCAAAAGAGTCACTAGAATGGGGTCGCACATTTTCGGATTTTTGGGGTAAGAGAGCTGTTCATATTTACGGTTAGCGAACCTATCAGGATATTTGTACTGTAGGTGAAAAGTAAAGTGTTCTTCATTCAATTTATTAAAAAAATGGGTCAATTCATTTTTTTGATGACCTATTAAAGGATTGATAAGGTAGATGCATAAATAGAAAATGACTAAGTTGGGATCACAAAAATTAGACATTTCCCCAAGAGTGACTAATATGGGGTCTACAATTGGCCACAGAAAAGACTATAATGGGGTAGGGACTCTGAGAGGCCAGCGGCACATACCCAGCAAAAATGAACGCAAGTAATTGCCCGGGGGGCGCCGCGGTTTCGTTGAAATCGTAACAGTTTTCCTGGAAGGCTCCACGGGATTTCAGTCAATCTTAATAAGCGAATTTTCTTTTCAACCTAAATCAAAATGATTAGTAAAAAGAATAGTGCCCTTATTTTTGACCCCAGATTTACGTTTCCATTTAAAAAACATGAAATGTTCGGCGGCGTTGTCCATGTTTCTCATATGGCGCGAAAACTTACTTTATACGACAACATGCGTTTTTTTTTTTTTCCGCACGCTCAGGAGGTCAAAGGGATGTGATTTTTCATGAAAAAAATATTCACAAAATTCTGCTTGACTTGTTAATTTTTAATAATTAACTAACAGCTCATTGATTTATTAATTTGGGCGACCAACTTAGAGGCCCGGGCACCCCAGCTAAAAATGCTTGGGGAGCCCAAAGGGCTCTCTGAAATTTTCCCTAGAGCACTTCCTTGCAGCCCCGTAGTTATTGGAAGTATGATACATTACATGCTATTGTTAAATGTGGAAGTGCATTTTTTGAGGACATTAGTAAAGGAATGCAAATTTTAGTGAACTACCCCATACTTCTAACATATATGGTGGTAATATTGATGTAAGTTTTGTTTTGAGTAGCAAAGAAACCCTCGTGTGTAACTCATCTTCTAGTGTATTAGTCCTTAACAGAACATCTCCGTCTCTCCTGCACACATTTGTTGCATACACTAATCAACTTCCATTTCCATCCAACATACCCGTAATTCTTTCTTAAACCCACACATCCCGCGTAAGCGCCTTCGGGCGTCTTCTTGTTGAATTCGGCTTTCGTATCATATGAAGAATATATGGAGATCTCGGAGGGCGTTATCCGCCTCGGTCTACGGCCTCAACGGATAACACCCTCCTAGATCTCCATAATTCTTCATAAGATACTCAGCCTCATTCATTAATTGTTAAGTAAACAATGCTAACTAGGTAAGAACGTTCTCTCCGCGTCGGTGACACAAACACCCCATAAATCATCCTTTTCATACAGAACTGATTTAGTCTGCTGCCGAACAAAAAGAATGAAAACTTTTGAAAAGAAAAACAAAAATACAAATGACCTACATCTACATGTACATTTTATTACTTTGGTAAGCCGATTAAACGTCACACCAACTGTTTGTATTAAGAAATAAAACAAATGCCAAGTAGCTAACTAGAATAAGTGAACCTATACATGTATGTACAGTAAAAGATTATCTAAAGAAATATATCGAAATAAATAGTATTGTGATTTAATAAATAGAATGTTCTAGTCGTGTCTCATTCATATTTAAGATAATTTACTAAATTTGTTTTAAGACAGTTCAGTTACTTAGAATTTACAATGTCTGAAGGCAAAGTATTCCATTCGCATAATAATGGATCTAGGAAAAAAAGAGAACTTGAAAACGTCCCTACTAATTTGGGGTATTCTATACATGGCTCCTGCGTGTTCTGGTCTCGCTATTCGGCACAACAAATTTTTCTGTTTTAATATCTACAAGACTTTGACTAAGTTTGTAAGGTAGGCTTCTTCTCATTTCTAAAGTATCCCATTCCAGCTCTCTAAGCATGTCTGTAACGCTAACTGTTAGGTTGAAATTCTGGAGGCAAAAACGTGTCGCCTTTCTTTGAACTCTTTCTAGTGTGATAAGCTCAGCAACATCATCAAACAAGAATGTCTATTTATAAATTTTATAGACACCGACCTTTTGTTGACTTAAAATATTTACAGACCAACTAATGGTTGAAATAAGAGGATAATTTAAACTGAAAATCTGTAACTGATCGGATGGAGGGTTAGGAAGACGCCGATCCATCTGCATCTGGTATTAACCTGTTGAAAAAAAAAGGTTGTTAGTGTTGTGGGGATGTTGCCCAGACAGAATATAAAAGGAGGATGTACTATTTACAGGAGGCTAACAAACTATTTTAAGGTGGCTCCGTAATTAATACAAGAGCATTTAACTGTGGCAAATTTTCCGTCATAACTTTTTCGTTTTTAACGCGATGGCTGCGAAACTTGGCAAAGAACAACAGATATCATGCGGCAATAACACAAAATATTCCGATTTCACTGACGGTAAATATTTCTTGAGAAATTAGTGCTTAAAAGGACCCTACTGTTCAAAGAAAATCGCGTCTAGTAAAAAATTTTGCTGATATTTTTTAGTGAAATTTCTGGTATCGGCTTTAATTGATATAATAAATATGCCAGAGGAATTTCAGAAAAATCGTTGGAGCAGAAGTCCGTAACTAAAAGTCGGTCAAAATTCAGCTGTGAAATTGTTTTGGAATTTCAAAAATAAATTACTATCAGATAGAAGGAGCCACCAGTTTGAATTTTCGGGACAAGTAAATTCAACGCTTGCTAATTCTTAAAACAAAAGCCGATTGCCTATCGTGCTATTCTTTGAAAGGTACTTTTTAGTTTTAGAAGAACTATAAATTGCTCCAAACTTTGCTCTGAAGTAGAATGACTTGTTCGTCGACAGTTTTAAAATATCCCTTGGCAGTTTTGGCTCAAACTCCTGCTGCATACATTTTGATGTATTGCCGTGCATTTTCAACGACTTTTACTGCCGTTCGTTGCTTCCAACTCAGGAAAAAAGTATTGAGATTGGACGCTACCTCGTATTAGAGCTCAGAAAGAACTGTCCAGCACTTTTGTTTATGACTACAAAATGAGCACGAGCGGCAGTTCTGCGTGGAATTCGCACCTCACCCAGGGGGGACGAACGACAATGATGACCATGCTTGTGAACCAAATAACATCACAGTGCAAAATAAAATTATCGCAAAATTACTGCCCGTGAATCAATTTACAACTCTGAAATTTTTGTCACTCCTTCCTTCAATGAATGGGTATTTTTTTCTTGATTATTATGTTTTGCTCTGCAATACATGTTTATACAGATCGGTTCACAGACATGGGCATCATTGTCACCGTCCCCTGGCTGAGGTGTGAATTTCGCAGAGCTGCTGCTCGTGCTCATTTTCTGGTCATAAACAAAGGTACTGGACAGTTCTATCTGAGCTTCGATACTAGGTAGCTTACAATACCAATACCTTTTTCCTGAATTGGAAACAACGTAAAGCAGGAAAAGCCGTTGGGGATACTTTGCAATACATCAAAATGTGTGTAGCAGGAGTTTGAACCAAAACTGCCAAGGGATATTTTAAAATGTCGAGGAACAAGTCATTCGATGTCAGAGCAAAGTTTGAGCAATTTATAGTGCTTCTAAAAACTGAAAATAATTTTTAAAGAATAGCACGATAGGCAATCGGCTTCTGTTTTCAGAATCAGGAAACACGCTGAAGTTGCTTGTCCCGAAAATTGAAACTGGTGTCTCCTTCTTCCTGATAGTAATTTATTTTTGAAATTCCAAAACAATTTCACAGCTGAATTTTGACCGACTTTTAGTTACGGACTTCTGCTCCAACGATTTTTCTGAAATTTCTCTGGCATATTCATTATATCAATTAAAGCCGATACCAGAAATTTCACTAAAAAATATCAGCAAAATTTTTTACTAGACGCGATTTTCTTTGAACAGTAGGGTCCTTTTAAGGGCTAATTTCTCAAGAAATATTTACCATCAATGAAATCGGAATAGTTCGTATTATTGCCGAATGATATTTGTTGCTATTTGCAAAGTTTCGCAGCCATTGCGTTAAAATCGAAAAAGTTATGACGGAAAATTTGTCACAGCTAAATGCTCTTGTGTTAATCACGGAACCACCTTAATGCAGAGGTTTCTTAGTTATTACTTCTACGAGCTACTACAGCTTAATTACTCAGCTATAAAAAACAACCAGAGCTACTGTACCCGTCAGTGAAAACCAAAATACGTTAAGTTATCTCCTTCAGGGCGACGTTTAAAGAAAAAAAATTAACACAGAGTGATTTAGTCATAAGGAGTGAAAACAATACAGTTCAAGGCGAGTTTGCATTGATTATATAATGTCGCCCCACGTAAGGGAATCCAGATTCCGGAATCCAGGGAATTTTTGATTGTGGAATCCGGAATCCTGGGCTTTCGAATCATGAATAAGCTCAAGGAATCCGGAATCCCACTCTGATGAGATTGGAATCCGGAATTGAAGTTCAACTGATAAAAAATCATGGTACGGAAACTAGCACCTGGAATCCAGAGTCCACGGCGTCAACTGTCTTGGATTCACTTACATGGGGCGAATTAATGGCATGAACTGTTGATGATCCCAGATTCACAGCAAATTATGACCTTACACATTGCTTTTTGCAGTTCATCCAGATTAATACTATTTCCAATTCAAATACAACTCCTTCCTAAAATGTACTTGCGGTCAGAGGGATCGTTCAAATTCGCAATCGTTTTCTGATATCTCTTTCAAAGTAACATAAAAAGTTCACCATCTGGAAGCCATTGAAACCAAAATAAACTACCCCGTGCCTGCCACGCAGGCTAATCTTTGGCTAGCTTTGCTATTTTAGTAAGAACATCCTTGTTTACGTTTAAAAAGCATTTACCGCAGGTCAGGCCTACATTCACCGTCAAAATTGTCCAAACATTCTACATTGTCATTGCCTACTGCCTAATTTCGAACCCAGACCCCTCTATAAAGACCTGCAAAATTAAAAAAAAAAAAACTTTAAATCGAGGGAGTGTCTATTATGGTCGATTCTGAACCTTTAAGTGCAATAACTGTGTGTGTGCTGAAAGGTGCCAAAATAAACCTTAAATATGTTTGACTGAGTGACAACCATTTACAATTTTTGAAAGGTAAATCCTCCAAGAGAACCCACCCTTGGCCCTTGTCATAGGTAATGTGTACAGATGTACAAGGATCATTGGAGAACAATTTTTCCTCTTTTTTTTTGTATTTTGTTTTGTTTTTGTTCCGTTTTGTTATATTTATTTATTTATTTATATGACCAGGTAATCAGTTAAACAGATTTATTCAACGTTCCTTTTGCACTGACAAATTATTAATGAGGGTGTAAAAACAAGTGACATATTCCAGTCGCGGGCAGTTTGTTGTAGTACTCACTTGTCTCAGTATAGTGGGGCCAGTCTCGAAAAACCATCGGATCACTGAGGATATGAACGGTGAGAGAGGCGGCCATTAAACTCGCGAACTTTTTCCAGCAATCTGTACCCGATTTTCTGCCATCTTTGTAGTCTGAAATGCCTTTAATTATAAACCAGGGAATGTCCAAGTCGTGAGTTGCTGCATGTAGACCTAGATTCGAGTGAAATGATTTTATTACCAAATAGACTAGTAAGGTCGTGGATTCTAGATTCCACGCCCTAGATTCTGGATTCCAAAGCCCAGGATTCGCGTTTCCACAAGCAAAAATTTTCCCCGATTCCGGAATCCGGATTATCTTACAAGGGGAGAGGCTAGACATGCAAATTTAGATACGTGGTTAACAGTAAGCTGGTTTTGTTTTCAATTCGCTTCGACATGTCATTTAATTTATTTTAAAACTAAACTAGGAAAAGTTTTCGTTAGCGTTGAATGGAGATTAAGATGGGATAGCAGCTGCTAATTAAAACATTAACTAGGAAAGAGAGAGAAAGAAAAGACGAATTAAAAATTTAACTAAATGCCATTTGAAATGTCAAGGTCTTTAGAGGAAGTTGTAGAGGAAGTTGGTTTATTCCCGCCAAAGAAAACGTCGCCATTATTGAATAGGGCTATCTGAGCCGACTCAAGATTTACACGTTTACAGGGCAATGGTAGAATCTTTGTTCAGTTATTGCAACTCAGCGGACCCTGAGCGCTGGTCCGATTGGAGAAAAAGTAACCCAAACATCCCGCCTTTGATTTTTCAGGTAACGGCTTTTCTGTTGGTTATGTGATATCCGTGTGACAGTATGCTTACCTTGCCCTTCTAATTCCATAGCAACTGCTTGTGGGAATCGCTTGACGAGGGTCTCGCAGCATTCATTGTTATTAATCACCCCTGGAACACTCAGAAAATCGCCACGATGTATTTTCACTTCAAGTGCCTTGGGATCTTTCAAAGGCGCTTCCCAACCATCTCCAGCATTAGGGATCAGCCTTAAAGGAAGGGATTTCAAAGGAACTTTGTCGCCGACCTCATCACTGGATGGAACACAGGTTATTAACTTCTCTGAAATAACCACGTCTCCTAATTTGACTTTACTGGATTTCAGGCTATAGCAGACACCCACTAGAAACACGGCTTTGGGCCTCAAGACTCTGACAGCCGCCGATACAGAGACTGCAGAGCCTCCTACCGTTATTGAACCCCTGTGGCACTTCATTACAGCAGTTCGTAGCTTTATTTGACCTTCTCCAATATCCCCGAAGTAAACGAAGCCAAGGTCTTTGCAGTAGCTTTTCCAGAAACTGTAATTCAAATACGAAAGGCAGCTCAGAAATTCACAGTCCTCTACAGTAAGTAACAACATCTCAATTGGGAGTAGACCATCATTCCAAGGCTTTGATATTTTAGGAAGGTCCTTATTCTCAAGGAGAGTAACAGTGACCTCTGGTTGGTAACTTTCAGTTTCTACGGAGATAAAAATAAGAGATTTCTAAATTGACTGAGTTATGAATCGAATAAATACGATTTAGAAGTAAACAGGCCTGGCTGTGTGCGTTGCTTGTTACACAATGTAAACATTTGTATGGGAAAAACTGATATTTATCGAATAAAGCGGTGAAACAAACTGCAACCTTTTACTATGGTCGAAAAGAAAAGCGAGATAAGCTCCAGTATTTTCTGTTAAATGTTCGTTCAAATTTTTAGCTAAATAACCATATCGGCTTTTCCGATACACGATGATTAATGACAAAGAACAATATCAGTTATAATCTTTGATAGCTTAGCCTGGGTGGTGGGGTGAGGTTACTCAACAGAGCTTTATACAGGGAGGCTCCATCCCGAGGTCCAACCCCTTACTCTTTTATATACCATTTTCGGCAGTAAAGGTACTCAGCTCCTTTCGTATACCTTCTATTGACCTGTGGTACCCCTTTCACATATCTAGTTCAATGCACTGTCCTTTAAAATATGAATAAACCAAAAAACCCGAACGCTTTATTGACTTTTCCACAGCCATAAAATGCTTATACCTGAAGCCTAAAAAGGGTATCACTTTAGGGCGGAGCCTTCCCGTATAGGCCATTATAGGAAGTACCCCACCCGGGTAACTTCGCTTTTGGACATTTCTGTGGCTGACAAATCCAAAGAGAACAAGACTTTACACAGTTTTTTTTTTGTTTCTCTGCTTTAGGGTCTTTTACTATATGCTCTTTCTTATCTATGATTTAAAGCCCTACAACTTCTCAATAAAGGAGCTAAAATTTAAGCATCATTATTAATTGTAACATAAAAAACTACGAAACAAAATAAACGGTGCTCGGACCTACAACAACCTACCGAGAATCACTGGACAAGCAGAGACCCTCAGTGAATTTACTATCAAGCTAAAGCGCCATTTCAAACAGTAACTCCTGTGGTACATGTTGCCTTTGTAACTTAATTAATTGTCTCGTTTTAATGTTTTACTGTCTTTTTTCTGTGTGTGTTGTGTCGGCTCTATTTAAACTAGCTCTGCTAAATTGGATGCCCCTGGATAAATACTAATTAAAAAAATAAAATAATAAAAAAATAACTGATACCTGCATCCTTTATTCTCTTAGAAAGCGAAGGAGCGTAAAAAGACACCTTTCCTTTGGATCTATTGCTTATTTTCGCTTCTTCGTCAGAAACATCTATAAGAAAATTGTAACAACAACATTAACATCGCTGAGTCATTCTTTATTTCCTCTATCTGCAGCCCCACCCGATCGAACACAATAGTTTCTGAAAAATATGCACAAATAAAACTCCTCAAGAATTGAAAGCGGACTATAGGTGCGGTTACACACTCTATGGTGAAAGGCATTTCCCCCATTAACAAAGCCGTGGGTTTAGGTTACCGTGGTAACATGCTGTTACAAGCGAATTAATTCCCAAGGTAAGTTAGTCCCTTTTACGGCTTCCTTCGCGATTTTGCGGTAATAATCGCCTTTGATCCTGGCAGTTTTTCATGTTACGTTGAAATTTACGTACAATTTAGCTGAAATTTCAACTGATATGTCAACCCTGATAATTTAGGAAAGGTACATTGCATTTTTTTCTTAAATCTTGACCTCTTTTTTTACAGTTCAGCTGTAATCCACTGTTCGATTACATGCCAGTAATAGAACATGTTCTTAAAAAATATCTTTCCTACGTCTGGCCCAACAAACCAGTTCAAACTTTTGCCTTACAGATTGCCACTACAGTGGAACCCGGTTAATACGGACACGAAGGGGATATCCCATAGTGTCCGTATAACCGGATGCCGTATCCAAACCCTCTATTAGCCAGATTAGCGGGCTTTCACAGAAAACGTCACGCACACATGTTTAATCTATATGTAGACGAAAGCAAACATTTTCACGGGGAGACTTTGCTAAGTTCTTAACTGAACTGCATGAAAAAGTTCACCCTTAAGAAACCCGACGTCTTTATCATAGTTTTGGACCAAAATTACCTTTTAAGTCAGTGTTCTTATAACAGACAATGGAATCCGCGACTTTACTTTGTACTGAAGGTTTTGGGTTGCGGGTTCCAATGTACTGTCATAATGAAAATGGTTCGAAAGACCCTATAGGTAAAGGCGCACACGAGCCAAAGGACCCCGAGGTTCAAGCCTCGCCCGTAGCGTTTTTTCCTTAGACAAGGAACTTTACTCCACTTTTTTCTTCACCCAGGTGTATAAATGGGTACCGGCGACATCATAATGATACCGCTGAGGTAACACGGCGATGGACTAGCATCCCGTCCAGGGGGGAGTAGCAATACTCCTAGATGCTTCATGCTAATAAAACCGGGATAAGCCCCCGCCTTTTGGCCTTTTTGGGCCTTTGAATGGCCCTATAAATACATTTTAAAGTTACGGCCCAAATGATCTTGCCAAAACTCGCTTCGGAATTGTAAACTTGTGAATCTGTTCAAAAATGTCAACCCCTAAAAGAAAACCGAGTATTTGGAGGGTTATCAGCAACAAAGATAAGAGTAATTAATGAAATTTCTTATAAGAGAATCGCGCATGACATTGTCAATCGTGTATTGAAATGTGTTAAGGTACTGTTATAAGACACTTATCCACTCCTACGGAAGTGTTGTTACCTTTTAGTGAGAACCATTTTTCCAGTCCGGGCAGCGTCGGCCTCTCAAGTCTTTTTTGGCAGTGCCTCGGTATCCCCCCATCTACTTTCAGAAGGCACAGACAGTCCTCGTGAGTACACCACTTTTGTTCGTGGATAGAACAAACCTGTTCATGTCGCAGACAGCCAGGACATGCGACGCACCAGTCATACTCTAGGTTTTTAAACCAGGACAGCTCGCGTATTAGGGTCTGCAATGTCTCTTCCAAAAACTTTCGAACAAGAATAGCCACCTCGTTTGTTTCGGCCAACGATGCTTGGTTTACTTCAAGATTAATTTCCTTTGGTTGCGTCAAGATGATCTTGATGAATCTTTTCCTGCATAAAATAATGAACTGGTGAAAGGACTTCTTCCCTATGAAAAACCGGGCAGCCCCATCGAAAAAATGTGGTGTTTCCTTGAAACCACTCTCAGAGTACCATCTAGTACACCGTGACACGAGCTGGCAAAAAAAACCGTGAGGGACAAAACCCGATATAAAATGGAGGTAGAGAGGACATGGATCTGAAGGTGATAATTCCATTTCACAAAGGAATTCAGGTGGTGTCTTCAGTTGACAGGGTACAAAGTACATTTTATTTGTCGGCGACGTTGTAAACTTGACGATCAATCCGAACTGCTCCATCATGTTCAAGATATCCTCCTTGATCAGGCCTTTCTGCTGGCAGCACTTGGAGAACACATGATCAACCAGCTCCATGTTGAGGACCCCTGTATCCCCCATTTCGTTCCACAACCTGGAAAGTCTTGGTACCTATCAAACCCGGAGGAAGGCGTTTCTTCAGCAAATAACAACAAAATGTCACACATATAAAGATCGAATTAACTCAGGCATATTAAGCCCTGGATCTGTCATTTTTTGGTCTGAAATATAAGGGGGTGTTCTATCTTCAAAAGAAAATGTGTGGCAAGGCTGAGACGTGGTCATTGCATTACCCCTGTGAAGATAGTATTTTGAGATTGACGTCACCATGGTAACGTGTTGCGTGACCAAGTAACGCTTCACTTCCGTATTTTGTCTTTAAGGATTCTGCCAGCAGGGTTAAAAAAAACTATTATTGAGAATTTTTATTGGTGTTGTTTTCAGCTATCTAAGGTACTTTCCAACTGTAACTGGGATGGCGGTATGCCTACCCTTGATGAATGTTTTCTGGCTGTCTCGTGACAGAAAAGTAGTCACATTTCAATGACCACGTAAAGTGGACATGCCTTCCAGTTAGTTTCGTGCACATCCCGATACGCAAAACACTTTCCACGCGTTATTTGTTAACTAAAGATAAGTGCGCATAAGTTATCCTACAGATGGCCTGAAGTTAAAAATGGTAATTGAATACCTCAATGAGTCACGTGATCCTTATCTTGACAACTTTCAATCAAACATAATCTTTGCAACGCGTTTAAGCTCTCACGTAGGTTTCGTGTCAATATGTTGCATGTACGGAGATAGACCACCCCCATTCATTTTTTACGTTTTTTAGATGACCCTGTCCTTAATACAACTGAAGGATCTTAACCTTTTTGTTGGGCGCTACCACAAAAGAAAAAGACGACTGACACGCGTGGTGCTAAAATATCCAGCACAAAAACAAGACTGGATTAGTTAAATATTTTGGCAATGAAGTAGCGGTATATTCTTAACAATAAAGGCCTCAGAAATACAAGTCCTTGAATAACTTGAGAGGTACGATAAAGCGTCAGATCAAACATGTATTAACTGTAATACATCATATCAGCTAGGCTCGATTACCAGCCGCTGTTCGGGAAAATGAGCCCGCACTCATACCCCCGAAGGAGTCTCTCGTCGGGAAGGATTAAAGACCGGACCCGGGAGACGGCAGAAATCGAGCCTACATATCAGCAGAATATTGAGTTTCAGGAGATAACAAATAAGCATTGTAAGCCACATATGTGAAATATCAGTTAGAGCTAAATTTGCAAGAGGAAGGCCAGTGGTATAGCAGGGATTTTTGGTTTCGTTGTTCTTGAGCTTAAGCAACGACGACGGCGACGGCAACGACAACGGCAAAAAAAAAGCAACAGGTTAGATAAGCAAACTGGCAACAACTTTGCAAGTGCATCACGCTTTTTTGTACATTTCTTTGCCGTCGTTGCACGACTACCACCTGAAACTGCCTAATTTCACGTTTTGTGGAGGACGTGGACACAAGACAACGCGCGACTTTCTTTTTTCTTGCCTGAAATACAGACCCTTAGAATTCAACTCCAGAAAAATTCGCGAACATTTAGCAATGAATTAAACAAGATGAAATAAGCCCGAATTCACCTTTTAAGGTAAATCCCTTGTTTTGCACTGCGCACCCTCTACTGTGCATAACATTGCCACATCCAAGATGGTGGCGGTTCTTCCATTTGCGCAAAAAAGAACAAACAAGGGCCGCTTTTGCAGAGCTAAAGCTTTTATTCGTAATAATGATGCCGCAGATCGGCTGAAAGCTTCCTGGTTTGCTATCGAAAAACAAGCAAATGAAAGAAATGTGCGTGATCCCGAAGTCTGCAGTGGTTTTTCACTTCGCGGCCGTCGAGTGGTGGAATTATTAAAATGTGCTGGCTGAGGCTTTGGATTGTGAGGATTGTCAAGCCTGTGGGACAGCTCTACGGCTCTCCAACTGCATTAACGAGTATCTCGCCTGGGATCGCTACTGTACATATGTTGTTCAAACTCCGAGAGTGGAGAGACGAATATTTCTGGAACAAATAAGACCCACCGTAGCACCAGAACCACGCAAGGGAGACCAGTCTTTGATGTAAACACAAAGTTTTGCTGTGTATAGAGACCAAACAAGCGAACGTATGAAGAATAGGAATCAATAGCCTTTTCTTCAAGTCTCTTTGTCAAGCATTTACATCGAGCAAAAGCAAAAAAATCGAACCCTAACTCACTGGAATTAAACAGAACAGCGGCGCTACAAAATAGTCCAAAATAAAGATTCATAACTCCTAAATCTCATCAAATTTTGACTTACCTCATTCCTTTGTATTTAATGTACTCTTTTCAAGTTTGAATTTCTGTGTTGGCGATATCAAACACATAAAAACAACAGAAAACAAGCTTGATCTCGAGTGCATACTTCGAACACGATGGGCGTTCAGTTATTTTGTATCTCGCCCCAATCCCCGCCGCGCAAATTATCAATCCTGACTGCGATCTCAAAACCACGTCCACCTTTCACAGCAGTTTGTGAGGAAACAAGTACGGAGACCCCCGATTTTTTTCCCAGGTATTTGCTAAGAACAGTCTAATAAAAAACATATTTGAAGAAGAAAAAAAAGTTGGATAGTAGAACATGATTTTTTGGGGGAAATAGTTTCGTATTTGGTGTATTTGCGTCAAGGCGAGGACTTCAAGCTAACCACGGAACTGTCCAAAAAAGTGCAATATCCCCACAAACAGGCAATCCGTCATTGTTGCTTAAGTTCCCTAGCTAGTTAGCGGGCGATCGATAACGTAATAATTAAACAAGACCACAAAGCATTTCATTTTCGACGGCGTGACACCATCCTTAGATTGGCTGGTTTGTCAGGTTTAAGGTGGCTCTGATTCCAACTAATAAAGCCATTGGTTGTTTTTTTTATGACATAACATTAAGCTACAACTCTCAAGTCACCTATAGCCACTGAAAACGTGATGGGTTTAAAGTGCAAGTTAAGTTTTCTGACGTGCCGTGCGTATCAACAAAGAAACCCCTTCAAGACAGTACAATAATTATGAAAGTTAATTATCGCCTTGCTCTCTGGAAATCTGGTAAGGCTTAGCTCTAGATCTGTAAGGTCATTGAAGGTTTTTTTAAGAGATAATCAAGATAATCAAAATCTGATATAAAGGGGGTGGGATGGTGTTTTCTACGAAGGTCATTCATTATGCTGCAATGTAATCAGGCTGAAAAAAAACGTTTCACTTACCCTTTCGCTAAAAGGAAGAATAGTTATGAGTTGTCTGAAGACCTCAATGAGCCACTGAGCCCGAATTACAACTGTGTTGCGGTGTCTGACAATCATGCCGAGGTCATGATAGAAATCCAACATGGTTGCAGCCTCATCCTCGCCTTCAATGAAGCAAACTCTCTGGATAATACCTTGAAGTTGTTCGACGTTTAAATAATACACTTCCTGAGCAGTCAAAGCTTTGATAACCTTCTCGAAGTTGAACCATCTGAAAACCAAATATGAAAACACAAGCTAAAAGAAGGTGTTAAAGAGTAACAACTGAACCCTTGACCTCCTATACTACCAGGTGACTTAAGCAAAGAAAATCCAAGCAATCCAGCCCGTTGACACAGGACCTGATCCTCTGCCGGTGCAAATTGGACAATGCGGCATTGTGCAATCACTGATATTGAAGGTATCGAGTTTTGTTTTCGTTTTCTTCCCTAACATTCAATTTTCGCTGAATGTGCTACGCACTGAAGAATAAACGAGGCTATCAGTGATGAAATTGTTCGTATATTCTCACTTAACTGCTTACAATAATTTCGTCCAGGGGAAATCGTACGTATGATCTTCAACATAATGTGTCGGTACAATCTATTAAAGTTTGCAGTGTAAGAAGCAATAAAAGTCAGGTTGCGTGTATATTTAATACAAAAAATATAAATTTGGGTCTTCCTTCTGGCGCTCCGAATAAATCCATCTTATCATATCCTCAGTATCTTAGCATATTCATAAGTGTATTGGAAACACCGGATAAGACAAGACTGATCTTTTTGACGTCAGCACGCCTCTGTATTCTGATAGATAAATAGGTAATGACCAAGTTTCTTTAAAATTCTCGTTCAATTCATTTTATTCTATAACATGGGCTAAGTGGTATCCCACCCTATCAAACCAGGTTTGTGCCGAAGGTCCTGGGGCCAACACCCCAGACTGATAGACTTAACGTCGTTCTAGAGCGGAAAAAGGCTGGGTTTAGCTATGTCGGAGGACTGGTACGGATGAATCGTTTCCTTCGCGCTGTCTTAGTTTCTCCTCCCTGTTTCCCCGATGTAGACTTTGACGCACTCACAGGAAATCCTGTAGGTCACGAAACCGTCTTGTTAAGCCGGGGACGTCTGGCCATTATATGCTACAGAACGAGATAAAGCGTATACATCGAGACCCACTGATACAGTACTACCGTAGGGTGAAGGAAGCTATCCACATCATGAGAGTTCACCCTAATACCATCAACAGAAAATGAACAGGGATAGCGGAATTGTGTCCCTTATGGCAGTTTTAGTTTTAGTTATTTCACCACAAAAAAACGAAAGACGAGAATACAGAAATACACAGAACATGTGGTCAGGAAGCCCAAAAAGAAACCATAAAAATTAAGGCTCATAGATATTGGGCTCCCTTAGAGTATAAAAGTGTAAGTTTACAAGGCTTTGGATTGAGCGTAAACTGAGTAATTAAATGAAATTGATAGAAAGTGAATAACTAATATAAATATGTATAAATATAAAGTATAGTAACAAACAAATACCCTAAACAATGGGACCCTGTGAAGAAAACAGAAACTATTTACAAGGTTTATAAATATAATTATAATTATAATATCATAGGTGACGAATTACTCCTTAATTTTGGCGCGAAATTTCAGCGTTAATTTGTAAATTCACCTGTGAAATTACAAAATTGCCATGGCAACCCTTCCGTACGTCTCAGTGTCAAGATGGCGACGAAGTTTTAAAATGCTGTGAATGAAGATGTCAGGGCACAAAAAGACCCTTTAGAAAATCTTAACACACAAGAGAACATCAAGAAGGATTCTAACAGGTATTTTGCCGAAAAGTCTGAAAAATTCTGAACTTTATAAGCCAAATTTAAGGTCTAAACATTGAGAGAGTGAAGTTCTCGATCGATACGATCCACGATAAACATGTCAAAAATCCAAGATTGCTAATGTAATTCCACACCCATGATATTAATAGGTAATCAAATGGTATACTCGTGAAATTAGAGAATAATTTCACTTGCGTTTTGTCCAAATCCTAATAATTTCCCGAGCCTTCAGGCGAGGGAAATTATTAGGATTTGGACAAAACGCGCGTGAAATTATTCCCTAATTTCACTCGTCACCATTTGATTACACATACTCAGTTTTCATAGAAATGCTTACGAAGTTTAGGTAGAATCTTTGATCTCACTTCCTAAAGAGTTATGATAACAAAGATGGTCCTTGGAAACTCACAGAAATTTTACGAACTGCGGATTGGTTCAGGCAGGTACAAAAGTCGGACCGGATCAACTCGGACCTCCAGTCCGGGTCGGATCAACTCGGATCGACTCGGACCAACTCGGACCGAATAAAAAAATAAAAATAAAATATAATTGGACTCGGATCAACTCGGATCATAAAAAAAGACAGCTCGGATTATAAAAAGAAAAATAAAATCAGTCGGTATCACTTAACTTTCACCCGCCATTTTGTTTTTTTCTCACGAAGTCGTGGTTGCGTAAATTAATTTTATTTTTATTAATTTTAATGATACACTAGTGTGCAGCACACATACACTTCCAGTGAACATTTTCAACTTGGAAGGAGGAGAAACCATGCTCGCCCGGGACAACGAAAATTTTCGTACCCTGGGCGAGAATTGAACTCACGACCCTCCGAATACTACATGTTTATCGGACGTTCCAACCACTGAACCGGAGGGTCGCGAGTTCGATTCTTGCCCGGGGCATGGAAATTTCCTTTGTCCCGGGCGAGCATGGTTTCTCCTCCTTCCAAGTTGAAAATGTTCACTGGAAATGTATGTGTGCTGCTCACTAGTGTATCATTAAAATAAAGTTTCAGAAGACCTGCAGAAAAAAGACAAAAAACAGGAATGAGAACACTCTTCGGTAACTATCTAAACGCGATTAACTGATCAGACTTTTGATGCTTTTCTCATAAATAATTCAGTACACTTATTAATCAAAAATTATGCGCATAACTTATGATCACGCTCACCTCAACTTCTTTGCTCTGTGACAAAAAGCTGCAATAAAATAAAAAATAAGCAAATATATATTCTAGGCGACTGAAACTATCATTTTCTTGGAATGAAGCAAATTCATTGTGAAAGATGGTCGAGATTTTACCTTCCTCGAAGTCATCAATATCTGTGAAGCAGAGCGCGTCGTGTAACGCAATTTATAACATGATCCGAGAGGAACTGGCACTAGTAAAACAAAATGGCGCCTAAAAGCCACGGAGAAAAAAAGGATGATCTGGCCTTTTTTACCCTCCAAATGGGTTAAACTTTCAGTTTTGCCGATTTAATTTAATTTTTTTGATTGCTCCGAGTTGATCCGAGTCCAATTTCATTTTATTTTTATTTTTTTATTCGATCCGAGTTGGTCCGAGTCGATCCGAGTTGATCCGACCCGGACTGGCGGTCCGAGTTGATCCGGTCTGACTTTTGTACCTGCCTGATTGGTTCTACAGAAAGGAAGGTGAAAATCATTCGTGCATTTAGTGTCACAGTATGGACTTTCTTGTTATGAAAAGTCATATTTATACTCTACTAGCAAAAGCGAGAATGGCGAAAAGAAAACATAAGTTTACCCAGTTCTAGTTGTCTAATGTCAGAAAGTGCACTGTGGTTGTTTACCATTCACAAAACGTTTCCGGAAAACCTGGTTGGAAAGAAAATGGAACACGACTTTTTGGGTCGTCCCAGTGGAAAATTTCCGGGAGCAACGGAACATATTTTTTCCGGTCAGAATGCTCCAAACGGAAATTCGTGTTCCATATCTTCAAAGCCATCTTTGATACCAATTTCAGGCTTCGCGGCCGTTTTTTGGTAGTGGAAATGCTTTGTTCAAGTAGTAAACGCGATTCCGGGATGAAATTTACCAGTCCTGAATTTTGCTTACCATTTGCCCAAACCGTGAACCAATCAGTTTCCCATGAAAATGGTAAACAATCTGTGTAATCATTCGACCTCGCTGCCTATAGAACACAACCAGAAGGCATTCGAAACGCCGCAACCAACTCAAGCGACTACAATGTAAGACAAACTATAACTTTATTTTAAAAAGTTATTTATTAAGAATTATATTGCATAACCTTTACGCATAATCTTCAATAACTAATAAAGAGCAGAGTTTTTGTTGACCTAAAAGCTTACCTAATTGGCACTTCTTCTCCCATATATGGTTCTTGTTTTAAGACTTCAATCACTCCTTTCTTAAGTGAGACAACTCCCTCATCAGATGAACCTTGGGTATTATCGACAGAGAAGAATGGACGGATCACGTGACGTTCGTAGTCCTTTCCAGAAATTTCCTGCTGAATCTGCAATTCAACCTCCTTGCAGTCTTGATATGGTTTATCTGCATGTGTTCCTACGATGAATACTGGAGGGCGACAGTACGGCAGATCTTCCACATTCGTTTTCCAGTCATTCACGTCTGGTTTTACTGAGCACATAGTCCTTAGAGAAACCAGCCATGACAACAAATTTTCTAAATTTGTTTCCTTATTTGGATTAGTGAGTAGAATTTTCCGAATCCCTTGTTTAAAACAAGGTTGAGCAGTGTCGTCTAATTTTTTGCTGAGATCGTGCACAAGTATATAAACTGCTCGTGTCGATAAAAAAACTGGGTAAGACGCATAGTAAAGATGTTGACCAGCGAAGTCCCAGAGATCAAGGGTGTAGTGATGTTCGACTACTGTTGTATCACTTTGAAGGTTTACGTTTTTGAAAAGTTGAACAAGATGATCTGTAAATTCTTCTGGAGGCAAACTGGGATCGATTTTTAGGTCAGTTAAGACGGCTGTATTTGTTTCTTCTCTAACGTCGGATTCACCTGATGAGCCCTAAAACGGTTTTAAAAAAGGTTAAAATGCTACTTTTTTAACAGTAACTACTTCAAATAGAGTCGAAACTCTCTCTGCGACTATTACAGTGCAGAGTGTGTCGCTGCCACACCCTTACTGCATTGGTCATTCCTAGCTCAGAGTTTGTGGCTTCCCACCCCCATTAGGGAGTTTTGCTGCCAACCTTATTGCATGCACGTTATGGTGTGAGTTGCTGCCACCCTTGTTTTACCTCAGAGTGCATCCAACAACCTATAGTCCCATTTACTACCAAAGGTTGAGTATTTTCTTTAAAAATAGTAAGTTACTAAGTTATTAAATGATATTTTACTTGTAAAATAAAGTTAACTGGTTTAAACTTATTACTGCTGCCGTCATTTTACCATGATATAGTCAGTTGTTGGTTACAAACATTTAATTTTTTTTGCGCTGTTCTGTTTGTGGATCCAAACGAGCGGTTATGAAAAAGGGCCTATTCGAATAAATACGTTACTAAGAAAACTCGGTCTTCAGGTAAGTCTCTAGTAGAACATAGTCTATTTCAATCTCATTTTCATTAAGGCCAATTATTTTTTGGTCGGATGTTGTAGGGGGTGGGTGCTTATTCGAGGCTTGTCGCTTATTAGCATTTCCTGCCTATAGGATGGGCGCTTTTATTCGAGGTGGCCTATTCGAAGTTGCGCGCTTAATCGAATAAATACGCAACAGAAGTCCATGAAAAAGAACTGGACAATAGATCCTCACTTAAGCAAAGAATTTCCACTTAGGGTGGAACAGTGATCTGTTATGTTTACAACCTCGTTCCCACGGTGTGTTTCCCTTCCGCCCGTCTTCTGGGACAAAAAAATAAAGGCCTGCCACTCGTACACAGAGGGGAATTTAAACTGACCTGATCCACTTGGGTCTTAAACGAGGCAGGTTTTTTCTCTTCCATCAATGGCTTCACATTTGTTTCCTGTCCCGGAAGTTTTTCAGGAGCGTCAAAACCAGCCTACAAAATGTGCCAATAAAGACGAACACATTAATTCTTGCATTTTATTAAGGAACCATTCTCCACTTATTAACAGAGCTGAGATGTTCGAAGCTGGCTTAGCGGTAATCCTGGGTTATAGCTGGTGAGTTGTTATGGTAACTAACCGTTGATTTGCGCAAATCATCTCTTTCAATAGCGTTTCGCCCAGACTAACTTTGAATAGAAAATTCTTTTTTAACACAGTACACACCCTCAGCGTATAAGGACGTTTTAGACAAACCATAAATAATTTATTAACAGCCACTAGGGCCCAAATCTTACACACTTCCCAATTAGCAAAGGCCTATCATGACAAGAGAAAAAAGGAAAGGAATGAAAGAGACCTCTGCCAGCCCCCAACGCAGTCGAAACTGTTTTGTTTTGAAAACCGATTTCATTTCCGAATCGATCGGCAATGCGCGTACCCTTTTGAGTGTAAGCTGGAAATCACTGAGCCCACAGATTTTATGGCCTCCATGAGCTCCGCGAGATTACAAGTTTTGCATTTCGATCATTCATTTCTAATCTTAGCGACAAACATATAAAGTAACTGATATCTCTGCAAGTGACATGGTTATTTCAAAAGACGTGATACTTTTCGCAACCGGTAAACTTTTATTTGTCAACTAAAATACGAGTAACTGCGGAGTTGTATTCTGTAAGTAGTGTCGGACGTGTCTAGCAATCTCGACCAAGAGCCTCTTCTGCGCATATCGAGGAGAGACAGCAAGAGCTGGGGAACCCTGGAGCAAGATTGTCTCTGATTGGTTTAAGCAAAAAACAATAAAAGTGTTTCTGATTGGTCCATTCAAGTTTGCACGAGAGCAGTTGAACGTGCGGCGTGTCTACCGACCGGCCGATGGGCTACACAGGCCGATTTTTGATTTCAGCTATTCCAAAACAACATTTGCAGGACTAATTAGGCAGAATAACTGGATTTCCCAGTTTTCAAATAAAATACCTTAGCTACATATCGAAAATGGACCAAGAAAAAGATTTGAATGTGAAAAAAAATAATAATAACAAAAATACACCGACATCTTTGTCAGCCATAATTTAAGAAGCAAAATTTGACACATTACTGATTTTTCCGATCTTTAACTTCCATGTTATCGTATTCACACGAAGTAGCCGAGTATAAAATGAAAACTCGAGCTTCATGTCGTAAATTGCCCATAAACAGACTTGCAAGAAAAACAAGTTCCTATAGTGATGCGCAGACAATTCGACTATTTATAGTTGTCTTCTTTTCCCATGATCCCACGATCATATCGCATTTAAAAGCAGCTTCTCTGAAGTGTTAATATTCATGGACAAAAATAAATAAAAGGACGCTAAATTCATATTTTTGAAAGTTTTATTGGAATTTCGATACGTTTATTTTAACGACCCATTTGGGTTTCACTTACCACCTCGTGAAGTAGTCCACGCAAATATTTTTAAATCAACTGTCAAGCATATGCAAACACGGTATTTTCTCAGCAGCTACCACAAGAGCCTTGGGTACTTGAATACTCTTCAAGGGTTCCGTTAACTGAATTTCCTCAGTTCTAACATCGCGATGAAGTAGATATAAAAGAAGCAAAAAGTTTTGGTTGGATCAAGAGCTTGCGCTGTGAGACACAAATACCCAGATTTTGGCTACGCCGGCGCAGAGTTTCCCAGAGCTTACGCGCGCATTCCCAAACCCGTAAGCACTGGAGTCGAGAATGCTTTTATATCCACTTCATCGCTTAAGTCTTGTGCTGCTTCGGTATTAGAACCGAAGAAATTCAGTTAATGGCCTTGAAGAATTTTCAGGTATCCAAGGCTCTTGTCGTAGCTGCTGAGAAAATACCGTGAAACGTTCCCAATCACAGATTTGAGACTTAAAGTTTGCATATGCTTGACTTGATTAAATATTTCTGTGGGCTACTTCACGAGGCGGTAAGTGAAACCCGAATGGCTTGTTAAGATTCCCATAAAACTTTCCAAAATACGAATTTCGCGTCCTTTTTTAAAATTATGTTTGTTCACGAACACAAACACTTCAGCAAAGCTGCTTTGAAATGCGATATCGTGGGAAAAGAAGACAACTATAAATATCTAGTCGCACTGTACACACGCATCACTTTAGGGAACGATTTACTTTTTTTTTCTTGCAGTCTGTTTTTGGGCAATTCACGACAAGAAGCTCGATTTTTCATTCATACTCGGCTGCTTCGTGTGAATACGATATGTGGAAGTCAAAGAAAAATCAGTAATGTGTCATGCTTCTTAAATTATAGCTGGCAAAGATGTCGGTGAATTTTTATTTTATTTCTTACACTCAAATCTTTTTCTGGTTCAATTTTCGATATGTAGCTAAGCTATTTCATTTGAAAATTGGAAAATCCAGTAATTCTGCCTAATTAGCCGTGCAAATGTTGTTTTGGAATCGCTGAAATCAATAATCGGCCGGTCGTGTTTGCTTCAACATTTCTAGGGAAAAACCCGCTCACACGCAAGACACGCCGCACGTTCAACCGCTCTCGTGCAAACTTGAATGGACCGATCAGAAACACTTATATTAATGGTTGTCTTTACACTAGGCTGTTAAGTAAGACTTAGGAGCCGCTAAGTTTTACTTAACCAAAAATTCGTGTTTGAAGGCCCAAGTAAAATCTCTAGTAACTTTGCTTTGCATCTCATTAAAGTCGGAAAGTTGAAACGATTCAAGAAAGTTTCAAGCGACTTGAAAACCATCCTTATGACCGACTTAGCTGACTTGCGGTTTTGCGGTTTCTTGATCTGAGAAAGGCGAGACATGTCAATCAATCTTAATTTTGTAGCGTGGGAAAATAACCTGTAGTACAAAAGAATCAGTTGTGTGTGAAGCTTTATTTTACTTGAAGTAATTAAAATTTACTTGTCTTGAAATATTTCTTAGCTTATTTAGGCTCTAGTGTAAAGACTACCATTGTTTTTCGCTGAAACCAATCAGAGACAATCTTGCGCCAGGGTTCCCCAGAGCTCTTGATGTCTCTTCTCTACATGCGCAGAAGGGCTCTGGGTCGAGATTGATATAAAAGAAGCAAAAAGTTTTGGTTGGATCAAAGAGCATGCGCTGTGAGGCCCAAACAGCCAGAGATTTTGGCTACTCCGGCGCAGTTTCCCAGAGCTTACGTGCGCATTCCCAAACCCGTAAGCGCTGGGGTCGAGAATGTATCTTATTCCCCTTTATATTTTACTCTGCCAATAAGGAACCTCTGCAAGCAGGGAAATTTTGCACAGTTTCTTCAAGAATGTTTTTTTTTGTTTGTGACGTTACATACATTACGTGAAAGTTCTGTGTTTGTTTCTCTATCTCGCCATAACCCTCTTTCCCTTTCTTTTGCTGTTGATGTTTTTTGGGTTTGTTAGCCTTGAGTTGCTTCTTGGCTAACACTCTGACCTATTTCACTTGTCTGCTTGGGCTTACCTGTTTTAGATTGATCTCTCCTTTTTCTTCAACTTCATTTTCTTTGTCATTTTTTCTCTCATCTCCTTCACCACCAATTTCTTGGAGATCCCTAGCTACCCTCTTCGCAAGATCGGGAGCAAATTGAGACACTCCAAACTTTTCATCGGTGCGTTTCCAGTTTTCTGCTAGATCAGTATTCACTTCGAATTTCGATGGATCAACTTCAATTCCGTCAGTACTTTCTTCCTCAGAGTCAAATGGCAGACCTAAGAAGGACTTCTTCAAACTTGTCTTCCCTGCACGATCTTGACCTATCAGCATAATTCGTGTTCGGTAAACCTTCACTTTTCCCGTCTTTAAAGCATTTAAATAGGCACGTTTTGCTCTTGGACCTCTTGCTATGATCTCGCTTGGAACTAGAAAAATATATTTAAAAAATACATACAGTTTTCAATGAAAGAAAAAAAATCTATATACTTCTTCCGTCTTAATATCAGCGGTATGTTTGGATACATTATTGCAAGAAAAGGTTAAGGAAGATAAAAGAGAATTGATTTTACTAGATAAAAGAATATCCATGATTAAAGTTCTAAGTTATATGGCAGGAAGTTGCACCCAGCGATAAACTGGATAAGAATCAACTCAAACCGCTCTCTACACAGCATTATTTTGCCCTCATTACTCATTAAAATATAGTTCCCGTTTCTGTTTGACTTAGGCCCCTGGCTAATTCTTCATAACCAGCATTCAGTTCAGTTTAATTAAAACTCTTCACACGAGACCTCTTCACATGAGCCCGGTTACGAGAGACAATTTCGCCTTGTGTTCATACGAAAGGCGCGAAAGTTATAACTTCGCGTTTCGCCATGCCTTGTTCCTCGAATTTCGCTCCAGAACTCGTCCCCAGGATCTTCGGCCTTTTCTCATTTTGGAAACCGGACTGAAGTTTCTCATAAGAACCCAAGGCGAAATTGGTCTCGGTGACCGAGCCAGTCATGTGAAGAGGCTCTTGTTAACCTTGTTTATGTGCGTAAGTAAAACGTCAGCGAATTTTCAACCGAAAATGGAAACTAATAGTCTGGACTGCCATTTTGTGTTTTTACTTTTTGCGATGGGTTTTAAGACAACGTTATTTCTTGATATAGTTTTGTTATTTGAAAGAGATTTTGAAATTTTTCGTACGTACACAAACAAGGTTAAGTGTTTATGACTCAGTCAATTCCAAGAGTGCCCATCCCCCATTTAGTGGGGAGGAGCGTTGCGTGACGAAACTAAAAACGGCTGTGTAGCAGACTACATCCCCCAGGGCATTTGTCATTTTGTTTTGGGAAAGCTGTAAATGCCCCACCACGGTGGGGCAGGACCCCACAGTGGGGCTCAAAAATAGGTTGCAAATGCAACGACGCCAAAACTGCTTTTTCCAGTAAATAAGCTGCAAACACCATATTTATGGGAGATCTAACTGTCATAATCTAATCAACCTCGCGCGTAAAGCACCCTACACAAATCGCTACTAATGCTTCTCCCTTCGCGTGTTTGCTTCAAAATAAAGTGATGTTCCTGCTACCGATTATTACAATTTATGACAAACCTCTAATGAGAGGCCAACTTCCATTAACAGGCCACTTACCAGTACCGAGGGTGGCTGCTTAATGGAAGTTCAACTGAAGTACAAATTTCAAAAGATTCCATTCCATGGCACCAATGAGCAAAAGGGACTCAGGAAACAAAGCACAAAACGGGTACCATTATTAAGGGGTGTTTTTTGCCGTTAACTCCTTCAGATTTCTGGTACCATATTTTTGTCTCTTAAATTCAGTGTTCTCCTTATCAAGGGGTAACTCGTAAATTTACCGGCTGAAGCAACACTTCTTACCGCCTGCAACCGCTTGAAGGTTTGGTAAAATCAAAAAAGAAGTCTTAAAAAATGCGCAAGTTGTGATCCGATCCGTTCAAGAAAATGAATGAATATATGTAAACGTACTAATAAAAGTATATCTACCTGGATTTATGAAAACCGGGTTAGCAAACACTTTGTAATTTCTCTCAACTTCCCCTGTCCTAGGTTTTTTAGTGTTGTTTGCTTATGTCGTTTTTTGGTTGTTTTGTGGTTAAGGATTTGTGTAGAAAAGGACATTTCTCGAATTCATGTTTCACATTCTTTCTAACCTACCCTCCCACCTCCCTCCTTCCCTAGGGGTGTTTTTCCGTCCCTACCCAGAATTCTCTGTTTAACACAAGTGACAGTTGTTTGATTTCAGTGCTCGCCTAAAGCTGGTTTCGGTGCTATTTAGCAGTTTATATTTCGTTATTCCCCTCCGTAATTTTTAGGGAGTTATTATAACTCCAAAAGTGGAGTAAACATTTTAGGTACAGGATAACCCCTTTTTAGGGGTTATTTAACTCCTAATTTAACTCCGAATTTGGGGTCATTTTTACTCCTGAAAAAGAGTTCCTTTTACTCCCAGTGTGGAGTTAAAATAACTCCGAAATGGGGTTACTTTTACTCCTTACATGGGTTGTTTTTACTCTTTTTGGAGTTAATTTAACTCTGAAAGTGGAGTAAAAATTTTAGGTACAGAATCAATATCTGGGGTCACTTTTACTCCTGAAAAAGAGTTCTTTAAACTCCTTTTTGGAGTTAAAATAAAATTAGCCCCACTAGAGGAGTTATTATAACTCCTTGAAAATTACTGTACTGGAGTAGTCAATCGATAAAAATCGGTATCGATTTATCACTCGATAAATCGATAAAAATCGATAAATCTGATTAGATTGATATCGATTATATCGATCACTGGGTAGAAATCCATGACACACTCGTTTCGTTTATCGATTTATCTCGATTTTACCGATTCCATCGATTTATATCGGAACATACAATCTGTTCTTCTGTTCATCCAAAAATTCATGCAAACAGTGAATTTGGATCAAAGAGTATTATTTAAAAAAATAAAATAAAATAAATCCTTTCTTTTCCTTAAAACCCGCTTCAAAGTCTTCTTCTGTTGGCCGTTGGCCATTTTTTTAGGCGCCCATGGACAGTTTTTTCATTCACGATTTTCATCTGCCACCCTTTCAAAATAACATCAGTTCCACGTGTAGTTACTTCCCTGAGTAGCCAATACATAAAAACCGAAATCCATAAAATCGGTAGCTATCAAGGGATTTTATCGATTGATAACGGAAAACGGTGAAAAGCTATATAGGGAAAACTTTTAGCCTGATTTTCAGGCATCCCTTCGACTCTTGAGGATCTCTGAAATTCAGCTGGGAAATCTCGTGGTACTTGCCTGCGAGAACTGCGATTGTAATCAAACCGAACCGTTTTTATTATAATTATGTACAAAAGGACCACGGTTTTAGAGAGAATCTTGTGTCTGTAATAGTTTCCACATTTCTTATATTCATGTTCGTTGATCAGTTGTTACCGTCATAAATCATTAAAATCATGAAAAATCGATAATATCGATTTGACAAAGCACTTTAGTTTATCGATTTTTACTGATTTCCGTTATCAATCGATAAAAATAACTTGATTGCTATCGATTTTTATCGATACCGATTTTTATCGATTGACTACTCCGGGCGTTATTGGTCACCTTAAGAAAAGTTTCCCGCAGAGCATCATGTAAAGCTCTGAGATGAGACGCGCGCCGTTTGTTTCAAAATTATTTTTCTCAGTTGTATCATATCATTGTCTTCTTCGTTTATCTCTCATCCCTTATTTGGCATCATTTGTTGTTGCTTTTCATACGTCTCCTCCTGATATTTGGCGTTCCAGAGAGAGACTGTCGGTTTAACATTTTCTATGTCAGTTGTACGCACCACTCTGACATCAGTTGTACGCATTACTCTGTCAGTCGTACCAATTACTCTGTCGGTTGTACGCACTACTCTGTCAGTTTCGTCAGTTGTAAACATTTACTCTGTCGGTTGTAAACATAAGTGTTGATTGTGCACATTACTCGGTCAGTTGTTAACATATACTCTGTCTATAATGTACACATTACTCTGTCAGTTGTAAACATTTACTGTGTCGGTTCTACGCACTACTACATTACTCTGTCAGTTGTACGCATTGCTCTGTTGGTTGCACGCATAACTATGTCAGTTGTACACATTACTCGATCAGTTGTAAACAATTACTCTGTCAGTTCTACGCACTACTCTGTCGGTTGTTCAGACACACTACTCTGTCAGTTGTACGCATTACTCAATCAGTTGTAAACATTTACTCTATCGGTTCTACGCACTACTCTTTCGGTTGTTCACACTACTCTGTCAGTTGTAAACATTTAATATGTCGGTTGTACGCACTATTCTGTCGGTTATATACTGTACATCACTCGGTCAGTTGTAAACATATAATCCGTCGGTTCTACGTACTACTCTGTCGGTTATGTACATTACTTAGTCAGTTGTAAAAACATACTCTGCCGGTTGTACACACTCTGTCAGTTGTACGCATTACTTTGTCAGTGACACGCATTACTCTGTCAGTTGTACACACTTCTCTACCAATTGTTAACATTTAATCTATCGGTTGTACGCACAACTCTGTCTGTTGTGCGCACTGCTGTGTTAGTTGTAATAATTACTCTGTCGGATGTACCCATTACTTTGTCATTTCAACCCATTACTCTGTCGGTTGTACGCACTACTCAGTCAATTGCAAAAATTTACTCTGTCAGTTGTACGCACTACTTTGTCAGTTGTACGCATTACTCTGTCAGTTGTACGTACTACTTTGTAAGAGAATTACCCCGAAAATTGGCCTTTTAAACAAGATGCGTACCCACCTACAAATCAGAGAAAGAGAATTGTTCTACAATTCCTTAATTAAACCAATAATAATGTATGGGAGCATGGTGTGGACTTCTTGCTCTTACAATGATCTCAAGAAAATCTTACGACTAGAGAAAAGGGCTGCGCGAATAATTCTTGGGGTACAATGTATATTCAAGATCGAGGACAGTAGAAAATTTTAACAAGCTTAAATGGTTACCGCTCTATGACGACGCTATAACTGCCAACTCTCACGCCTTAGGCGTGAGTCTCACGCCTGCAGGTTGAAAACTCCGATCTCACGCCGGCTCACGCTTGCGAGCCAATTTCTCACGCCTGATTGGAAAATGTGAGTTGTTGCCGTCTTGCTTGACACAATTTCCAAAAATATGTTAACTCAGACCCATGTAAGGAACGAAAACCATGTGTAAAATGAAAAAATGATAATACCTTCCTTGCGATCTCTGATTTTGTGGATAAGCGTTTTCTCGATAACTTCGCCTTCGGCAGACTTCGGACGTCTTCGGAAGACTTCGGACTTCTTCGGAAATCTTCGGAAATGATCGTGTCGTCTTCAAAAATCCCAGCACTCCCAGGATAAAAATCTCACGCTTCTGTCTCAGAAAAAGTTGGCAGGTATACGACGCTAACATAGATAAGTGTGTTCTACTTTATAAGGCATTGCAAGGCGAATCACCCATGTATATCATTGATCTCTTAATTACGAACAAATCACTACACGGTGGAGAGACGAGACAATGGCCAACATAACGTCGTATGCCCAAAGTTTCGACACATCGCCGAAGCGGGAATGTCTTTCAGTAGCACAAAGTTGTGGAACAGTCTCCCTGATGATCTTAAAAGGAAAAACAGCCTCTCATCTTTTAAGAATGCTTTGATAACTTATTTTCGAGATTCTTATATTGATATTGTTAATTTTGAGACCTTATTGTAAATAAATCTTGTATTGTTAGGTTAGTTAATTTAGTTATCCTGTTAGTTAATTTAGTTATCCTGTATTGGTCTAATTGCACAACGCAGCTTTCTTCAGGAAAAAAAAATTTGTAACATCTTTTACCTCATGAAGATGTAAGAGGGATGGATTATCAGTAAGAATAGGGGTGAGACTATGGGGAATAGGGCAATATCAAAAAGAATTGCAGAAGGATGTTAAGAAAGAAATATATTCCCGCATTAAAGCAACCCAAGAGGAAAAAAAGTAGAGAGAGAGATTTTTTTACCAAAACAAACAAGTTTATTCCCTTTATTTGACTCTTTATAAGACGGACATCTCTCAAGGCAGACACTTAGTGCCGGTCCCAAAGGTGTCCGTCTTGGAGAGAGTTGATTGTATTCCTATTGTTTGCTTTTCTCAAACGACAACCTCCCATCCTTGGAGACCCAAGGGCAGTCAGTCGGGCCGGAAGAAACTGCGGGCGAGACGAAAGTTTACAAGCACGTGCAACGGCCCAGGGAATGCTGGCTCATGAACGGGCAGAAAAAATGCTTTGCATTATTGTGCCCAATCGGCCTGAGTTCTTTTCGTAAGTTCGTACATGACAGCTTTTGTCTCGCCATTTTTGTTTTGACAGAGTAGTGCGTACAAGAGACAGAGTAATGCCCCCGGGAGTTATGCGTACAACCGACAGGGTAAATGTTTACAACTGATCGCGACCGAGTTCTCCACACAACCGACAGAGTGTTGTCAATATTGCGGACAACCGACAAAGTATATGTTTACAACTTACCGTCAAAATGCGCACAACCGACAGAGTAGTGCGTGCAACCGATGGAGTATATGTTTATAACTGAGCGAGTAATGCGCACAACCTACAAAGTAGAGCGTACAACGGTGACCGATAGAGTATATGTTTACAATTGACCGAGGAGTGTTCACAACTGACAAAGTAATGCGTTCAACTTACGGAGTAGTACGTACAACCGACAAACCATAAGTTAAACCGACAGTCTCTCTCTAAACGCTGAATATCAAGGGGAGACGTATAAAAAAGCAACAACAAATGATGTCAAATAAGCGATGAGAGATAATATTCTCGTTTCATTTGGCTAAACGGATCAATCACCCTGACCCGGGCTGTCCGGGCTGAGATATTGTTCGCTTTTCTCATTAAGGTGACCACAAAGTCTTTGGCCTCGGTAACAGGCTTCTATGGGGCAAATTCAAGGGAGGAAATTTATTAGACGAGAGTAAAACTGCAGGTGAACTTTAACCTGGGTCAAGACGTGTGCTGGTCTGCCGACCGTGTGACTGTACATCCCGAACTTGAATAAGTCGAGTGTGAGGGAAAAGTCTACTGAGGTGTTTCTCTGCCAATAGGCTTAGTTTTTCTACGGTATTTAATGATATTTCGCTTACGAGTGGTTGTAGACTGCGAGCAGTTCCTCAGGCTGGTCACGCGAGCGAGGAAATCGAGCGAAGCGAGCGAAAGTAAAAAACAAGAAACCGAGGGGAAGCTGGGGAGGAGGCGGGAAAAGAGGGAGGGACTACATGCTCTTTTGAACCAGACGAGTTCAGGTAACTCCGCCCACCAAAGGTGATAACCGGTTAAAAATAAACTGATCTGTTACTTGATAACTAATAACTCCGCCTCAATTTGTCACGCGCTATATCCCCACGGTTTCGCGGCACTTTAATAAATCGAACGCGTTTTTTTCTTCAAGAACGAAAATACGCCCAAAAAAAGGTAGTCCGCAAAGGGAGAGGAAGAAAGCCCAATCTGGAAGTTGAGGCCTCTGACTTTTGCCGAATATGTATGGTAAATTTTAAAAAGAACGGAACTTACATCTCTTCAGAGAATTTATTTACAACGTCCACGTCTAGCGGACCGCTCAGCGAGATCCTCTCTTCAAAGCTAAAACTGTTCCTTACTCCTGCCCCGAATTTATCTTCCCGTGTTTGCGCGAAATGTGCACTCAAAATTAGAAACGCTTCATCCAACTTCAGTTTGGTTGAGGAGAACTTAAATGTTCCTCATCAGAATTTCCAGGAAAGCGCAGTGGAAGAAAACGACGACACCGAAAGATTCAAAAGGTGTTCGAAATCAAGTCCAGGTGGAGATGTGCGCATGTGTGCGTAGCAGGCAAGACGCTTATTTCGAAGCTCTTCACTCTTGATTAGTTTTTGAGACTCAAATTTGCTGAAACCTTGACCAAAAGGTAAAAGACACAGTCCAATCATTGAAACTGGAAAATGAGAAGTTAAAAGATAAGATTCAAGAAATTTGTGCTGAATTACGCAACCTACGAGACGAAGTTAAAGCTGAACGAAATGGCGGCCATGCCAGTTCATCTGAAGGCACCGATGAGGGAAACACTACGGCAACTCCGAGCAGCATCCAAGAAGACTTTAAGAAATATGTTAACGACAGGATGTCTCTTATTGAAAAGTCTTTGAAACGCTTGTCATCTCAAGTGGATAAAATATCATCTTCATTGGATCAAGCATTGGAATATTCGTATTCATACAAGATCAAGCTTGTGGGCGTTCCTGAAGTTAAGCAAGGAGAAAGCGCCGGAGATACGCTGGAACTTTGCATGAGAATCTTCAACAAAATTGCAGCTGAAATTCATCCTTATGACCTTGACATTGCCCATCGAGTGCCATCTCGTAACACGTCTGATGGTCGACCGAAACCGATTATTTGTAAATTTACTCGGCGCATCGCCCGTGAAAGTGTTATGGCAGCCCGTAGAGAAGTAAACAGGATCGTTCCTGCTGATATTGGTCTCCGAGAAAGCTCATCTTTAGAACATGCTGCTATCTACGATCACCTCTCCCCACGACTGCAGAGTTTATTATCTGACGCCAAGAAAATAAAGGAAAGATTTCTCTTCTCATTTTGTTGGGCCAAGAACTCAACCATCTGGCTGCGGAAAAATGAAAACTCTCGTCCGATCGCCATTAAAAATTCAACCGACTTGTCCAGTCTCACAGCTCGCCTAGGATCTTCTGGTGATGCCACTACTCCACAAGAACATTAACAAACAATCTACTAAGGTAAATAAAACACTCCTAAGTGAGCTTCCATATTTCAATTACAGCGATCTAATTTCCGCACATGGCCAATTTAATAATTCTCTTAGTTCCTCTCTTCCTACCAAAAAATATCTTGATCGTCTCCCAAGTTATTACGACCTTGATTTATTTACTCTGAATACATTTTTAGATAGAAGCTCTGACTCTAACACTTATTACTCTAATACAAGATGTAAATACTTCTCTCCACATAGTTATTGTGATCAAAAAAGTAAGTTTGCTACTAATCCCTATCCAGATTCTAATATTTCGTTTATGCACACAAATATCCGCAGCCTAAAACGTAATTTAGAAAATTTTCAAACTCATTTATTAGATGAACTAGATTTTCATTTTAATATCATAGGCGTAACAGAAACAAGAATAAACAGCTCGACTGAGAACTTAGATTTTAATCCTTCGATTTTGCATTATAATTTTGAATACCTGCCAACGCCTCTTTCAGCTGGAGGTGTAGGCATGTATATTGATGAGCGATTTCAATATCAAACAATAGAGAGGTGTTCTAATGAAGCCTTCCACGCACTTTTTATCGAATTACATCTTCCCAAAAGTGCAAACATAATATGTGGAGTATTATATAGGCAGCATAATTCCCCTGAGCGTTTTCAGGAATATTTTGATTCGACAATGGAAAAGCTTAGCGCCACTGGAAAACAGATTATTCTTATGGGTGACTTTAATATAAATCTTCTCCATGTTCATACTAGTACTCACGCCCAAAATTTTATGCTATCTTTGCAAAGCCTGAACCTGACTCCGACAATCGACAAACCAACAAGAGTCTTTTTCAAGAAACGGTGTTAGAGTCTGGAATAACCTATCTAATGAAATTCGTCAAATGCCTAAAGTGAAATTTAAACGCAACATTCAAAATATGCTCCTTCAGAAACTCTCGGAGGCGAATGAGTATATTGATCTATTGGATTTGAATATGTCTTGAAAACTAAACTCAGTTCATTCTATTGGCTTTCTATCTACATTATCCTTCCAGCTTCTCATGTAATCTGCCTTATTTCTCCTGAGAATCTTCGTTTTTCCCAAATGTTATTAATACTAGTCAGTATTCAGTATTCACCTTATTTTAATGTATTGTACGATAATAATTAATTTTACTTAGTATTGTAACTGTACTGTAATTGTAATTATTCACTTTGTATTTAGTATTCAGCTTATTTTAATGTATTGTGCGATAATAATTAATTCTATTTAGTATTGTAATTGTATTGTAATTGTATTGTAATTGTAATTATTCACTTTGTATTTAGTATTCAGCTCATTTTAATGTATTGTACGATAATAATCAATTCTATTTAGTATTTTAATTGTATTGTTATTGTAATTATTCTACTTAGTGTCAAGCCACTGCTCGCCTCGAATAGCTATAGCTAACTGCGAGCAGTGGTACATCATATTTTGTATTTTCTCAATTTTTCTTAATAAACTTGAACTTGAACTTGGTTTCAGAAGCGAAAAGAGGACGAAAGCCGACAGGCTAAATGCATCGAAAGAAACGGGAGAAAATCGGGGAGCAAAACGACCACTTTTGTTCGGAAATGCACAGCAATATTGCGAAAGTGTCGCGGAAGAGTTGCCATACCTGGTCATGGAAATTGATTCGAGCCTTTGTGAGAAATCAACATCTCTTGAAGTAGATGTTCCTTTGCATTTTCCATCAGGCGATAGGAAAAAAATCATCGAAGACGACCGTGCTAACAGTTTGATAAAGAACGTAGCGCAACAGAATTGGAAGGCAGCAGTAAACATCGTTTTTAAGCATCCAGCGTGCCAGCGGATCACATAAAAGAAGCCATCTCACGTGTCTCGAGAATTCAAAGAGTACTGCCATTCGACAACATCTGCATTGAAATACACGACACCGTCAGAACTTGCCTCGTTTTCCAATAATCTCTTTCACCACGAGGTTGCGACTTACTGTCCTCTGTGGCACAGTGCTTTGGTCGGGTCAATGGGACCATGCAAGAAGGAAGATAAGGCAGCTAGAGCGTTAAATGTCACCTCTCTTTGCTCGGCAGCTGTTGCAAAGTTTCGGAATCAGCGGATGTCAGCCTATGCAAGTGAGGCAAGAGGCAAAAGGTAACCCACATGGCATTCCTGAAGGACGTCTTACAGTTTTAGTCTTAAACAAGTAATAAGAATGAAGAGAACCTATGAGATAAAAATTATATGGACCTACAAGTTTTCCAGTTCATGAAAATTACATTCCTCTGGTTCACTTTGCGAAGAACAGAATGTCCCAAAGGTAAGCTCGTTTTCTCCGGGATTGTCAGAGAAATTAAACAAATCTTCAGACAAAGCTTGCATGATCTCCTCGAAGCAGGCTATGTCCTCAAAGGATTCTTCAAATATTTCCAGAACCGTCTTTGCATGAACAATGTTAAATACAGGAAACCTCTTTAAAATGTCAGACACCGAAAATATCGAGGAAGCTTCCGCCACAAGCTCATTAATAAGCTCAGTGGAAAATCCATGAGCACTAGAAGATCCAAACACTGACAAAGTGAGACCATTCAAATTGCTCTGCAACTCAGTTAGAGCTTCATGGAGAACATTGCGATCCTCAGCATTTACAGTTCTCTGGGTTGTAATAGTACTCTTTGGTTGCAAAGATCCCTTAGGGTTGTCAAAAGGAAATGCCTCTCGCTTGCACTCACCGCCGCCACATATGCACTTCTTCTCACAGTTGCTAAAGCAGTCGTGCACACATGTTAAGCTTCCCACAGCAGCATACTCTTCAAACAAGGCCTTGCGTATGCAAGTGTCTGTCTTCCAGAATGTTTTGACTGCCTTAGCAAATTGTGAGAGTTGATTGCCGTGATAAATGATGACATTGTGTGCAGGTTTTCCATTACGACCTGCCCGTCCTGCCTCCTGAATACCGACCTTAAGTTTAGGTAGACGACGAAATAGAGGACGGTGACTTTGGCTGCGGCGGGTTGGGGAGGGACGACGTCGACTTGGCGAGAGAAACAAGCTTTAAGTTTCAGTAGAGGTGATGGTCAAAGACTTTTCTTAACTTTATTAAAGGATTGAGAATGAGTTCCCTGAAAGAGATCCGAGACTATATAGTTCTGATGGTGTCATATCAGATGAGAAATTCGTTCTCTTGTCGATGAAATCTAGTTGAGCGCTTTGTTGCTCGAAAGTGAATGTTCGTCGCTCCATTTAGCCTATTTGCGATCTACGTATTGCCGGATATTCGCACGCTTCACAGTTCTTACGGCTGGTAATAGACCTTGTCACGGTTTTCAACGCCATCTTGACGAGTAGGCAAACGAGTGAGAAATTACAGTGTTTGTAAGTGTTTGTAATTACAGTGTTTTTGTGAGAATCTGATGTCGAATAATTTCCGTAAAAGGGCTGTTCTGAAAAAAATATGATTTGTATACTAAAGCTACAAAGCAAAGGATTGTCCTAAAACATTTGGGGGGCGTTCCTGTGCTTAAATTTCTCCAGAGGCCTGCTTTAGATTTTTACATATATTTGTCTGTAATTTTCCCGGGACTTTCTTACAGACAATGTATAGAAAATTTAAAAGAAGTGGTTCTAGGTCTTCTAGTGCATGTAACGCCCTCAATTTTTTTCAGGAGAATCCTTAGGAGTGAAGCTTACAAATCATATTTTTTTCAGAACAGCCGTTCTACGGAAATTATTCGACATTAGATTCTCATACAATCACTGTAATTTCTCACGCGTTTGCCTACTCTTCAAGATGGCGTCGAAAACCGTGACAAGGTCTATCGAGCCCACACAGCTTTGGGCTTGAAGCGGTAGGGCTCAGTTACAAGAAATTCTTTAGCAAGCTGAAAATCGTGATCTTCAGTCCACTCCATCTTCATTAAAATAAGAACAAATTATTAAATAACATTGACAAGTTGCGCGCAAAAATAAGTTCCTTCATCCTGCTTTATAAAGGGCTTTATTTTGTCGAAGAAATGTTACCCAATTACCATGTTATTTCATTTTGGCCTACAATTTAAGTAGAAAAAATGAACTAAAACCTTCGTGAATGAAAAAAAGAGTAAAAATCGATGTTCAGATGGTGAAAGAATCCTTAAATGTGATTATTTTATCGCTGGGAACTCTAATCCTGCAGCTGTACCTCTTGCGGCACAAGCTCATGTTATATTCAATCATAAAATAGTGTTAAAGTAAGTAATGGAAAAAAGTTTACCATATGAAGTAAACTAGACACTCCAGAAACAGATTAAAGCGGTATTCTGTCAAAATAAAGATGTTTTGAAGACGAAAACGCGAAGAAAAGACTCACGTTCTCGAGATACCGCCGCACCCAGCTTCCTCACCGTCGCGACGAGCAGACGACGAAGGTTGGACGGCTGAGATATATGCTAATTAGCCCCAAATCGGGCAACTTTTATTTCCGGTTGCCGTCCTCCACCTTACCGTCCACCCTAACTTAAGGTCCGTAATGTGATCAACTGTACTCGGTGCAGGAGTGTAGTGCATGTAACGCCCTCGTTTCGATGTTTTTTAGCCTAGAACTATGATTAGTACGACTATCTAATATATTTATTTTAACATTTACTGTAGCTCTGCCATTGATTTTCCCATGTGTAATTATGGGCTTCCTCGCCATGAGAGTTTAAATAATTAGATTTTTTTGGTTTTGTATAACTTATGGCAAACAAACAATAAACAACAAACAGTATGACAAATTTTACATCTGGGAAGTTGACCCCAAACTTAACGCAGAAGTTGCAACCACAACCTTAACACAGCCACTATCTTGCTTGAAGGAGTCAGTTACTCTACCCTTATACTTTGGCCAAGTCATGGAATGATAGATTCCAAGCAGTCGGTTCGCTGGCACATAAGGCTTGTCAGTAACGTACGCATCGGCACCAAGTATTCCAAGAAGGTGTCCACTTAATTTGGCCACATCTTGCATTGTGGTACAAAAAATTATGGTTTGGGGCATATTTTCCCTTTCCAATCCAATCATGTCAATTAACCACTGAAGATGTTGGAGATGGTTTTCTCTTTTTGTTTTTATGATGGTGAAACGAATATTGCTCGTTCAGGACTGATATCCCAGACAACTGTGTCTTTCTTGAAAGACAAGTCTTTCATGATGGTGTGCTTCATTTTAACATCAGCTGTTCCAGATAATGCCAAGAATGGGATACCTCAATATAGAAACCCCTTTAAGTATGCCACATAATAAAAACTTCCACATATAAGATGTTGGCTAATAGATTCTTTTAAAAGATCTGACTAAAATTATTTTCAGTCCTTGAAATATTGCTTATTACTCAAATAAAGATCAAGCTTGCATTTCTAAAATGGAGACAACAAAAAGATTATGTTGCCCGGCACTCGAAAACTACCGACATCTGCCAGTGTGCTTTTACGGTAAACAATGTGTGTAAACTATCAGGAACACTTTCATTTAAAAAGCTAAAACTTAAGATTTCCGCACAGCCCCATACATTTATTATGCATGCGCAATCACATATCGAACACACAAACATAAGCTCTTTATAATACCAGCAAAAAAAGACCG